AATAACGAATGTGAAAAAACGGTGAGAAATAAGAAATAGAAAAAAAAAAAAAAAAAAAAAAAAAAAAAAAATAATAAAATAAAAAAAAAAAAAAAAAAAAAAAAAAAAAACCAAAACCAAGGTGCAATCGAAACATCACGTTCACTCTTCTGACTGATTTCGAAATCCCCCATTTGCAAGGAAGTGCTTAAAATAAGCGTGGCGTCAATAAGCGCGTCGCGGGGTTAGTGCTTATTGTCGATCTTATCGAACCCCTCATTTAACACCCTGGTAGGATCTCCAACTTTGGCCATCGCAAGCATGAAGGTCCTTTGTCTCCACGGAAAGGGCACTAGCGGCTCAATCTTTCGCTCCCAAATTTGTGAGCCTCCCGCAACTTGTACACATCAGCAATCTCACGTCTCGCAGCCTCCTTCCGCGGCAAGCTTCCCGAGGGCATCGAATTCGATTTCGTCGATGGACCATTCAACAGCAATGCCGCCGCCGGTATAGACCTATTTTACGACCCGCCATACTATTCCTGGTGGGAAAACGACAGCATAGACGACATTCGCAGTGCCTGCGAATGGCTGAACGAATACGTCGCCAAGAATGGCCCCTACGATGTCGGTCTGATGTTTTCACAAGGCTGTGTGCTAGGCTCTAGTGCCCTCCTGATCCACCAGGAGGAGACACCACATCTCCCGCCACCTTTTAAATCCGCTATCTTCGTCTGTGGGGGTCCTTCATCAACCGTGCTCGAAGAAATGGGGTTCCATGTGTCGGCGGAAGCGCGTGAGCGCGATATTGCCTCTCGAAAAGCACTCGCCCTACAGGCTGGATCGTCTGCTGTCTTGGCCCGGGGCTCCGATCGGTGGACAGGCCTCCCGTCGCTGAATAGTGGACTTTCGGATGACCAGTTGCGAGAAGAGATAACTAGTCCTTACCGCATTGACATTCCCACGGTGCATATCTACGGGTCCAAAGATCCTCGCTATGCGTCTGGTGTGCACCTTTCTGGAATCTGCAACCCTGCCAAACGCCGGACTTTCAACCACGAGGGTGGACACGAGATTCCGAGGACGGCTGCCGTGAGCAACTCTATCGCAGGACTTTTCAAATGGGTAATCGAACAAGGCGACGCTCAATGAATAAGCCAAGCACTCTTCTAAGGTTTCTCTCTTTTGATTCTTCTAATATACGATCAATAAATTGGAGCGGAATAGCCCAATTCACATAATCGATCTTCCATTTCTATGTATATTTATCGGAAACTTTCGATACCGCGGATACAATGGCCTCGCCACTAAGGATAGAGTTATATTGGACCGAACAGAGAACCGTGGAACCCTCCGAGTATCCAAACTTGGCCCTCGGAAGATACCAGTTCTTTTCTTAGGTACAGGCTGCCTATCTGGAACTGAGAGGGTTGGTCACGGCGGTCTACCCCGGAAGTTCGCCTAATGTTGAAATGTCCTTCATAATATTTGTGAGAACCCAGAGGATGATGATTCACTGAATAGCTGTTTAGATCCATTGATTTTCATTCGTAATGTAGTGTCGGCAGATATGTGACAAGTTCGGAGTGCTTGAATGAAGTGAAGATTCAAACTTAAGAATTTTAGCTTCTATGTCTAAAGGGCCACCGAAACGTAAATTCCAACATTCGAGTCGCATCAGGATGGTATTACCCCAGGAGTTGTCGCAAGGGGGTGTTTTATAACCGTCAAAACAAGAAGCTTCCCAGTCATATAATGTCGCAGTGGGAGATTCTCGGGTGTCCATATGTCGCTTGGGTCAAAAGTTGGCGCTTGGGAAGAGTCGCAAGGAAGGCGCAAGGGTCAAAATGGACAAAAGACGAGAATTGGGCCCACAGTCCTCCTCAAACAAACACCGGAGGATCGATGGATCCAGATCAGCGGGGTTAGTTTTCAACCTTCTCACCATCCTGGAATTCCACCCAGGTCTTCATCTTCGAACGCACATGCTCACCATATATAACGGAGCCCTCGTTCCCTTCAATAGATCGGACCACGCAATTCTCGCCTGGCTCAAAGAAAAATGGCACACTCATACGACCCAACTGCGCCGTTTCACCGTGGCCGTTCACTGGTGCCGCAGAGGTATCCATTACAGGAGAACGCACGCGATGCATGGTAGCCACAAACCTTCCCCCCGATACCTTAGCCATCAAATCTCCAATGTTGACGACCAGTGACTCGGGGATATATGGCGCAGCTACCCATTCCCCAGAGGAGTTTCGCACTTCCAGTCCACCAGTGGAATCTTGATGTAAGAGGGTAAGAATGCCACTGTCTGTATGTGGTGTACAGCTTAGCTTCACGTCCGAGCTTTTTGGGGTAGACCGGGAAGCTGAGGGCGTGACAGATGGGTAGTGAAGTAGTCGAAGAGTGCTGAGAGAGTCTTCCAGGTACGGGGCAAAGAAATCCGCGGGCTGGCCCAGAGACAAAGCCAACAAGGAAAGTAACTTCGAAGCAAGTGTTTGTAATTCGACATAGAGCTTTTCCAAATCTGACTGTGCAGGGAAATCTGCTTCGTTGGGCCAGACATTCGGTTCCGTGAGGTTGAATTTGGCCGAGGATGGAACAGATGATGCCGCTTGGATTGGTCTCGCGGGTCCGATTTCGAAACCTTCCTTCAGGTTGTCCGATGCTAATTCAGGTTGTGTAGGGAAATATCTTTCAAGCAATGATCGTTAGTTAAAACCCCCCAATCAGACCTGGAATTGAGTAATGACCCCCGATAAGTGTTCTCATTGTCTTTGTTGAAGGACCGTCTTGCGAGCATCATTTTCTGGTCAATCGGCAAGGCGAAGAATTGGCGAGAAAGGTTGAATACATCTTCATGTTTGAAGCTCAGTGGGATATCCGTCAGATATGCAAAACCGGTTGTGGCGAAAACTTCATATAACCGTTTGCTCAATGCCGCTTCCGCCTCCGGGTATGTACCGATGGGCGAGGCCAGGAGCCCGACGTCTACCACAGGCAGGGATGAGAATTTGGTAGTCATTTGCAGAGTATTCAATGAACGAAAGAGTTCAGTCGTCGCGGGGTCCTTGCCACAGTTATACTCGCAGCTCAGAGCCCCACTCCCCACTTGGTAAGTGGTCGTGTGTTGCATGTGCCGCGGAATGCATCCCTTGGGCGTGTATTGGGTCGAGGCAGACTCCGCTTTCGCCAGCCATTCTGTATGGAGCAACAACACTGGACTCTGGGTGCCGTGGCAGATTTATCTGCTTTCGATTCGAGTATGTGACGCGTCTCACAACTCAACAGTCAAAGGGCTAGAGGACTTTGTGGGCTTCAATTGCCCAGAGCGGCAATAGCCGACGCATGATTTACTCCATGTCGCTTGATTGAGTGAAGATCGTTCAAGTCAGAGTGTCAGATCTCCATTGTCGTCGACCAAACGGGTGAAAAAGGGGAGAAACGTAACCCGACGCGAGAGCCACAGTGACCCCAGATCCACCTTCCCCGCCACTTCCAGAACATTTGAAGTTCGAAGGGATGCCGAATGGAGTCATCCTTTGATTCCCTGGAAAGATGTTTGTTCCTGGAAATAATCAGAGATAGCTCGTCTCAACGAACTGTCGAGATTTAGATGATGGCGCGCCTAGACTCCGCCCCCGCCCCCTGAAGCCACGTCTAGGCTTCTACGCCGCTTGATGGCTGCAAAATCTCCCGGTCAACGCACTGAGGCGTAGTGTTATAGGTCATCGGACACACTATGGTGTTCAGAGGTCGGCGCTCAACTGCTTGCAAGCTTTGTCGTGCACGCCGCATCAAGGTTAGCCAGACAGGCACCCGGACCAGGAAAAGGGGAATCCTAACGAAAATCTTCAGTGTGACCGACGCCAGCCAGGCTGCACACAATGCCGGAATGTGAATGCTGTGTGTGAAGGATATAGAACTGAGCTCGATCTCATGTTCCAAGATGAAACTGATACCATCGTTCACAAAGCGAGGTCGCAGATTTCTGGAATGTCTTCGGCCACTCTGGCACCAAGACTAACCCCTGGGCAAATCTCTGCGACACTGCCCACTCCGACTCTAATGCGACAACCCACACACCCCATCTCTTCCGAAGCGATATATGTCTTTGCATCTGAATATGCAGGTGGCGTTTACCTCGAATACCTACCTGCGATATACTCACAGCAGGATCGCTCCCGGTCACTCGAAAAGAGCCTGGAAGCAGTTTCACTTTCTAACATGGCCAAGACACAGAGTCGAGATGATTTGAGACAACTTGCACAGCGTAGCTACGGGGAGGCTTTATCGTATTTGAAAATAGCCCTCGCAGAGTCGAAGACGGCAGCCACCACAGGGACCATAGCGTCGATCCTATTGTTGGCACTTTTTGAAGCCATCCAACCGGGTTCTCCTCAACCCTCCCGCGAGGTGTGGTCAACCCATGTCCAAGGCGCGCTGGCTGCAATCGCATCGTGCTCTGCTTCCGGGACTTTCCAGACCCCATTAGGTCAAAGCCTTCTTCATCACATTGTCTCGGTAGTACAGCTTGATTTCCTGAATCGCAGAGCTGCTTTGCCTCCACAGCTTGGCGCTCTGTACCGTGCCTCCAGGCTTAATGAAGGACCACAAGCGGAAATGTGGGCTGTGCTGGACCGTCTTGCAGTTCTGAACTCACTGCCTATAAGAAGCTCGGTCACTTTGCAATACTGTTTCGAAATTCAAGGGATTCAAAACCACGTCCTATCCCTGCTAGAATCAATGCCTCAAAGATACCCGGAGTCTTTCGCCTTCACGGCAACAGCATATGATAGGGGATCAGATCTGGATCCAAAAATACGAATTCCAAGTCATCATTTCCAGAGCTTTCGGATCGCCCAGGCATGGAACACATTGCGGCTGATGTGTTTACTGGCTACAAAATTACTGAAATCAGCTGTCGGATCATACTTGTCATTCAATACCAGTCCAGACGGATTGGCATCACTTCTTTGGGAGTCGAGTCGATGCTCCTCGATCATTGCAAACAATATTGCCATCGATATTTGCGCCAGTGTACCGGATTCATTGCGTCCAGGTGACCAGTCTTACGATCCGAAAGACAATATACGATACTCCGCCTGGGCACGCTCCCTGCTTTGGCCTTTAAGTATGGCTAGAGAATCACCGCATGGACAGGAAGAATTACAAATCTATATTGAGAAACAGCTTAGCATTCTGGCCACGGTTGCCGGAATGCAGGATATGCAATTGGGTAAAGGGGACTGTGGGGATTTTGGCAATAATTGGTAGGTGCCAATGGGCTTAGTGGCCACAAAGTATGTTCGAAATGCTAACTATCATTTTCTTATTTAGGATGCATGCAGTATTCCTTTGCTGAGATTTTATACAGAGAATATATATGAACAAGATATGCGAATTTCACAAATTGTGCGAGGTCAACACCCCTGTATCACATCGCGGTGCAGCCTGATGCACCAAAATCAAAATCCTGTCACCCAAGCATTGAAGTCACAGTGTTCAGAACCCGTGTTCACTTTCTCTTCAGATCAACCCTGAAGGCAGAAAGGGTAACATCAGTGACAGGCGAGTTCGAATCAGTTGACTTTCTCCAAAACACTGCCTCGTTCAAAGGTACTGTGCCATAGGAAAGTGGATCAACATTCGAAACGCAGTAGTCATTCCAGACAGTGGTGGCATTTGTGGGGAGGTCATAATCATCAATCACATTGATGAAACGCCAAACTTCACCTACCAAACCATCCCGGTGTCTTTTCTCAAAGGTTGGCTGCAGCTGGAGATACATATCTCCACTCGTTCCAGCTTTGGCAGCAACAAGTGGGATCAAACTTGCTAGAACATCTGTTGAGTTGGAAATCCATGATGTTATATGCAATGCTCGAGGATCAGTTTGAGTCAAGGTGATTGAAGAGTTCAAACTTTTCTTTGCCGACTCGTAGACACCGGCGTAGGTGTACTTCAGCTGAGACATGGCTTCGGCTTCGGCCGCAATGACCAGCGGGTTGAGAATTTGAGTGAAAATCGTGTTCAGTGCGGTCAAATCCCCTGCGACAGCCATGAAGAGTACAATGTTGTACTGTGGTATAATGATGCTGTAGCTGTAATATCCCGTGAGGCCACCGCCCTTAGTATAGAAAGTAACCGGGCGCTTGGTTTTAGGTAGGATGTCCGTGGTACGGAATATCTCCCATGGATAGCCGAGCAGGGAATGTGAGCCAGTATTCCAGGCAGCGGGCTGCAGCCAATTCATCGTTGGCGATAGGTGTTTGTAATTGCTGAGAATCCATCGCAAAAATTTGATCATGTCCGAAGAAGAACTGTAGAGGCCACCTCCCCTAAATTGTCAAATATTAGCATCGTCTGCCACAATTGCAGTTCCAGGGGTGGATCTTACGGGTTCCCTGCACCGGCATCATGGCCCCAGTCCGAGTTAGGTCCAGCGCTGGCTGCGCTCAAGCTATCCGGAACATCAAAAGAGGTGTTGTGTAGCCCAAGGGGATTGATGATGGTTTTGGTAATGTAATCCTCATAGCGAATTCTGCTAACATTCGAGATCACTTGTCCAAGAAGATCGAAGCCAACATTGCTGTATGATGATTCCTTTTGAGGTGCAAAGACCGGGGTCAGGTGGTGAAGACCGTTTACGAAATCTAGCGTCAAATGTCAGTCTCGCGGGTAACAAGATGTAGCCAGTATTTGAGGCACTATTCCACGTACCGTCCGCCGTGCACGGTACTTCGTAATCGGTGTAAGCATCACACTTGGGTAACTGCTTGGATTGTGATTCTGTCAAAGGTGGCAGACCGACAACTGAAGGATCGGACAGCAAAAGAGCCAAGTCCTCGTCCCCATCTTGTCCAAAAAGAAAGTCAGTGCCTGGACTCGGATCAATATTGAGAAACGATAGAAACCCACAGTTGTCAGGAATTCCGCTTGAATGGGACAAGAGGGAGCGAATGGTAATGCCTTTCCATGAGATCTTGCCAGCACCGTCCAACAGTTTCGGGATATAGTCTGTGACTTCGTCATCCAGGCTAAGTTTGCCTGCAGCCTCCAGACGTATTATGCCCAGTGCAGTAAAGATCTTTGTGTTGCTGGCAATCCGATATATGGAGGATTCGTTGATCGGCGAGCCTCCCAGAGATTCATCGAAATGGTACTTGGTGTGCATGGTCTCCTTGGAGGAAGAAATTTCCAAGGAGAAAGACGTTCCGTTGAAATCGCCAGCTACAATTGCTGTGTTCAGATTGCCATCAATGATCTTGAAAACATGGTCCAATGTAGTGTTGTTGTATTCTGGAGCAGGAAAAGAGATTTCGGGCTCACAGGCCGCATGAACCTGGACTCCGGCAAATGCCACAACGGCAGCGAGCAGTTTGTACTTGGAGGATATCATGATTCTATTTCAAGTCTCCAAATGATGAGAGTGCAGAGTCATTCTGCCCAGGACCGCCTTCTTATACCTTTAATTTTAGGCTTCTCTCAATTCTTAAGCAGGCAATTACAACGTTAGTGTCGGCTTTGTGGATGAATATAGTAAGATCACATCATATTTTCTAATATTAGCTACTCCAAAGCCCCAGTACCTAGTGAGAAATTACGATCAAATCTTAGGATCGAAGCCACTGCCCCGGTGTGAGACTTCCGGATGATTATAATCGTAGATCGACGCTAATGATGTGTTTGCCGTTTTGGGAATAGCGCAGGTCCGAATCAGATGCGATTGGTCCTCATGTACTCCGTACAAAGGCCTTGTTGTGTCAATTTGGGATCGTGAGATTACCTTCGATAGAAGCTTTCCCCCCCCCCCTGGTCATACTTAAGTAATACTGGTTGGCGCTTCACCTACTTAAGTAATAAAAATGACGATTGGACCCTTTGAATATCAGTCAATATTTGTCCAAGAGGTGTTGAAGGTACACACAAATATCAAATTTGTTCCAGATACAAAGTCTGCATGTACGGGGTACCTACACAATGGAGGAGGTGTATAGACAGACACAGAGTGTAGAGAGAGAATAGACAGAGATAGAGGGAGAGAGGGAGGCAGAAAGCTATCTACACCTGTGGACTGCGGACTGCGCGCCTGAGCCCGTTATAGCCGACACCCTTCACGGGCGTTTGGTGAGGTATGCCACAGGGAAAAATATAGCATAAATCACCTGATTAGCAAGGCCTTCTAAGCTGAATAGTAAAAGTCAGTGCTTTATTTTCCGTCAAGGGATTAATGCCTCGGGCACTATTCTAGCATTAGAGTCCACCCTTGCACCATTCGACACCTCTCTTTCTGCTCTCTCTTCCCCTCCTTGGGTTAAGTGTCTTCGGTGACCCGAAACATAGAGAAACTATCTCCTGATCTACCATGCTCACAAGGTTTCTTGTCTGTTTTCTTTTTTTTTCTTGTCGGTCTTGTTTCGTTCCCCTCTCTCCTGTATTCCTCACCTAACTCCATAACTCTCTCAACTTTTGGCCTTTAGTTCTCCGCTCTGCGAACGACTTGCTATTCTCACTGCTTCATTCATGTCACGTGCTCATGCGAAGTTAGTTACTGTAGGTGTGAGATGGGTATGATCGTCATTTAGTTTATGTTCTTATGGGGAATGCTATACTTTCCTGTTTGGGTAGGTACATGTAGGTCTACCTTGGCAATGCTCAGGCGGAAAACTTGGCACTGTAGCATGGGGTGCCTGTGTGGGAGCTACATAAATCACGAAAGCTTGAAGCAGATTCCCTTGACTCACTAGTTCCCCCCTAGATGCATGTCCAGCTGATGCTTAATTGATAAAGTTTTTCTATAAGGAGGCTTATGGATGAAAGGCTCTGACTTAGATATAGAATTGCAATGCTTTCTTCGCTGCAAGCAAATGGAAGAACTTTGGTTCCAACGGTATCCTATAGACCGAGTATTTGTGCAGTATATACAACCCTCCGGTCCTATCATATGTATGAATCACATCATACATCAAGGGATTGCAAAAGGAGCATGAGACATATCTGGAATGCGGGCGCATGAACAAACGACAAGTACCAATTAGGTTTGGGGGAGAATTGCAATAGATTCCTTTAGCCCTGCAGGTAAAGTTTGTTCCAGAAATGATTTGCGACTTCATGAAGCTGAAGTGAGGAGTGCAGATATTTTCCATGTTGGGGTACCAAAGGGTAGCGTAATGAAAATTAAGACTTGTACCCGGACCGGCTGGATCGTTCTGGGGGGCGTTTTCCCCCCAATAGATGCCCCGGGAAGGCGGGGTGAGCCCCACAATATCTCTCGGAGTCCTTGCAGATCCATCGTACTCTTGACACATCTGGTTCAAATTTGTCATAGAACGACTTTTTCTGCCTCCCAACAGTTACGAATGCCTCGGGAAACTCATAGTAATCGGGTTACTCCGGCTTTTTGAATCTTCGGAATGGATGTATATAATGTCTGGGATAAAGGCCCGATAATTTTGAGTTAACCTCATTCACATCTCGAAGGTTATCTGAAGCCATGTCGACCGAGAAGGAAAATCAAACACTGGTCTCAAGACCAGTCGAGACCACAATGAAGCCCGGGGCTCATCTTGCGAATCCTGTATGAACATTGATTGATTCCAATTCGCGTGATGCGTGCGAAATATTAACCTGCGCTTCTTGTCTTATAGGCTCCATTGGCAATGGGTGGTTTCGCTACCACTCTGCTATCTGTCTCATTGGCAATGATGAACTTCCGTGGCGTCACTTCGCAAACAATGTTCATGGGTGATCTCTGTTTTGTAGCAGGGATTGGTCTACTTATCTCAGCACAATGGGAAATGGTTCGCGGCAACACATTCTCTTACACAGTACTTTCTGCCTACGGTAAGTAACCGGAATCTGATGATTCTGCCCCGATGATGTTGGCTGACATATTACCTTTCAGCCTTGTTCTACGGTGGCTACGGAGTGCTTCTGATCCCGGCATTGGGTATTGCTGATGCATATGGTGGCTATACTCCCGAATACCATAACGCTCTCGGGTTTTTTGTGCTTCGTAAGCTCTCAAGCTCTGCCATTGCCTTCACTTTATTAACTGTCATCTCTAGTCTGGGCGGTCTTCAACCTTTTTTTCTTGTTGGCCAGCTGCACTCTGTGAGTATTGTTGTGGAATTTTGTGAACTCAAGGCTAATCCTGCGTCACAGAAACATTGTATACATCCTCCTATTCCTCACACTCGAGCTTTGTCTCATTTTCGACGCTGCATCCAGCTTCGTTCTGGCGGATGGGTTCGTTGAGAAAAGTGCAAATCTCATGACGGCTGCCGGTGCTTTCGCCTTCGTCTCCAGCTTACTCGGATACTACTCTGTCTTGCATTATTTGTGTGAAGATGCTCTACCATTCTCAGTCCCCATGGGCGATACCTCTCGGGCTTGGAAACGCTGGTGCAAGAAGTCAACCTCGCCTAGCATGAAGAGCGAGGAGGACATGGCGTGAAGCCCACATCTCCCATCTCCCAAATCGGAACATTACCAGGTGTTCGGAGCCAATCAAAAGTTAATGTCATTTCAAATTTATCGACCCTAATAAATCAGTGGATGCCTTGTCGATTGTTTCAATTTTCCGGAAATGACTAAAGAGTGCCTGCAGAGTCCAGATTTGTCCCCTTGTCGCCAAGAATCTCTAGCACTCACCAGTCGCGCTTCCACCCACACAAGGAACACCATTGCATTCAAACCCGGCTGCATTCTCGACGTTCCCACAAAGATACCCATTTGCCAGAGTACCATTCTCAAGATGCAAAGTTGTATCCGAGATTGTGATGTTGGTGCAAGGGGCAATCGCACTGCACTGCAGGCTTGCTACTCGCGTTGATTTGCTGGTACCCGAAAGGCCTTCGATCACCACATTCTTGATTTGGAATTCCGAGTTTGTGCAGTTTCCTTGGCCAGGTGCACCTGAAAATCTCGTACACTGTGATATCGCAAAGGCTGCTCCACGAAGTCCGTTCGCTGTCAGATTTTTGAGTTTCATATCGGATGCAACTGGTAGATCCGTTAGCAGATCCCCCAAATGGAAATCAAACTTTAATTCAAGATCCATATTGTTGGTAGCAAGAGACTAATTTCGGGAAAAAAGACGATGGGTGATAGAATCCAACTTACACCCAAGTCCGCCCCCTCCCCCGTTAGGTGGATATCCATTCTGGTCATCTGTCCAGGTTTTGACATAGAACTAAGGAAAGTTCATCTCAGTAACCCCACACATGAGAACGGATTTCTGTATTACGAAAGCACTAACCGCGTGTAGTGTATTGTTGTATTGGATATTCTCGGCGACCACTCTTTCGATAGTCTCGAACTCGTCTTTGTACTGCCCTATACTTCCCATCGCAATTCCAAGTCCGTTATAGAACTTGCTATTTGTGATGGCAATATCAGTGCTATTGGCTTTGAGTGATATACTGTCGTCGCCGTTGTAGACAGTCCAGTTGTTGAATGTGATATGAGATGATCTTATGGTATCAGCCCCATCGGTGTTAGCTGCTCGAGTCAGTTCATATCTGTGAAGGGCTAAATAGTGACCATTCAGAAGTAGATTACTCACAGCTTTGAGCCCAGTTCCCGGTGTTATTGACCAAAATACTGTCTAGCAACACATGGTGAGAGTTGATAATTGACATTGTCCTTCGGTAATTTGGTCAGTACGCGCGCTCATTTCGATATTCACGCCTGACATACCACATTTGACTCCTTAAAAAGGTGAGACCCTTGATAGCGGAGTTTGTAAGCTTGTCAAATGTCACAGCATGGGGCCGACCCGGGTAGTTGGATGTGTTTGGTTGCTTTCTGATCCATTGATACCAGTAGTCACCGTTGCCATCAAAGTTGCCTTTACCATATCCATTGACACGGACGTTATTTCCTCCAAGGATAAGGGCTGTTGACTGATTTTGATATCCTACATCCAGAGAGTTGTTCAGCCAATAGGGGATGTCGGTGCTCCACTAGATCAGGACGAGGTACATCCCGTCAACATCTGCGGACAATGGAATAGATCAGAACCACTCATTCAAGGTTCTTACCAGCAGCTTCCCATGGATTTCAATATCCACATTTTCAAGCCACGAAATGTTCATGACCGAGTTCACGTAATAAGTTTTTGGCTCAAAAATGACTCTCCCATTGCGGCCACATTGTTTGAAAGCCTCAAGAATCGCTGGAGCGTCATCAGTGGCATTGCTTCTGCCACTCTTGATCGAGCAGCTGCTCTGCTGTCTTTTGGCAATCACCACATTGAATAATATTGCTTGGATTGCTAGGGCGATGGTGGAATGGAAATACATTGTGGAGTCTAATCCAAAGCAACTTGTCGCGTAAAGCTTGGCTGTCTTCGCAGTCCACTTATAATCATATGATTTTGTTTGTGCAATTCCATCGGTGTATCATTGCCCGATTGCAACATTAAATTGAGGGGTCAACCGTGCGTTTTGCCCATGCGAAGTGGCTTGGCATCCTTAGAGTTATAACGTTTTCGACGTCTGAACATGGCATCTAATGTTGCACCAATCAAAATAGCTTGCCTATTTGAGCAGCCAGCCCCGCTTTAGTAGGTCAAAATGACTTTTGATTGGACTCGGTTTGTGCCAAGGGTCTGAAGGAAGCCCGGATAAAATAACGTGCACTTCCCAGCTTCGAGCTCGGTTGAAAAGAAGCTCTGATGATAAAGTATCGAGCTCCATAGAGTAGAGATATTGAGATAGGTGTGAGAGATGAGAATTTTTAGATACCATTCATGGATTTTCTCAAAGTTTTCATACTTTCTTTTCACTCACTGCACGCTTGAAATAGTTTCCCCTCGCCTTTTGCCCGGAAATATATGACACCCTCAGCATATTATATTCACAGACCCCTCTTGGCAAATCACCCGAAAATGGAATTATGTTGCCGTGAATAACACACCGGGCATTCCCAAGAGTGAGGAATACCCATTCTTACGTGCCAGAATCTCGGTGTCGATATCCGTGGAGAGTGAGAAGGTGAGGAGCGAGTGAAAACTTAGAAAAAGGATGATTCAAAAATAAAAAACTGCTGCAATATAACCGGGCAAAGCCTGAGGCATCCACACAGCAACTTTCGAAGATCTCTCCTAAGATCTCGTTCCTCCGCGATGGAGTTCCAATCCAGGGTCAGTTCCCTACTAATCAAATGAGACCTTCAGGATTTTTAAATGGATTCTCGCTCAAATTTAAGCGACCATCACTGCCAAGACGAGCAATTTCCAGTCTTCAATATACCCCGCAATATCGGTATAGTAGATGCCGACTTGGGATGATAAACGGTGTACTATAAATTCAATCTCAAGAAGACATACAAGATAAAAGATCCTAAATCTTAAGGTCGTATAATCGAGATCATCAGAATGCGAGTGTCCGCCTTTTTGTGGACCGGCCTATTAGCTGCCCCGGCAGCAAGTAAATATATTGTCCCAGGAGGCAGATGGCTAGATACCAACGGATCCGTGATCAATGCCCACGGAGCTGGAATTACCTTCGACAAGAAATCTGGTTTGTTCTGGTGGTTTGGTGAATACAAAACAGAAGAGCATTCGGAGGGTGGTGGTGTCTCGGTTTATAGTTCCGAGGACCTGAGTGTTTGGACTCCCGGGGGACTGGCATTGGGTATGTTGAATCCTCTTTCAAAACTCTTCCCAGACTTCAGGACTCTCGCAATGAGGATTTCCGGCCGTTGACGACAGCTTTAGCTCCTGTTGAGGGCCACCCCTATATTTCTACCAGCAACGTGATCCAACGACCAAAGGTTGCCTACAGTGCGGAAACTGAAGATTATCACGTATGAAGCAATGCTCAAATCCAAATGGTGAAGTTCAAATCTGACTTTCATTCCACAGATGTGGTGGCATGCCGACAACTCCAAGTATGGCCTTCTGCTCCAAGGTCACGCTGTGTCGCCCAACATCAGTGGCCCTTACACATTCATCGACGCAACTGCACCACTTGGAAACTGGTCTCAAGATTTCGGCTTGTTCACTGACTACAAAGATGGTCGCTCGTACGCCCTATATTCGAACGGAGATAGCGTCGATGGACGCGATGTCTACATTGCCAACATGAATGACAACCTCACCTCTCTCGAAGATGTCGTGTATCGATTCCCAAAATTCGATCTTGAGGCACCTACGATTATGCAAACTGAGAAGAGCTACTGGGCACTAATGAGCCACAAGACTGGATACAGACCGAACAGTGAGTGCGCGAAGGAACCCGAAACTATTAATCGCTTTACTTACTGTTCAGATGTGGTGGCATTCCGGGCCGACTCGCTGAAAGGCCCATGGTCTCAACCATTCATCGTTTCGCCTCTCAATACAAGGACTTTCAACTCACAGTCTGGGTTCACGCTCAGGATCGAGGGAAGTAAAAAGACCACTTATCTCTACATCGGCGACCAGTGGGATTCAAAGTCCGTCTGGGATAGTCGCTACATTTGGCTCCCGATAAAAACAGATGAAAAAGCCAAGACTCTCGAACTGGAATGGCATGACGTCTACGATCTGAATGTGTTCGTAGATTCATGGTGATTTCCCGATTTATTTCGACAAGCTGACTCTGAACTAGGAAAACGGGTGAATGGAAAACTGTGAAAGGGACCACTTATCCTGCTAAGAACGCAAAGACAACCGGGGACGCCTACAAACAAGAAGCTGTAAGTACAGTGACATCTCACGAAGTGCATACGACTAACACATTGGAAAGAATTTCGGCACGGACGGCATAATCCTGACCGGGATATACGCCAATAGCAGCACAGTCACATTTGAAAATATCGAGGGATCTGGAAAGCCACAATGGGTTTCCTTCTACTACCAGAGTAAGACCGTTGCATCTTCCTCCTGCATATTATTCTAACGCCATTCATCAGACACCGACGACATGGGATTCGGGGACCAACGTGAGTGATATGAAAAAATGAAAGAAGTTCAGGATCTAACTATTTTTAGCCGGGGGATCCCCAGACCGTATTGGTGGCTCGTGGCAGCTTCGGCGCATCAGCAGCGTGGTTGTGAACGGAGAACCATCAAGCATACAGACTTTGTATCAAAGGGATACCCACAAGGGAATCATTCTTTCCACACCGTTGAAGCTCACACTGAAAAAGGGGAAGAAGAACACAATTACGGTCGGTGGCTTGTATAATGGAGTTGATCACAAGGGGGCAGACTTGGATCGGATCGTCGTTTATCCTGCTGAGAAGTAGGGACACAATTACAACATGGACTATTAGAGAATCGAACCATTGGAGAGGCTATGCTCCATGTGTCTTTGATTACTAGCATGCACAAATTGCAACTTAATAGAGCAGTCAGTGAAAGCAAATCATGATATCCGGGCGAAAGGCTCGTTCGATCATCTTCTCCTTGTGTCCCCTGCACATTTCGATTACTCGAAACCCCCACATTAGTACTAGTGTTTATGCCACGAGGTACGCATTCATCCTGATAGTATACCTAATGAGTCATTTACTTGAGCAACAAGGAGATATGGGAGAGCTGTGGAATACTTTGACCGCGCTTTCAGTACCGGAATCGACTCTGAAGGCCCAGATGGGGTTACTGATACCATGCTCCCCGATGTAGACTCGGATAGAGGCGTTCTCGCCGAGCGTCACGGTAATCCGGAGTGCCAATCAAAATATAGTTGGGTAGTTGTAATCTTTGAGAATATTTGTCCAACTCCCAGCCGAGGATCGAAGGTGAGACTCAGGGTGCCATCGGCTTCAATTCTTGCATTCAACACCCTGATAACCAAGACAGTGAAGACACATGTGGTGGGAAATAGGCCAGGGAAGGCTTTGTTAAATCGGCTCCAAATGGAAGGAGGTCGCTCGACAAAGGGCTTTCAATGTCACGTTATCACCCGGCGACTGTTGCATCCTTTGTTGGCAGTGGCGGGGAAGACCTTGAAGACTTATTTTTGTAAAACATCTGCAATTATCATTCTTCAAGCAGGGAAAAATTCTATTCACTTGCGTCCCTGGACCCTGCGCTATCCCACAAACAGAATCTTTGTGTTTCATGGGAACTCCTTCTGCATCAATGACTGTGCCACCACGATGTAGTAGCGGTAGTTTCATACTTGCAATCACTAATCCGATGTCTTTTTATAACATGGACGCGTCACGCTGCAAGAGAAACAAGATCGCAGATCACCTTGTGCAGCATGGACTTCTCTAACAGCAGCATCTTCGGGGCCCTGTGCGGCTTTCTTCTGATTCAATCAACATTCGCCTTGGTAACGACTCGATCTGAGGTATGCAATAGAAGTCAAGATAACAAGTAAGATGACTTCTGACTCTCGATAGAATGTATCCCTCCAGGCTCGTTGGAATCCCATCTGCTGGTCCATCCTTGTCAGTTCTTGGGACACATGCGAGAGTCTGACTGCCAAATGTGGAGTCTCGTCTGAGGATTTCGCTACTTTCAACCCAGCTGTCTCGTGCTCTGCCCTACCCTTTGGAAAACCAGTTTGCTGCTCAGCGGGTACCCAAACTCTCCCACCGAAAGGACAAGAACCTTGGTGCTATGACTATACCGCTCGAGACGGTCATACCTGCGAAGAAATTGCCCAAGGATACAAGATCAGCGTCGCCGATATCGAGTCCTTCAACAAAGACACATGGGGCTGGCAAGGATGCGGCGCTCTTCAGGAAGGAAGCAGAATGTGCATTAGCCCTGGTGAGCCTCCGATGCCAGTGGCCCTTGCGGGTCATGTCTGTGGCCCTCAAGTACCTGGCGCCGTGCGTCCCAAAGACTGGAGTCAATTGTCCTCTGTGAACCCATGCCCGGTTGGTCAATGCGTAAGTCAGGTCCGATCTCTATGCAGGGACTCCCACTAACCACTTTTGCAGTGCTCTGGAAATGGTCAATGCGGCACTGGTGCAGAGTTCTGTGGTTCATCCAAACCAGAAGGCGAGAAAGTCACTACTAAGGGCGCGCCGATTGCACTGACGAGAGCCACGACTTCAAAAACCACTGAAAAGGCCTCTGTGACCTCTGTAGCGTCTGCTGCAACAACCAGTCACCAGTCCGATAAAAGGGAAATCAACCTCCTAGACATCCCACTGACCTACTACCACCCCGAGGAAGATGTGGCGCCCACAGCTACCACGAGCACATCAAGCAAGACCACGAGCTCTGCATCGAAAACTGGCTCTGTCGAGACTGTCGAATACGGCTGGCAGCTACAGATGTGGCCTGGCACAGGCTGCAAGGGTTCTAACTACATGCTCCTCAAAGGCTACAACAAGAAGCTGGAGGACAGCGACTGTCTAGTTCTGCCTGGCTGGGACATCTCCGATGTTTTCGATGGGAAATCTGTCTCATGTCAATGGTGGAGCGACGGTGGTCTCACTTCGGCACCCTGCAACACTACTAAATTAGTGACGCCTAGCTCCTGGATAATCTCCAACGGGTTATGCACTGTCAGTCCGAATGAGGTGTGCGACAATTACAACGACCTTAGCCAGACTTACGGCGCACGATGGGGTGGCACTTGTCAAAATCGGAAGTCAACAGACCCTTCGCCGTTTGGGTCGATGAAGTGTTATGTTGGATAGATAATGAGATAGAGACAAAATTTATAGCTACACCCAAATTGAACACAGTCCTGGCCTTGAATGGTGTCGACACTTCGTAGTCCGTAGCCCGTAGCTGCAAACACGGCCCCCGGGGGGCGAATAGGCAGTTGCTGACTGCCGTAAACACGAGAGCCTCAAGAAAACCCCATTTTCTTACAAGTCCCCTTTTTAGACTCGCCTGAGCGTGATTCTGCTTCCTTTTCTTTGTCACAATTTCTACGATGGGTCGCCCTCAAAAAGACGTGGCGTCATCGTCGCACTCCCTGCATTCTATCGACGACGCGCCTCCTCCCTACTCCGACGATCCCGAGCCCTTCCAGTCCTCTGCGCCCACAGGCGTCCAACCCCTCCGTTTGATCGACTCAGCCTACGTTCTCACCGGAGCCAAAGATATCAGACCGGATGACAAAGTCGCTCTCACACTTGCGCCGGAGCTGTCGAAGAACTGCGACCAACTCTTCGATGCCATCAGCACCCAAATCAAACTTCCCCCACGTCCCCTTCTGTACGTGAAAGGCACGCATACCGAGTCTGGTACCAGCAAGAAGGATAAAAACAGCAGCAATGTCACAGACTTCGATTTCCGCTTGGATCTCGCCGAGACCTTATTGACTGGCTGGGAAGATGGACGCGCAGAGTTCAACTGGATGAGAGTGGAGATCGTCAATGACGAGGACCAAAAGTCTGCTTATCGGGGTGGAATCCTTCGCTCGCGCACATACAAAACATCCAAGAAGGGCGCACTCCACCTGTCGGAAGACAATGATGCCCTGCTAGGGCAAGATCGCACAGGGGACCAGCAGGATCGAACAGTCGCGGCCAAGAGTCTTCGACTCTGGTGCGAGCGGTTCTGCAATGACCCTGCACCTGTGAAGTCGTAAGTTACGGCTCTCTCATTCCAGGGCTTCAATATTCCCCAACTAACCACTGGCTTTCAGATTCACCCTCCACCGCGAACTGGCTGGGTTCGACGTAAACGCCATGCGCAATGTTTTCTCCTCCCATATTCGCGAACTCAACTACCGTGGCACCGTTAACTATAATCTCACCATCGCACACCGCTCCGTTACCGTCTACTCCCCGCATTGGATCAACCGACTACGGGCCAACCGCTTCGTATGGTGGGCAGTGGTGATCCTACAGCTATGGATCATCACCTGGCCAATTATCTTCTTCGTGGAGAAGCGGTATGAGATTGCCAACACGCGCTGGTTCGCGTCGCTGATCCCAGAATCCGACTCGGCTGTGGAGAGATGTTATGCTCGCGGCCGTAATGAGTCCGCCTTGGCTGAATACTGGGCTCCAGCTGTGAAGCAGGCAGCTTGGAGTCGGAGGCAGGGCGGCGGTGATGTTCTCACGCGGATGGATGCGGATCGCCTGCAGGGTTATAGCACTAATCAGGTAATTGGTGCTCGTTCTCGAGATTCCGAGAATGAGCGCGAGCGGCGTGAACGTGTGAATAGTGGCCAGGCCGGCTTCGTGGATAATGTTGTTGGCCTGGTAAGGGGTATTGGAGAGGTCCAGGAGGATTGGAGAATGTCTATGGGATGGGGGGCTAATACTTGATTTTATCAACCTCCGTTCACTCATTCTCTGCACGACATTTGGCATCCAATATCCGTGGCTTCAATACCTCCAATCTCCTATTTTCAAATTGCTCAAGATACACATCACGGTGTAGGTTTTTTTTCTTCTTTTTTCCACAAACATCACTACAGATCAATTGGTAAGCTATGTGTCTTTCGAGATAGTCTTACCGGAGTGGTTGACAACCCATCTACTATGTGCTATCACCACTGAACGTCACCAACCTTTGTACTTCGAGGCTAGCCAGGAAGCATGATTTATCCTCGCTCCTAATTCCAGTATTTTGTAGTCTTCAAATGTTTGTACGAACAGATCCCAAGGTGATAACATTCTATCTACCAACTTTTAATCGCTTACTCCGTAGTGTTCCGTGGAATGTGTTTCAATGTTGGTTTCGATGCCTCGGACAGTTGGAAAGGTCAACGAACAATCGTTCTTTCATGAGTTCATCCTCGAGTCTTTGTGCGTTACGCAGGACGACAATCCACATTGTAAATGTTCTTTGATTCCCTTTGTTGCCTATGTTCTCAAGTCTGGTTCCTATCTTCGAAATACAATGCCTTCTATGTTCCCCCTTGTGTGTAGTATGTCTTTGGTCCTGGTTCGCTTCTTTTGTGTCATTGGTGTGTTACTAAATAAGGATTTCTTAGACTCTCCTCAAGGGCCTTAACTATATAATTGTGCCTGGAACGAAGTAATCTTCTCCAGAAACATCTCACTGTTCCAAGATTCACATCAACGATCCATATCCATCCCAATCCAGATTGAAGCATATTCACGTCTATTACAATTCACCCATCTTCAATCATGGCCGCTAGTACTCGTTCCCCGAAAAGACAGCGTTCCGAAGAAGGCAGTGGTAGTGATCGTCCCAGGAAACAAGTAAGTTTGTCCATCCCCCATTCTTTTTGCATTATAACTAACCTTTCTATAGCAAAAAACACGCTTAGTTGGCAGTCTACCAAGCTCACCACCAGGAAGCTCACCACCAGGAAACTCACCACCAGGAAACTCACCACCAGGAAACTCACCACCAGGAAACTCACCACCAGGAAACTCACCACCAGGAACGGAGTCCGAAGACGTGTCACTTCCATCGCGTCCACAAACAGTGCGCCGACAAAAAAGACAGTCAAGACTTCGACCGGCCCCAGTCATTCACGAATATAAAGCACCAGACTCCATTCCCGACTATGTTACAACAGACTGGTCTGACAGTATGTCTCTCTCCTCTGATATCGACCCCTCAGACCCAGAGTTGCAACTGGCCTACCAAACTGTGGGTGCACGGTACCAAGCATGGATTAATGGCCCAACCATCGAACACTGCCCTATCATGGAAGCAACGCTAACCTATCATGACTTATTTAGTCTCCCACCGGCCCCCAGTGAGTTAGTGAGTGGAGACCGGACCAGCTACCAATGGGTGGAAAAAGACTGCTCCTACTGGGAACCTTTTGAGTCTGTAGCAGATGATGCCAAAACGGTAGGTCTCTCAGAAGGAAATGATTGGAACCGCAGAGTTCTGCGGCAACTGGGCTGGGCACCCCACCGAGAGCTTTGGAAATGGAGTGAGTATATCCATTGGGTGGTCGAGGGTGCAATTGTTGCCGCTGCAATCATGAGATATCACGGACCTCATTGGTCTGAGATTGCCCTGGCTCATTACAGACACGTTTATCCAGACATCAACACATTGAAGTACGTTTATGTTGCGAACATTGTCAATAAGGAGACTGCACCATACGTGAGAGAGATCCTTTACAACGACGAATCGATCAAACCGACGGATGAGCCAGCTGCACGATACTGGGTACATGATTCAAACGAGTATCAATGCCTTTTGGGGACGGCGATTGGTAAGGGAGTGGCTTCAATGGTTTTGGGTGCTTGGCCTCGGGGTACTCACCGTATTAAACAGATCAAGTCCTACTTCGTAAAGCGGTGTCTGCATCTTCGATTCGACATTGTCGAGATTGGCGACGAGTCGTCTGCTTCGGGTGAGAAATCATCGGAACAGGCAGAGTTGCTAGAGGAAGAGATGGGTGTGGAAAAGGGGACAGACATCGAGATGGATGAGGCAGAGATGGTTGTGGATGAGGATATGCCAGACTCAGAGGGAGAAGAGGGTGAGATGAAAAAGGGGACAGACATCGAGACGGATGAATCAGAGATGATTGTGGATGAGGGTATGCCAGACTCAGAGGGAGAAGGGGGTGAGATGGAAAAGGTGCCAGACGTAGACACGGATGAGGAATCGGTATGTGAATGAGGATATGGAAGACTCAGAGGACATCGAAGGGGATGAGATGGAGAAGCGATAAGTGCTCGCATTGTAGACGGTATACCTATGCTCTTGCTAACCTTGTAACGAATCGTCTAGTAAATCAATGTTTGATTTTCCCAAAGTTTTATCACTCCAAACTTCCAACCATCAAATGTGCTCCGATTAAATTCTTAATTCTAGTGAAATACGCAGTCTTGAATCTTCACTGGTCAATATAGAGGGCAGATCAGGGTACTGATTCGCTGGTAAGACTATGACAAACCCAAGGACATAGTGATGTTGATATCAAGAATAACCATAACCTCAAAATAGTCCAGCTCTGGAGGATCGCCGCTAGGTATAGGACTAATGCCGACTAGTCGATCCCTTCAATAGTCCTCAAGTTGGTTCCAAGGTTGCAATCGAGTTTCCCGTCTGTCCAGCCACAAAATAGTCTTGAGGTCACCCGCTGTCTGGGAAATTATACCTTCAGATGGCGGAGACATCTTGAAGGCAATACAGGCGTAAGATCTAATGCAGTGAGTTTGGGTTGTTTACAAGAAGGTGTGCTTTCATATACGATCTATTATAGGCAATTCATATGTTCGTTTGAACATGAGGTAAAAAGATCAAGGCCTGCTGTAAACCGTAAAAGCAACCGGCCTTTCCAAATTTGTCAAAATGATCGCATCACTCTGCGATCCAAAACATTCAAAATAAAGGTACATGTCCACAAAAGAATTTAAAAATAAGAAAACCCTACCAAGTGAGGGCTTTACAGGAGAATGAAGCTAGCACCGAAGACGGCGGACATGATGGAGACAAGTCCGACGGCGGCGGGAGCGAAGCCGAACTGCATGGGCTTGAGGCCAGCAGCAGCACCCTCGGAGCTAGTGCTGGAGGCGGCGGAGCCACCGCTGGTAGCGGCAGCAACGTCACCGGAGCCCTGGGTGGCAGTGGAGGTAGAGCGGGTACCAGAGTTCTGGGAGCCATCACCGCTGAAGCCGACGGCCTTACCAGCACCCTGGGTCAGGTACTTCTTGGCGGGGGAGGGGATGGCGGGGAGAGCATCGGAAGAGACATCCCAGTTGGGCTTGGACTGAACGGGGCAGCCGGAAGCACCACCAGTGGAGTTGTACTTGCCGTTACCGGAGGGGTTGTCGGTCTTCTTGAAGGCAGTCTTGAGAGCATCGTAGTCCTTGTTGGTCTTGACGTCGTCACCGCTGATCTTGACAAGGCCGTAGTCGTTACCACCCTCAGAGTACTCGTAAACAAGACCACCGGAGTAGACAGGGGTCATCTTCTCGGAGTAGAGAGCCTCGACCTCCTCCCACTTACGGGTGTTGGTGTTGCAGCCGTACTCGGAGAGGAAGAGAGGAAGACCGTATCCAGTGAAGTTCTTGACCTTCTGGTCCCAGCCGGACTTCTCGAAGGAAGAGGGATCGCACCAAGAGTAGTCGTTGAAAGCGAAGAAGTCGGAGCGCTCATCGTCGGAACCACAGTTCATGTACTCAGCCATCTCGAGACGGTTGGTATCGACATCAGCGGCGGAGTAACCGACGGGGACCTCACGGAGCTTGTTACCGCGCAGGAAAGAGCGCATGTCACGGGTGACGGCCTTGACGTAGGGGGCGGCCTTGGAGGAGGGGCCGTCGTTGATAACCTCGTTACCAGAGAAGAAGGCGAGAGTGTTGTCGTACTTGGCGAACTTCTCCATGGTGGAGAAGATGTACTGGAGGTAGACATCGTTGTAGGAGATCTCGGGGTCCTTGCGGTTGAGAGAGTAGTCGGGGGTGTTGACATCGAGAACAAGGTAGATACCGGCTTCAGCGAGAGCGTTCATGCACTCGTCGTGGTCGGCGGAGTTGTCGACGGAGTAAACACGGATGGTGTTCAGGCCGAGCTCCTTGAAGTTCTCGATGTCGCGCTTGCAACCCTTGGCATCAGCGATGGGGTCGGCGAGGTCGGAGGAACCACCGGGCTGGTAGTCGACACCACGGATGTAGAAGCGGTCATCGCCCTTGAAGAAGGCGTTACCCTTAACTTTGATGGGGGTGATCTTGCTGTCGCGGGCCTGGAGGTTGGTGGCAGCACCGAGGACAGTGGATGCGCCGAGAGTGATGGCCGTAGCCATGGAGGCGACGGTACCCTTCATATTGTGTGTGTAGATGGGGGAAGTCGAAAGGAAACGAAGGGCGGAGGTTCTGCTGGATATGAACGATAGTCGGTAGAGGCGCGCTGGAGAATTAAAAGAATGACTGTAAGAAACGAAAGTGAGGTCAAGAAGAATGAAGAAGGAGAAAAAGAGAATGGAAGGGATGAAGGGTTATACGGTGCAGCCAAGATTATGGTCCAATTGGGGACGGCAAACCATCACTGCGATTGGGGGGAGGCAGGCGGGCTGTGCTACGCCAAGTACATTGGCTGTTTGTCCCGACTCGTCGATCGCCAGCAAGGGTCACCGTAGGCGATGTGAGTGGATGTGGTCTGTTATGAGTGGGTATCGTCAGGGTTTTAGTGGGGGTGTCAATATGGGGATGACCCTGAATCGGCGTAGGCCCCCCTATTTTGTCGCAATTACAGTGGTGCTGATTTTGCAATTCCAGACTGGCGTTCAATACATTTAACCAATTGACTGTTCATTATGAACATTGACCCTCAATTGGTACACAATCGTTTGGGCCGTACTTATGTACTGGGTAGCACGATCTCGGAATATTGTGCTGCCTCCTGTGGAGTCTGTACTTGGCAATGACGCGCCAGCAGTGGCGATCGAGCGCAGTATGGCCCTTTGAGGGTCCTTTGGGGGTCCCTGGAGGGTCTTTGGAGTGTCCCTGAAAGGGGGTTTGGGCTAGTCTCGCAGGGGAAAAAGCCACCCAAATTCTAGAACCCAGAAAATGTGATTTGATTGGTTGCCAACCTCGGAGTGCTCCACTTTCCGGTGCTGAGACGTGGTTTGGAACGGTCAACCACACAAACGCACACATGTACCATAGATGCACCGTTCTATACTTAGTCCTGAGACAGTTACATAGATTGGGCTTCTCACTTCGTACTTCGTACAGATGATATATGGTCACAGACAATGTTTCAAATTTCTTATGCTTCGGGCCATTGGATTGATCTACGGAGGGACCGTGGAATTGCCTTCGAGATCAACATGGTGATAGATTTCTGATACATTGCCTCATATTCAGACTGTCTCACTTCTCCTTTTGCTTGCACTTCCAGCTAGCGACCGCAAATCTACCCACACGCCGGTAGATATGCCCCGCAACGCCCCCAGACTCTCCATCACTGGCCACACCACACAAATTAAAACACTGATCCAGATCCAGATGAATGCCACAACAACCCAGCCTGTGAAAAATGGCCGACTATAAATATACTCGCTGCCAAACAAAGTGAACGGAACCAATACTACCGCACCAAAGAAAAATATTCCATTTGCAACCCAAGCGATTCGCGCTCCCTTCTTGGCGAGGACCGGGTCCATCGGCTCGACCTCATTGGACTCGAGATAATCAATTAATTCATTCCTTGGCGCTGGACTTTCATCAGCCAGGGGTAAAGTCGACTTTTCAGTCCCAGCCTTGTCGGCTTCATCGTGCAGGATGTCTGGTGATGATTCAATGACCACAACCCCAGCAATGGCAGTTGGAGGGGGCTGGCATTTCTTCGGAAATGCATAACTCAACACAAAGGCCATAAAAAGCCCAGTGCCGAATGAGGCCAAGTTTCCTGCAAGCGCATTGGTCGTATCGCCTGTACTTGAGACATCAATCGTCCCAGATCGCTTATACGCCGTGACAAACCACACCGTCACTCCGCAGATGAACCCAATCCACGGCGCGCAGATCGCCGCAACTGTCGACATTGGCTCCCAGAGGAGAATCATACCCACTGGAAGCGCTGCACCACCAACAATCACGCCCAATACGGTCAAAACCCACGTCAGGCTGATTCCCGCTGCGTTGAGGATGCAGCAGAATACGGCCAGGACTAGAGCGTAGAGCGCGATGCCCCAGTGGCTGACTTTCACAAGAGTCTGGGAGTCTGTGTCAGGGCGGTAGTAGGTTTTGTACACATCGAAGGTGAGTAGCGAGGAGACGGCAATCAACTCTGCCGATGTAGAGCTCGTAACAGCCATGAAGAGCAGAACGAGAATGAGCACCGCTCCACCCTTACCAAGAAGGGCAATCGCTGTTGCGGGTGCAGACAGGCCAGCTCCGACTTGTTCAGCCGTGAGAGGGTTTGGGTACGTTGGGAAACGCGGGTCTCCGGTCAGTGCTGCGCAGCCTAATCCCATGATTGTAGCGAAACCGAAGGGGATTCCTATAATTGTCAATTGAGTTCAAGTCCGTCGCACTCGTACCAAGCACATACCGTACCAAGCAATGCCCCCGAGGATGTAAGCCTTCACGGAAGTCTCCGGCTTGGAAGCAATGGCTCGTTGCCAATAAGCCTGATCCAACCAGACAGTCGTGAACCCGGCAACAAACAGATCGCATGCAAAGATAAGCCCACCCACAGATCGAAATGCGAGATACGAACCGCCCGTGTTGCGGTCAATGGGCATTTTCTCCGAAGCTGCAACCAACAACTCATAGAGCTTCCCCGGACTTCCCACCAAATCACTGGTTGCAGTGACTAAAAATCCAAAGACCAAGATTGCAATGAAAAGAATAACAGTATGGGTATAGTCCGCAATGAAGGTCGACCGCAAGCCACCCGCGATAACATAAACCGCCACAACGGCCGGTATCAAAAAGCTGGCAGCATAAACATTCATACCCGTCAACGCACCAAGGACCTGTGCACCACCGAGCACCAAGCAAGCGCCAACGAGCATGTTGGTAGCGAGCCCATAGTACAAGTATGTAATATGAGCCCACTTTCCATGCCTCGCGAGCACGATTTCCGGCATTGTATGAGCGCCCGGCGCATTCGACTTGATCTTTATCGCAATCAAGCCGAAGAGCAAGATCTGCAATGTCCCTGTCGCGGCATACCACATTGGACCACAGACACCGTACTCGTAGGCAAAGGTGGAACTTGTAAGGAGGGTCGCTGACCAGGTCCAGGATGACACGATTCCGGCGCTGATGAGGCCTGGCTTCACGGAGCGGGAGGCGGTGTTGAATTCCTCGGCCTGGTGCGTAGAGAATGACGTGTATCGATTTTGGAGCCACGTTAGGCTAAGCATGAACAAGGCGAATAGTATGCCTATGCCGATTACTATGCCGTAGCCGGCGGAGGGGGGTAAGACTTGAAGGGTGCTCATTTTGAGGCTGGTGCCGCTGGAGGGACTTGCTGCCCTGACGTTTTGGGGATGATTGCATGTTTATAGGCAATGAGTTAGTGTTATCGAGCGGGGTTGTAGGATTGTCTTCTGGTCTTCGTCAATAGATCTGATCTTCATATCAATCGATGATTAGCAGTTACCCCAACTGATAGACTATTGTTTTGGGGTAGGTTGGAGGTAATGATAAGAACGGCGGGCATTGACTGGGTGTATGGCATGCAAGATAAGCATAAAACGAGTTAAAAGCGAATGAAATTGATACCATACTAACGTACATCCCATTCGGAGAGCATATCAAAGCTTACATGCGTTGGGGTCTGGCGCCTTTTGATGCACCAAGCTCCAGAAGTTGCATTGAATCGCTCGCGAATATAGAAGTACACCTCAACATCACAACCCCGAGACCAACATTTGCCTGGCATTATCAAAGCTTCGTCGAAAGGTAAGGGAGCCCATACATCTCGAAGATAGTCCACCTTGCGACTATCTTTGTTCCTAACGTTTTTCTTTTATTCCGACAACGATGTGCGACAACAATGTATACTCCGAGCATTATACATCGCTTCAAATAGTTATAAACCAAGGGCTTTCAATCGTGAGATAAGTTCAGCGGATTCCATATCATTCGGCCGGATTGGTGAGAGTGAAGGAGCCTGCCGAGCTAAATCAATATTAGCAGATTCAATCTTGGTAGTTGCGAAGCCCCAACATCGCTATCGGCATGCTTCAAACCATGCTCAGGGGGTCTTACCAAACTCAATATCATAAACGTTTTGAATGCTCAAGATGGAGCTAGGAGGTATATAATGGACGACGAGGTACTCATCGGCGACAGTAGAATATGCTCCATTTGGGACTGACAAGGAGAACATGTCGACAATCTCTTGAGCACGGAAAACATAAAAGCCCAGCAGTTCTGTCATGTCGATCTCGAGGAGTGTGCAGTCTGTGCTACGAAATCGCAAATGTCTTTCGAGCATCCAGTTTTCTGCGTGGGTTTTGTCGGCGAAAAGTGAGATAAAGATGGTATTTTCGTACTCCCAACTTAGATGCCGCTCCACAGCGTCGATAAAGTCATCAAGGCCTGTTTCCTCGTCAAATATTGTTTTATCGTCTTGCGCCTCAAGGCCGCCGTCGAAGTCGTACTTCGTGACGGACTCCGCATATTGGACTCTGTAAAGTGTGGCTGGGATTTCATAGGCGGCAAGATCGAAGAGGTCCATAGCGGGTACTACTGACAGATAATTGTTAGCAAGTGCTGCCCAAGAGGAGTAAGAACGGCCAACGCGGTCATCGATGCTGACAGACACGCCACAAGGGGGTAGGCTAGCTCGTAGCCGTAGGAAAGGGATACTGGCACACGGACAGTTTAATGTGTATTGTATGCGGAAATGAACAAGAGTTTTCGCTGGCTTCCGTACTCTGACATCAAAAAATAGTCAAAGCTATGATATTAAGACTCGCTTCACGGGCGGAATATATCATATTGGAGATTTCGGGCAGTATTCAGCTGAGCTATGTAAATAAAACGTTGCGCTTTGATTCCCTAGACGATGGGCCTCCAGATAAGAGGGGTTCCACGGGATGTAAATATGCATGGGAACTGTCATTTCGACCAAAACACGTGTTTACCCTTTGGGAGACTCCGGAAATACAATGCCGGCACTTTTGGCAGCCCGGGACTAGAATGCGGGCACTATAGCCAATCTTGGCAAACGTTTCGCCTTGACAGGTAAAACCCCAAAGCCTGTTATTTGTCGCCCAATGGTCGATCAACAAGGAATGCCTTTTACTTGTCATATATGGAGTATGGAAGGCCCATATGGTCGTCACAGTTTGTCCGAATATACCGATCAGCCTTTTCTATTGGAGCACATCTTCATCGTACCCGCCCACTTACCATGTGAGAAGATCTCGATGGAGCTCATGGAATGTGGGTCCAATTCATCAAGGGTGATTGACTTGAATGTTGCACGACGCTAATGACTCGTACCCTATGGTACCTGGTCGTTTAGTACTTTTATTTGAATAGTCGCTGGAGAAATGTGATACACCATCTCTAAGAGGCTCCATTTAACGAGCATCTTTTGTATAGGTAACAAGTCCATTATCCCAACCGGCTTCCTTGCATTACTTTTGTTAGATTTAGCTTTTTCCACAATCAATGCCAAGTATTTTCCACGCGTTTGGAATGCAATAAAGCGGCGTGGAGAAGGCGATAAATGTCGATCATCTCCTCGCGTGGCGGGTGGTCTCGTTCAATTTGCATACATCACAGTGCATTAGGAGTTGCCGTCCTGAATTATGCATAGGTAGTCTCCCAAGGTGTGGTTTACCCAGGCGCAAGAAGACGGGAGGACAAGAACACGTCAACAGGCAGGTCCTCCAAATCAGCTTAATCAGAGCGCCTCTTCTCCAACTTATTCGTACCATGCACCCAATCTAACAGTCCCACCGACCCGTAATTCAAATTGAATTTCTCATGATGCAGATCATGCATCTGAGCCTTGTTGTGGAAGAAGTCATATCCACTATGTACGGTAACGGTATTGAATAGCTCATAAGACAGGAAAAGCCAGAACGTTAACACATGGCTGTGGAGTAACTGCGGTGGCAGAGAAATGGGCAAAGCATTGGCGAAGATTTGTTCGATCGGATGTGCAAACTGAGCAGCCAGTCCGATAGGGGCTGTGAACCGATGATGTTTCTTATGAATTCGCACATATAGGTAGGGGATGTGCAGCAAGCGGTGGCTGTAGTAAAAGAGGATCTCGCGCATCAATAGGCTCATGACCACATCACGAATGATCTCAGCAAAATTTGGCAGCGATTTCTCTATCCGGTATGAAGAGCCTGAGCCTGCACGACTTGCTACGGAGAGTAGGGCGAGGTGCAGCACAGATGAGAGAATCTGGTTCTGTGCGACAACGGCAAAGCAGCGAGCTATGTCTTGTCGGGTCGGCTGCTTGGGAGCTGGTTGGATCTTGTGGCGGTGAGAGAATGAGGGCACAATTATGTCCAAGAGTAGATAGAAGACAGCGGGGATCCAAAAAAAGGAGATCTGAACGAGGAGCGTTCCAACAAATTCGATCTTCTGGGGTGAGTGGTTGGACACTATGTGCGCCCAGAAGTCTGCGACTTGGGGTACCAGGTCACTACACCATGCCTCCATCGTGAGTTGATAATTCCAATGTTGGCGAAAGAACAGTATTGAAGCTGTTGGCGAGGGCTTTTTCATTTACAAATCCCCGCGTTTTCTTGAGTGCCTCGGTACCCCGGAAATCTTGAATCACCGCGACGGGTACCGCCAATGATGACGGCTCGGCTAGATGTTCGATCCATGTGAAAAAGCTTATGGTCAGGATTTGAAAACGGAGGCTCGTCACTGGGCCAAGATGTAGACAGCGGGACTCGTCTTGAGAAATTCAGATGTGCACTCGGATTTTTGATAATTCTCGACCCTCGATTGGTGTCCCTGCCGAAGGGGCGCGTGTTAATTCAATGCGGTTCCTTCTGGTCATGAAAATGAGAAATTCCGATAAAAGGATCCGCTGAGCTCAATGCTGATGTGAAGTTAGAATAAAACGCAATCTCGGAGTTGTGTCAAGCGCTGAAGAAATCCAAGGCTGACTTCAGGAACAATAGCCCAAAGGGGACCTCCATATTACCCCCACTTAATCCGTAGTTTCAATGCCTTTGTGGACTTCAGGACCTGTAGACGACATCGATGGATCACATTGTGTACAGATAGTACAGCACAGCTCTGGTCAGAACTTTGGCCGACTCTCGACATGTTTTGCAAAGTAAGAAGTGAAAACCTACAAGACATTAGCATATATTTTGCAACTAGTTTCAAGGGCTTAGCATGACCAACATGCCAGGGGTTTCAAGATTAATGTCGCCTCCAAGTATCATCTGCCAGCTGGGTAGATGCATAGGCACATATTGTGTGCGTTGGATTGCCAGATATCTCTAGGTTGTTTGTTAGTCTGTCTCCCGGTAAACGCCTGTTGGTACCTGCAGGTGCCGTGTCTAGCCGCTACCATCCAATCCCAGCGAAGTCTCCGAATCCCTGTATAATTGATTGGTACCACTTGTAGCTAGAGTTGACACTGCTTCATTTCAGTGCATGGTCAACAATATTTGCATACCAGTTGGTTGACGTGGACCTGAGATCGGACACATTGCCACGTAAAGACTCAATAGGGCACCCGGGCAGCATTATGCTTTTTATGTACATGATTAAATGCCCCTCGTTTTCACCTTGAATGGGCTAATAGCGAGCTTTATAGGTGTATAATTCTAGAAATATGAGATTTGAAAACATTATTCAGGCCTGGAGGCTATGACAAAAGCACATTTTGCCCAGCGCCTTCTTTTCACACGGTGCTTTTGTAAACTGAATAGGCTCACTCAGTCCATAACTTTATTGGTGTAGGCTCTGAGGCCATCCTGCAGTGTGTAAATACTGGCGAATTACAATTGAATGCATCGCTAGGCGAATTCGTTTGCCCTGGGGGGATTATTGAAGAGAGCCTCACCGGGTAGTCAGCAATACTGACAGCTCTCACTTGACGTTACAAGGCCCCAGAGATCAGATGAAGTTGTTTTTGTTTGAATCAGATGATCATGAATGCAAGAACTTTTGAACCTTTTATCTTTCTCACTTTCTTTCACTTCTTCTTCTTCTTCTTCCACCCAGCTTGCGAACTTCAGACTGACATCTACTCATTCTGAACATTCTCACTCCCCAGCAGCGGTCCCTTCCCTCCAAGGGATCTCTTCAACTGTGTGGGGACTGAAAATCGCAAGGCACTTACAAAGCAAGTGCCAACTTGATATCGAGTTCCTCCATCCTATCTTCCCCCACCACCCTCTACTCATTCAACGTCCTCTTCTTCTTGACACACCCTCAAAGATTTATTTGCTTCTTCGGTCAACAGCCTCGAGACTCCCCACACTGGAAGTCACCGGAGCTATTTCCACACTCCAGGTTTTCTTGACCTCTTGCCATAATGCCAAGCCGTCGAAATCGGAGACATCGAGGCAAACCTGCCAACGGAGAGATATCTGATTCCCCCAAACTTCCCAATCAGTCAGCCGAGGTTTGCAAGCAGTTCCAGCGTGGCAAGTGTTCGTATGGGGACAGGTGCAAATTTTCGCACAATGGGACCAAGGCCGCCGACTCCCACTCAACTTCGGATGCACGCCGTCTCACAGCCGACAACCCAGAGGCTCGGAAGCAATACTTCGACTGGAAAAGGCTCATTCGGAATGGGCCATCAGGCCGGAGACACCCAGGATGGGAAAACGCGGAACTCTTTGAATTCTGGGCCGGAGCCTTGGAGATCCTCAAAGGTACCAGCACGGAGTATCATCAGTTCCTTGCACGGGATCTTGTGAGTGAGGAGCTTCACGGATTTGATTTCATCAAGAGCACTACGGATGCGGACAATTCACGGGGGCTTGAAACTGAATCTTGCGATGAAGCATTTCTCAAAGTCATCACGCATCTGTCTCTTTTGAACTGTCTCTCCGTTGATTCGTTTGTTGGAACTCTATACACATCATTCGGGGGAGTGAACGGGGACCGAGCAATCCATTATCTCCACCACATCTGTCAAAGCCTTATGGATACAGGGCGAGACAGCTACCAAGGGACTTCAGTGGTGTCTTTGGACACGGTCAAGCTACTCTTGGATGCCCTTTATCAGCTCTTGTTAAGAGTCCGACGCGCTCGATTCCATGACGAGCTCCCAGCACTGCTCAGCCTTACTCGTGACCTTACCTCCAAGATCACCGACGAGTGCTCGAAAGCCGACCTTGACGGACTGGAAAGCAAAACAGACGTTATGCTGAGCCTGGTAAATTGCGTGAACCGAAAGCTCGCTACACCCAGTGTGTCAGAGAGACCTCAACGGCAGCCCGCCCCAATCCTGTCGTCGTTCCCAATGGATATACAGATACCTGGGGGTAGACACGACAACGACCTGGCAGAGATCTCTCAAATTGAGATTCTTCCAACCCATGCAGAGATCATGTATGGCGATTCGGAATACCTTCCTTCGACGAACTTCCTTCAGCCGCACTTCCTCACCGACCCTCTACAGAGATATGTAGACTCCACATTCCGACTCCTACGCCACGATATTTTTGGCTCCGCCAAAGATGTCCTTCGGGATCTGCTGCAACAAAGTAACATGAACAGAGTTCCTTCTGTTCGGGGAAAGGATAGCGGCGCAATTGTTTACACGACCGCACATGTGCAGCAAATCTTTATCAACCAGAGGAATGAGCTCGAGGCCACTGTCTCATTCTCCCCACCGCCACAACTGTGCAAACTCTCTGTCAAGGAGCAATGCAAATGGTGGCAAGACTCCAGTAGGTTGGAAGAAGGAAGTCTAGTGTGTTTCTTGGCACTTCAAGGAGGGCACAGAAGGATCATCTTTCTCGAGGTCACTGTCAAGAATCCATCCAAAGACCAGGAAAACCGGTACAAGAGTTGCCTTGCTTCTGATTCATCTCCGCCTAGCATCACAGTCAAGCTAGCGGCATGTCAGCAGCAAGAGCTCATGTTCCTGGCTCAACTCTATACCCAGAGGGTCGCTGGTATTCTTGTTGACTTCCATGGTATGCTTCCTGCAACATTCTTCCCAATTCTCCAGAACCTCCAGCGAATCCAACGGGAGGGGGAGCTGTCCTTCCAAAACTGGATCTTGCCAGGCTCTAAAAAGGGCCAAGATGACCAGAGCATCCCACCGCCAGCATACGCACGAAAACCAGGTTTCAGCTTTCCCTTGAAGTCAATCACCAAACCTGGAACCGAAAACCTTGCGTTGAACCCAGCCGCCCCTGAGTCAATTGACATCATGAAGCTGCAAGTTGAAACGGGCCTTGACCATGGCCAGTGCCGGGGGCTTATTGCAGCTCTCACGCGCGAGTATGCCCTAATCCAAGGCCCCCCAGGTACTGGAAAATCGTATTTGGGTGTCAAGCTTGTTCAGGCACTACTCGAAATCAATGAAAGGGCAAAGATAGGCCCGATAATTGTAATGTGAGTACTGACTCTATGCCCTGGGGTGGCCTGTGCTTTGACTGACGATTTCTACAGCTGTTACACGAATCATGCCCTGGATCAGTTCCTAAAACATCTTCTGGATGTCGGCATTGAGAAAATTTTACGCATCGGGGGACGGAGCCAGGCTGCTGAGCTTCAAGGCAAGAATCTTCGCGTTGTCAGTAAAGACATTGCCAAGACGAGGGTAGAGGCCCAAACCCTCGGCATGTCTTACGGAGCAATCGATGAGACCATGAAGAGTGCTGGATATTGCATTAAGCCTCTAGACCAGTCGAAAAAAGGTCTCTCTTGGAACGCGATCGAACCATTCCTACGACGGAAATTGCCAAGGATACACCACCAACTGCAGCAAGAGGACAAGGATGGATTCAAGACGGTTGAAAAGGACAGACTGTTAAGCTGGCTCGGAGTGAAATCGATGAACATGTACAAGGGCCAAAACGATGACGAGGTTGACGATACCCGCTTGAGAGAACTTATGCGTGCAGCGGAGAGGGACATCCACAGCCTCGCTAAAAACGAACGCCGAATCCTTGCAACCCGTTGGTTTAACCAATGGCAGGAAAATGAAACTGGGTCGCTTTTCGAGGCAATATCAGAAGCGGAGAACTGTCGTAAGGCAATCAACACAGTCCACGAGGAGGTCAATCGCCGGGCCTTAATCCAAGCGGATGTGGTGGGAATCACGACAACATCACTGGCACGTCACATTGAGACTCTGCGTCGCATCGGAGCCAAGGTGATAATTTGCGAAGAGGCAGCTGAGGTGATGGAAGCCCATGTCATCTCGGCTCTCATGCCGGGCGTTGAGCATTTCATACAGATTGGGGATCATCGCCAACTACGACCACAGATTCAAAACCACTCACTGAGTCTCGAGTCTCCCGCAGGAAAGAAGTGGCAGCTGGACCGAAGTCAGTTTGAGCGACGCGCTGAGGGAGAGCCAGGTCTCCGACCTGCCCCTGTCGCGCAGCTTAACGTACAACGAAGAATGAGGCCTGAGATCTCACGACTCATCCACAGTGTCTACCCAAAGCTTGAAGACCATGAAAGTGTATTCTCTCTTCCCAATGTTGTTGGAATCCGGGAGAATCTCTTTTGGTTGGACCATCGACGCAGCGAAGACACCAAAGATGATGGCAGCCGTGTGAGATCACACAGCAACCAGTGGGAGGTTGATATGGCTACTGCTCTGATTCGCCACATTGTTCGGCAGGGAGAGTATAAGAGCACAGATATTGCTCTTTTGACGCCCTACACCGGACAGTTGCGTAAGTTGAGGACGTCCCTGAGCAGGGACTTCGAAATATGCCTAAGCGAGCGGGATGCAGAGGCATTGGCCGCAGAGGAACTTGCAATTAATGCAAGCGAGGCTACACAGTCCATCGGTCACAGGGCAATCGAAAAGAAGACATTGCTCCAGACGCTTCGCCTCGCCACAGTCGACAATTTCCAGGGTGAGGAGGCAAAGGTGATTGTTGTTTCTCTGGTTCGCAGCAACTCGAAGCGCCAAGTCGGATTTCTACGCACCGAGAACCGCATCAATGTGTTGCTCAGTCGGGCTCAGCATGGAATGTATCTGATTGGCAATACTGATACATATGTCAATGTTCCAATGTGGGCCGATGTCCATTCCAAGCTCGCTGGTGCGAATGCAGTCGGCACTGAGCTTGCGCTTTGTTGTCCCCGTCATCCGGAAACGGCCATCTTCTGTTCTCAGCCTCATGACTTTGAGAGAAAGAGCCCTGAGGGTGGATGTGTTCTCCCATGCACCCGTCGCCTCGAGCCATGTGGCCATCAATGTCAGGCAGCATGTCACTCGGCGATGATGCACGACGGTTTTCCATGTGGCAAACCTTGCCCCCGTATTCGGGAAAGTTGTCGACACGAATGTCCTAAGCTCTGCGGTGAGACTTGTGGCCTTTGCATGGTAAAGTTCCACGGTGTGGAGCTGGCTTGTGGGCATAGAAAGAAAACGGTATTCTGCCATCAAATGTCTAGGCTGTCGCTCATTCGTTGTGATGCCGAGGTTGAAAAGACTGTTCCTAATTGTGGTCATACAATTAAGGTGAGCTGTTTCAAGAGCGTCTCTACGCCTGGCTTCCGCTGCCCTGAAGCATGCACCAATGTTCTCAGCTGTGGTCACATGTGCAGTGGAAGCTGTGCAGAATGCCTTCTCACGGTGTTGGATGGGAAGAAGTTGTTCGAGCACGCTGTATGCTCAAAGATTTGTGACCGCCCACGCGGCGTTTGCAACCATCGGTGCTCCAGGAAATGTCATGAGGGCGAAGACTGCGGGTCTTGCGACGTTAAATGCGAGGTAACACAGGTCAATTTTCACATTGTCATCACAACCGCTAATCTTTTTTCCAGGTCCAATGCTCGCACTCAAGATGCGATTCCACTTGTGGTAAGGCATGTGCCCCATGCATCGAGAGGTGCACTTGGTCCTGCACTCATCAGGGGTCTTGCTCAATGCCTTGCGCGGCGCCATGCGATCGCTTGCCTTGTAATGAAAGATGCACCAAAGTACTCCAATGCGGTCACCGGTGCCCCAGTCTTTGCGGTGAGGATTGCCCAGAAAGCCTTTGCCAGCAATGTGGCGACAAAGGAGATGCCCGTGTTGACTTCCTTGAATGGAAGACCTACGCCGAAATCAATCTTGATGAAACCCCCATCATTGTTCTTGGATGCGGACATTTCTTCACAAATGAATCAGTTGATGGATTGGTTGGCCTTGACGAAGTCTACACAAGAGACAAACATGGGAACTTCAATGGCATCCGAAACTCTTCCTCTCTCGCCAATGCCATACCCTCCTGTCCGGACTGTAAGCAACCCATTCGGCAATTTGTCACGAAGCGGTACAACAGAGTGATTAACCGCGCTGTGATGGACGAAACCTGCAAGCGGTTCCTGACCAAGGGTCGTTCTGATCTACAGGAGATTGAAAAAGGCCTCGAGGAGGCCGAAAAACAACTCAACGCTGAAGAAGTGAGTTTGGCAACATGGGATCTTGAACAGGATTTCAAGGTCCGACATGCGGATTGCAAACGTCTTGCGTTACGAGCTTTCAAACTCAGCAGGACCATGAATGCTGAGAATCAACCCATGACACGGCTCATGGATTCAATCGAAATCTTTCAGAAAGTACCAAAAGGTGAAGAGGACACTCTCTCGGCGCAGATGAAAGATTTGAACATAGCGAAGCGCGAGCGCAACAATCAAATTACCCTAAGAGCACAATTCCTCAACATCAGAGCCCGGGAGCTCGTGCTCAGCGATATTTTCAGGGTCATGGGTTCAATCAAAAAGTCAAACCACTCATCAAGTGCCATGTTCCTCAAAATACCTTCCGAGTTGACTGTAATCCTGCGGGAATGCCAAAGTCAGATCGAGCGATCCAATGAGGAAAACCTCTTCCGCGTCGTCATTGCGGCAACCATATCCTTCTCCAAACTTGCCCACTTGAATTCGTGGTATCATCGAAGTTACCCAGGTGAGGCTGAAATCGATCCCAAGGCTGAAGGAGGAAAAGCGACTCCTAAGAAGTTTGAAGATTGGTGTGATATTGCCCGTGAATTGCTTGCAGCTGCCCTGAAACTGTGCGAAAGGCTGGGTGACTGCCCTGAGCTCCGGGAAAAGGTTCAGCAAATGGCCCATTTGTATGAGGGACCGCGGTACGAGACTGTGACTTTGAAGGAAGTTCAGTCTATCAAGATGGCCATGGTCAGTGGGCTACAAGGAATGGCAACCAACACGGGGCACTGGTACAATTGTGAAAATGGTCATCCGGTGAGTCAATTTGCATCATGCCCTGAGATTTCAACACGATGGAACTAATCGCATATAATAGTTTGCCATTGGAGAGTGTGGTATGCCGATGGAGGAAGCCAGATGTCCTGAATGTCGAGCGCCTATTGGGGGGCAAAATCATCAACTTGTTGAGGGAGCTTCTCGAGCAGTGGAGATGGAGGAGCGATAGGGACCTTCTTTCAAGGTCTCGCGCTTCCCGAGGTCCCTTGTTCACGCCCAACTTCATTCATGGCAGTCTCACTGAGCCGGACCTTTTTGAATGATGCTATGTGTCTTTTGCCAACGAAATGTGCCTTGGTGGAAATTTGACGCGGTCCAGTACAAACGAGAATAGGCGGCTTTGCAAGGAACTGGGTTGGATCTTTCAACCTTTGAATTAACCTACGCTATTATTACGTAAGGACTTAGCAAAATCAATTGTGAAATTGTGAAAACATGCCTCGATATGCCAATATGCCATCCAACAGCCAAGAGAGACCCTGGATATGAATGGAGAGAGTAGTCTTAATACGGTGGCTACAATCCAAATTTACAAACCGGCTCGAGGCACGGAGTACTCCGTACTCCGTACTTTGGATTGTGATAATTGCCATTAAACAATCAACCTTGGAATTGCCATACAAAATATGCAACATGGAAGCCGAGTCATGCAGGTTTCACTTTGGGGTGTTGGCCAACTGCTTTTGTCCGAAGTAGGTATGTGGGGGCTGTGATCCTCGCCATTTCGTTTGTCTAAAGTACGGAGTACCGTCCCTGAGTCATGTTTTCCAACTCGGAACAAGGCGATACTCAAGTCAGCCGGACTCCTACCTACTTCGCAAGATGCGAGTAGCCCCGACAGGAGCGCCGCTTCGGTTGTATTGGCTTAGCAGCGAGCCCAGCTGAGCCGCACGGATTACTCCGTGGTCACTCCGTATAGGCCAGCTCGTTGCCAGTTGTCAATAATTGATGGCGGACTGTGCTCATGCGATACGAGTTGCGCCTCATAGTTGTGTCGTTTATCTGGTTCCCCGAATCTTGAGCGGGTGAACCATATTCCAAGGTTTTATCACGGTCAAGATCAATCCCGTTGGCTCCGTAGAGCAAACAAATTCAAGGCTACCCCCCTGTACATTTCCCACACTAACGCAGAACAAGTGGGTAAAAGTATGCCATTGCAGTCCAGGATCAAATAGAGAACCGCGACGTTTATGTAGAATGCAGGGAAGACATGCCGTTGGACAGGGTCCAGATCTCCAGTTTTCATCTTAATTGCTGTGGACCCCTGCTGATCTAGCCCGCCGGACTGGCATAGTTCAAGCCACATCGCACTGGCGGGTGATAGCTCACACTTCCAAGGTTCGATCGACGGATCTATCCTGATTCGATTGGATCGCGCTTTTCAAGCCGTGGGATCCATCCGAGCACACTCAAGGGGGGTTATCAGACCGGCCTGGTTTGAAATACTCTTTATAATAGTGGTGGCCGCCGTAGACGGAGATCTGTGGGCGATTCCCAGAACTTGATCCTGTGGTATCGTGGTCCGACAGAATGGTGGGCATTTACAAGTCTGTTCTTGTTGGATTAGGGCTCTTGTCCGTCGCCAGTTCTTCCCTGATCAACCTGGATCTGGACTTGGACTTGGACTTGGACCTGGACCTAGGATTGTCTGGTGATGGAGAGTGCGCTGAGGTACATGAACGCAAGGAATGGTTTGGAATCCCAAATTGCGCGATCGATCGCATTACCTGACTTCTTAAAGGGGCGAATTAACGAAATCGGAGCGCATCGAGTACACCGACGCCGTACTGTGCCTGCAGAAGAAGCCTCAACACTTACCGCGGGAAGAATACCCTGGAGTGCGGAACCGCTTCGACGACTTCGTGGCGTAGGTTCTTATGCACATGTGCACATACGCAAGAAACTAAGACGATAACAGCACGCACATCAACTATACACTAAACGTCCATTATAGCGGTCTCTTCCTCCCATGGCACCGTCACCTCCTCGTACTCTGGGAGACCGCATTGCGCGAGGAGTGTGGTTATTCCGGATATCTTCCGTGAGCCAGTCCATCTCGATTCACCAAACACCATGGAGACTAACACAGCCAGATACTGGGACTGGCCAAAGTGGGAAGACGACCTCGCCGGCAGCCCCCTCTTCGATTGTAGCGAAAGCTCCCTCTCCGGCGACGGCGAGTACGTCCCGGGCGAGCAAGCCATATCGGGCGGACCGATCACCATCCCACGAGGCAGCGGCGGTGGTTGTGTTCGCTGCGGACCGTTCAAAGACATGCAGATACACATGGGTCCCTTCCCCCGGAACCCGCCCATCACCCCAGAGATGGAGATCCCCGCCCCAGGCTTCGACTACAACCCACGGTGCTTCAACCGCAGTTTGAACTCCTTTGTCGGCAGTCACTATACCAACGAGAGCATCGTCGATCGACTCCTCGAATCGCACAACATTGTCGATTTCCTCACCGTCATGGACCATTGGCCGGCCCGGGCGGATGGTGTGCTAGGCCCCCACGGCGGCGGTCACTTCAGTCTCGGCGCGACCCTGCAAGATCTCTTTGCGTCCCCACAGGACCCGGCATTCATGCTGCACCATGCGATGATCGATCGACTGTGGGCTCAATGGCAAAGCGACGATGAAAAGACCCGTCGACACGCGCTCAACGGTACGGACACAATTCTCAATCCGCCGACCGGGAAGATTGTGACGCTGGAGACGGAGATGGAATTCGGAGTTCTCCAGCGGTCTCGGTCGGTCGGTCGGTCCATGAACCCTACCAAGCACGGGTACTGTTACTCGTACACTTGATCGGGGACACCGTATCCTCCGTGTGAGACAGGACCAGTGTTCACAGAGTATTTTAGTCACTTCGTAACTGTACAAACCTTCATGTCACTTTTTGAACATAGAGAGCCATGGTACATAGCCCCAGGCACCTCACAATGCCCCCTTTTTTTAATAGAAATAGACGAATGGAGATAAAAAGAAATAGTGCATGACAACACGACTCTATTATTGTTTTGGTGCTATTGTTAGCGCTGAGACCGAGCCAATGGGGTGGAGGACTGCGCTCCTCTTGCTCACGTTTTTTTTTTTTTTTTTTTTTTTTTTTAGCTGAGTTACTTCTCGGGGGATACGAGGGGATATTTGCAATTAAAGTACGTAGGGAGTACAACATGCGTACGGAGTAATTAGAAGGGTCTTGTCGTAGGGCTTAAATGAACGTCCAAAGGCCAAGTCGGTTCCAAGTTACCGATCCGAGACAAAGGTGCAAAAAAAAAAGAAAAAAGAACGAAAAAAAGGCATCCAGAAGCCGCGACTATCGGGAATCTCACCCACTAGCGCCAAAAATCAAGGATACGAACGCGCCTGCCAGAATTGACCGATGAGGTCGCCACTTCCCTATTAACTGGTTCGTAACTTCCTTCAGTAGCTTTCCTATCTTGGACAGCTTCTTAAAAACCTCTTCACTTCCTCTTTGTTTCATCTCTCTCCTCTCTCTTCTCTAGTTCCCTACTCCGGCAAATTCTGAAACCTTATCAGCGATCTCCACTATGTTCCGTATCAACTTTCTCCAATTGCTGCTTGTGGCCTTGTTGGTCCTGTCTGCTGTTGCGGCAGATGGAAAGCCTGATGTTTCTCAGAGTGAGTCTCTCCAAGACGCACTGGACGACCTCAACGCAGCTTCGTTCCACGATGCGCTGCATGTTCTCTCTGCCAAATTTCGCCATGGAATATTCCAGACTGACCTTCACGCCGCCGAGGCCCTGCAAGATGAAGAACCAACCATTGCCAGCTTGATGAGACTCGCCAAGAGGGACAATGCCACTGCCAGCCCGGAAGCCACCTCGGTTCCTCTGACCACGGCTGTTGAGCCTACCTCGGAGACCACTTCGGAGGCTACTTCGGCACCCACTACGGAGCAGACTACGGCCCCAACTACCACGGAGCAGCCTACTACCTCGGTGCCGACTACTGAGAAGACTACTGCTGAGCCCACTACCTCTGTTGAAACTACCACCTCCGTTCCACAGACTACCGAAAAGACTACCTCGAAGACGACTGAGCAGCCCACCACCGCTCCCAGCACGACTAGCTCCACTAGCTCGCACACCACTGCGGAGCCCACCACTGCTTCGGTGCCCACTACTAGCCAGACCACTCAGCACACCACTTCTGTGCCTTCCACTCTGTCGACTGCTACTAGCTCTTCATCCTCCACTTCTAGCCATGAGTCAACCTCTCACTCCACTGAGCACACCTCGCAGACTAGCCTGACTACCTCCACTTTCAAGAGCACCAGCACTCGCGCGGATGGCAGCTTCACGACTCTCACCTCCGTGACCGTCATCACCCCGGCCGCCGCCACAGGTGGCTCCGAGACTAATGCCGCCCGCCCTGGTCTGCAAACCGGCAACGCGGCTGCTCCCACTGCTGGCGTGGCTCGCGAAGTTGTCGCCATGGTCGGAGGTGCCATGATGGTTGCTATGGCCCTCTAATTACAAAATTGTCACCTTTTTCCGCGTTATCATTCCAGGCGTTTTATCAGCATCTCGCTTCGGCTCTGCCTCTCATGACAATTGTCATTGTACCATCATTTCGCACGACCCGTTACGACCGACTCATGTCTCTCCTTATTATTATCCGGCGTTTATGAACGGCACTGTTTGCCTTCATTTTAGCGGTTCAAGCATTTACAGCGCTAGCACACGCTAACATCTCATCTGGATATTCTAGTCCATGTTCACCATTGGAACATAATGCAATGTGCTCAATTACTTTCCATCGGTCAGACAGAGTAGATGTAGATATAAGGTAATATGTAGATGTGGATCGGAATGTGCAGAGGGGTATGGCATGTGAAATCAACTAGAAACAGAACTCGAGTGAAACAACGTTTCAGAATCATCGCCCACCCTTCCACCGCTCCTCCGCAGTCCAGTATCGAACTACACTCTCCCAAGCTGCAAGATCGCCATCGCGCAAGAGAGCTGCAACATCAACATTGAGCGGGGAGTCAGGCTGCGGATCCGTCAGCAGCTGCTGGATAGCAGTCAACGTGGTTGAAAGCGTGTAAACAGGACTCCAGTGTTCAGTCGTCAGGAGAGTAAGGCAGATTTCGCCATTGGTGAAGGAGATGTTGGGGTGGGAGATCTTGGTCGTGAAGTGGATGGTGGGTGGTGCGAGGGGGTAGTTTGGGGGGATTGCGATGCGAAGATGCCAAAGGCCGCCTAGTATCGTTAGTTTCACGGGCAGAATGAAGAAGAAATCTGCAGACGACTCATAATCGTCTCACATATGGCTTACCTTCGTACGGTGTTCCGTTTACACCTTTCAACACCGCCTCCCAATGTAATAGGTCTTCCTCATCGACGGGACCAAGATGGAGAAGCGACTCGTTCGGTGTCTTGTGGTACTCTTTCAATTCGCGAATCAGTCGCTGCGTTGTATTTCCCGACGGGCCAGCCATGGCGTATATGCAGTGGGGTGGATGTGTACGGTGTACGGAGTAGAGTGAGAAAGGATGCGCGGAGAGACGGGACTGCGATCGCCGAGGCTGGGGAAGTCTTGCCGCATGGTCCACTCCATGTGAATCTCTGCAATTACCAATTCTTCAACCATGCGCACTTCACGAACTTCCAAAGATACCGCAAAGTTATTACAGGCACTTTCGCCTCGAGCGACTCGGTCGCGTAATGTCAGCGCATTGAAGAAATTCTCCTACGATGCTAAACCTGCCAACACCATCCCCGAACCAGACTCCGTCACGCCAAGTCTTTCTGCTGCTCGAAGCGACGATGAATCCTCCCTTTCAGAAGCAAATACCGCAGATATCGAAGATCTGATTGAACCGCCTCCTAAGCGCCGGAAGCGTGCCAGCCCCTTGGTTCACAGCAAGATCAAGGAGGATCCCGACGAGAAGCCTAAACAGACCCCCAAGCCACGTCGTCTACCAGCACGCAAGACACGCGATGCCGATGGCGCTGTCAAGGTCGAACCACCATCTAATTGGGAGACTATGTACGATACCGTGAAGAAGATGCGCGAGGACAATCCCACGGCACCGGTAGACACGATGGGTTGCGCGGAGTTATACTGGCGAGAGTCAAGGGCAGAAGACAAACGATTCCAAACGCTCATCGCATTGATGCTCTCATCGCAGACAAAAGATACCGTCACAGCTGTCGCGATGCAAAGACTACACACGGAACTCGGGTCGGAATCTGAGATCAAGCTCGAGGAACAGGTAAATATCAAAGTCGAAGAAGACGTCAAGAAGGACAGCACGCTTAATCTGCGCAATATCCTTGCGGTCGAACCAACCCGTCTCAATGAGCTGATTCGTACTGTCGGCTTCCACAATAACAAAACGAAATATATCAAGGCCACCGCTCTGATCCTCCGTGATCAATATAACGGAGATATACCCTCGACGCCAGAAGGTCTAATGGCTCTTCCAGGCGTTGGGCCAAAAATGGCATATCTTTGCTTGAGCGCCGCATGGGGCAAGCATCTCGGGATAGGTGTTGACGTGCACGTTCACCGGATCACCAATCTATGGGGTTGGAACAAGACCAAGACGCCTGAGGAGACAAGGATGGCCTTACAGTCTTGGTTGCCGCATGAGAAATGGCATGAGATTAACAAGTTGCTTGTTGGATTGGGGCAGACAGTCTGTCTGCCTGTCAAAAGGCGTTGTGGGGACTGTTACCTTGCTGGCTCAGGGCTGTGCAAGAGTGAGGTTAAGGGAATGGAGCCCAGTTTTCCCAGGATCAAGGGTAGTCCGGTTGATGAGCCAAAGATCAAAATTGAGGCAGTTTAAGGTGTTGCCTTATACTCCCAGGTTTGCCTTGTGTATTTGTATATCTGTGATAGTACGGTCAATCAAGTTAAATATTGTTTTTGAATTTTCTCCAACTTTAGAATGCCTGGATATACTGTCACCCGTAGACGTAGGATTTCGATTGATTCAATTAGACGGTAGCTAGAGGGTATCCATATCGCAACAAACTATTCTATGCCATCTGTGGATGGCCGTCAAACCGAGGCGCTAGACACCACGAGACGGGCGCCATATTGAAACCAGTTCAATTATCGAAATTGCCTGGTGCTTCTACGCTCAAGCTGAAATACATAGTGCCTACAAATATCACCATACAAACCCGTGATCCCTTTACACGAAAGTCCCCAAAACCCAAGTAAACAAAAGTGGACCGATGATCTCATCGGATATAAGCGAGTAGCTTCTTTATCCCCGACTCCCCCTCCAAGCACAACCCACATGTGCAGCACAAAAATGGCGACCTCGATCCCCCTCTTCGCCAAAGCGCAGCTCGACCTCCTCCTCCTCGAACACGAAGCAGAAGTCTCAACCTCCAAACTAGCCAGCACAGCCGCCTCGGTCTCCCCCGCAACCCGCCGCACCCTCCAATCCACCGGCCACGCCTTGACCGGTCTAATACTGTCGCAGGTGCGAACTGGTCTTGGTGGACGATTGGTCGGTGAGTTTGCGCCTGACCCAGCTATTGCGTCGGATGAGACGCGCGCAGCAGATGGGACGCCGCGGTTGGGATCACATGGGATTCGAGTTGGTGATGTGGTGAGGGTGAATGATACGGGGAAGAAGAAAGATACAAAAGAAAAGGGCGAGGATAAGGGAGCTGAGGGTGTGGTTACACGGACTGGAGATCGGGGGTTGTGGATTGCTTTTGGGAAGCAGGGGTCTGGGGCGAAGAAGGAGGATGATGAGGCCGTTGAGGAGCTCTGGGGGAAGAAGCTGTGGGCCATCAAACTGGCTAATGATGTTACGTATCGACGGTGAGATCTCGTGGACAAGCTGGGGTAGGCACTGAGGCTGATTTGGGACAGAATGAAGCAGACCATGGAAAAGATGGAGAAGATGGGAGAGGCTGAATATTCGCAGTTTATGCGCGTAGCCTTTGGTCATACCACGCCGCTTCCTCATTCTGCTGAGCCTGTGGAGTTCATTGATCCCTCGCTGAACGACTCGCAAAAGGATGCTATTCGCTTCGCGCTTGCTGCGCAGGATATTGCGCTCATTCATGGTCCGCCTGGAACAGGAAAGACGCACACGCTGATCGAATTAATACTGCAGCTGGTTCAGCGCAAAAAGCGAATTCTTATTTGTGGTCCATCCAACGTTTCAGTGGACAATATTGTCGAGCGTCTTGCAAAGACGAAAACACCCGTCGTGCGCATTGGACACCCAGCCCGTCTGCTTCCCTCGGTATTGGACCATTCGCTTGAAGTTCTCACTCAGACATCAGATGCTGGTGGGATTGTAAAGGATATCCGCAAAGAAATGGATGAGAAGCAAGCTAGTATTCGCAAGACGCGCTCGGGCCGTGAGCGACGGGGTATTTATGATGAACTGAAGCTTCTCAGAAAAGAGTTCAGAGAGCGAGAGTCAAAATGTGTGAACAATCTTGTGACGGAGAGCAGCGTTGTTCTTGCGACTCTACATGGTGCCGGCGGGCATCAGCTCAAAAACCAGAAATTCGACGTGGTGATCATCGATGAGGCCAGTCAAGCGTTAGAGGCGCAGTGTTGGATTTCCCTGCTCTCCGCCAATAAAGTTGTTCTTGCCGGTGATCATTTGCAATTACCACCCACAGTCAAGTCTACCGGGCAAAAGCCCAAGAAGGCCAAGGAAGGAGCGCAACCATCTGAAGAGACCCTCAAGGGTGTCTCCCTAGAACGCACCCTCTTCGACCGGCTCCTTGCCCTCCATGGGCCCGGTATCAAAACCATGCTCACCACCCAATACCGCATGCACGAGACCATTATGCGCTTCCCCTCGGATGAACTCTACGAAGGAAAACTCATCGCTGGGGAGGCCGTCAAAGCTCGCCTCCTCGCAGATCTACCTTACGAGGTGCGCGGCACGGACGATACGCAGGAACCATTAGTCTTCTGGGACACGCAAGGCGGTGATTTCCCCGAGCAAGCAGAAGACGCAGACACCTTACTTGGGGACAGCAAGAGCAATGAGATGGAAGCAATGGTAGTAGCACGGCACGTGGACAACCTTATTGACGCGGGTTTGCGCCCGGAGAGTATCGCCGTGATTACGCCCTACAATGGACAATTGGCACTCCTCTCACGGATGCTACGGGAGAAATACCCAGGCATTGAGCTTGGGAGTGTGGATGGTTTCCAAGGGCGGGAGAAAGAGGCCGTGATCGTGAGTTTGGTTCGTAGTAACGAGGCACACGAAGTTGGCTTCCTTGCCGAAAAGCGACGTTTGAACGGTAAGTGGACTTGCAGGTGGGAAATTACCTTGACTAATGTGTGTAGTCGCCATGACGCGCCCGAAACGACATCTGTGTATTTGCGGAGACTCGGAGACGATTAGTCGGTAAGTGCTGACATCATCTTTTAGGCTTAACTTATACCATGGAACGAGTGGTATATTTTGGGAAGTATAAAACACTGAAACGTTGCTGATGATTTTACAGGGGAAATGACTTTCTTAAACACTGGATGGAATTTCTGGAAGAACATGCAGATTTGCGATATCCGGATGCAGCCGATCTGCTATAGATAGACTTTGAAAATAGATTAAATCTGCGATTTGGGGGGATTTGGGAATTCGTCTCACCCCGAAACTTGTGGCGCATGTCGGGACGCCAGGGGTGGAAAAAGACCTTTGAAACGTTGATCGCGGAGATGCATTGCCCGAACCAGTTCCAGGCCTGTTGATCGCACGGTGACACTTCAAGAATGAGACGGGCCATTGACGCTTGGCGACTGACGACTAGCGACTAAGAATTGAAAATTGACAACTGTTGGGCTTTGCGAGGTGCATAAGAAAAGTTGATGGTCAAAGCCAACGTCGCGACTCGTTCCACCTGTGGCGTTTCATATGCACAGGGAATATTCCTTTTGGAAGCTTGAAATTTAGGCTCTGGGCCCGGATAGCTCAACACACTGACTACTTGTTGGCCAAGTACTTAAGCCGAGTTAGCGTCCAACTACTCCGTACTACTCGTATCTCTTCCCCCCTGTGCCTCCACTCCACTTCATCTTTCTCGGAACCTGTTCGTCTGTGGGGATAGCTTTCTCCTAATCTCCCCTTGGCTTTCTTTCTTTCATTCCCTCTACTTTTCTTTGTTTCCGTTTCGAGAGCAAATTTCCGTTCATTATGTCCATATGCTAGGTAAGTCTCGTTTGTACCACTTGGTTCTTCAACTAACTCGCCCGTTTGGTAGAGATTCCCCTGGCCTTGATCCAAATACCGTCCCGCTGAGCGGCCTTGTGCTTTTCATATATTCGACTTCGTTTCTCGACACTCGCTTTCCGACCATTGTTCTTTCGTTCTCCCAATATATACCCATGCTTCCATGACGGACTTCCATTTTAATGATCAGCGCCGACGATCCGCCGAACCGTGATTTTATTGAATCGACTGTGAATCTCTACTCTCTACCATGTCCAAAAACTCCCCTCGATCAATTGCCAGCGCTGGCAGCGAGTCCGCAGGAAGCATACGCCAGCGCTCGACCGCCCGCGCAGACCGCTCATCTTCAAATCCAGCTTCCCACGTCGGAGACAACTATGATACCGCGCTTCCGTCCATGGAATTCCACACGCAGCCAGCTCTCACTCACCGCCGAACGGGGAGTACGCTGAAGACAGTCATGCGCAAAATCTTTAATCGCAAACGACAGAGCCAGGCCGATGAACTGGAGGAGACCCCGTACGAATCGGCGCTTGCAATGCCCAGGAGGAACACTGGACCCGTCCGAGGAAGACCATTCCTGGCAGTGCCGCCGCCGTTGAATCTGACTTCGAATCGAAGTAGCCCGCTCTCTGCGGAAAACCTCCAACTCGCGGAAACGCACTTGTCCCCGCTTTCTCCACTATCCCCGGCGTCCATGCACTCACCCGGTATGCCGCGCCGGAGGCGTGCCACGCTACCTAGCGTGATTTTTTCGGATGATGAATCGCGCTATGCCGTGGCATCGACCGCAATATCAGAGCCCCGGGAAGATATGAGCCACGTGCAGGAGCGAAGACATAGTCTTCTCTCCAACAGGCTGTCCAGAAGCACCGACGCGTTGCAGGCACTGACGGATCGCCAACCAGAGGTTATCACCGCTTGGCCGCCTCGCAAATCAAGCGCCCAAGCAGGTTCGGCGTCCGACTCCAAGTCTCCGCGCTATGACGAGAGTTCCAACAGCGGCCAGTCTGGCAGGCCGTCAACGGGCACAACCGTAACCAGCGTAACGCGCGCGTCTGCCGCTCCATCGGTGACAGAATCCGAACACCAAGAACCCGCCCTTCCCTCCAACCTAGCAAGTCTAGTACATACCATGCAACACGACGATAGCGCCACACTAGAACAACGCCTAACCACCCTCGAAGTGAAAATGATAGATTTGGAATTTGCAATCGCGAGAATGCAAACCAATGACTCCGACCCCCGCCAAAAGCACCCACTCTCAGACTCCCTCCCCCGCAAACCGGGCTTCATATCACCCTCCGATCAAACAAGTCCTCTCCCCTCTATCCGCCCCTCCAGTACATCCACTATCCGCCCTGAAAGATCCCTTCGCCCTGCCCCCTCCGCCTCATCCCTCTCAGACTACCAGGGCGTCTCAATAGAACAATACAGTGCCCTAGTCACACTGCTCCGCCGTGAACAAACGGCTCGCAGGAATCTCGAAGGCCAACTTGGAAGCCTGAGAGACGATGTTCGTCTCCTGCAGCGCGCAGCCATGGAATCTATTCAATCAGGAAGCATGCAACCAGTGCACACAACTGATTCTCCCGAATTCTTGCGTTTCAGGCGCGCGCTAGATGACAACTCATTACCGTTGAGATCGGAGGAAAAGCTCGACGCAGACTCCGAATGGGATCGCTCGATTTATTCTCGTGATGATCCCATTGGCCCAAAATGGGAGAGACAGCGAGTTGTCACGGCCCCAATGATTTGATACACACAATCCCCTTTTTTTTCTTCTTCTATTCTTTATTCCCCCATCTGTCATAAAGCCTTTAGCGCAGGATCGCGAATACGCCCCGGACCTCGTCCTGACTCGCTATCCTTGGCTCTTTTTTTTTCTTTACTATCTTTTTTTCTAAGCGGAGATATTAATTAGAAACTAATGTCAAATATGTCCCGATTGAGAGACCGTTGAACACAGCATTCGTCCCGAGCTAACTCCATTTATCAGTCCAGCATCTCCTAGTGCACTCCATGGCTGGTACAGTCCCACTTCCAGTCAATCAAACATCAATCCAATATCACATCGAATGCAATATCACATTGCCTCACACCCCAAACCCCAATATATTACTCGTACATGTCTAATCAAGCTCCACCAAGACCCATACTTTGAATCGCATGACTCGTATCCACCCCTGACAACGGTAGCCCTCAAAACCTTGGAACAAACGCTCAACTTTAATCACTTACATCCAACGATGCCCTTCACAGTGACAATCATCGGCGGTGGAATCGGCGGGCTAGCCCTAGCTGTTGGCCTACTGAACCGCGGCATCCCAATCCAACTCTACGAGGCTGCCTCCGCATTCACGGAAATAGGACTGGGTCTCTCCCTCGGCCCTGCGGCCTACCGCGCTTTACCACTACTTGACCCCGCCCTGCGTGAAATCTACGATAGCCTCGTCACGACACACGCAGACAGTCCTGGCTATGAAGAATTTCGAACGACATGGTTTGAGTTCGTCTGGGCTTGTGGGTCTGATGAGGGGAAGGTGTTAATGGATTTGAAAGCGGAGCCAAGTGGACAGACTGCGCTGAAGAGGGCTGATTTTGTCAATGCGCTTGTTCGGCTGGTGCCGAGGGATTGTATCCATTTTGGGAAGAGGTTGGTGGGGATTGAGGAGGGTGTGGATGTGAAGTTGGAGTTTGAGGATGGGGATGTTGTGAATGCAGATGTTGTGATTGGTTGTGATGGTATTCGGTCCCGGGTTAAAGAGTTTGTGTGTCAATCCTGTGAATTGCTGCCGAGGTATAGCGGCATGTATGGGTATCGGGCTGTCCTTGATATGGATGATGCTGTGGATGCAGTGGGAGATAAGCGGGCTAGGGTTGCTTCGATGTATGTTGGAAAGGGTGCATATGGGATTTCCTATCCGATTATGCAGGCCAAGAAGGTGAACGTGGGGGTTTACGTTCTCAGCGATGAGTGGGACCATGACTCTTGGGTGCGGCCTGCAAAGAGGGGGGATCTGCAGCGGGACACTGAGGGCATGGGGCGATATGTCAAAGCGTTGGCTGAGGTATGTTGGAGTCGGAAGTTCAAATCGTTTTGCTGAATTCACGATTGACTGGAATTTTTAGCGAATGCCTGATCCATCCCAATGGGCCATTTTCGAACACCCCCATATTTCAACATACGCACGCTCTCGCGTAGTTATCATGGGCGACGCTGCCCATGCTTCGACGCCGCATCAGGGTGCTGGTGCGGGACAGGCCATTGAAGATGCTCATGTCCTTGCCGAACTCCTGGATGATACGCGGGTGAAAAGGGTCGACGATGCTGTCTTGGCGTTTCAGGCATACGACCACATCCGGCGACCACGAAGTCAAAGAGTTGTCACCAGTAGCAAGGAGAATGCGGATCTTCTGTGTTTGTGCTTGGAAGGAGTCTCTGATGATTCTGTCAGATTGAAGGAGACATTAAATGCGCGATTTGGCTGGCTTTGGAACTTGGATGTTCAAGGTCAGGCTCAGCGGGCGAGAGAAAAGATGGCCCAATTAATGGCTAATCGGTCCTCTGGTTGTACGGATCGCTGTCGCCACACGGGATAAAATTGAATACAAATGACTGAGATTCCTTTTTCTCTGTTTATAATGTTCTTAATACGATATTGAACTACTCTTTCGGATTGGGTGCAGGATTAAAAAGGCGACTTTCTGCGTGCCATGTCTCCCATCTATGCTGAATGATTGCTCCCGTCATACAAGAATATATGTAGGAAACTGCAAATTCTGTATTCTTAATGGCTTCATCATGGCTCGGTGAAGCTACGTATATGCGTTTGGTAACCACGCAGATAGAAACCAGAGTGTGTGACGGTGTTCGGACTCCAAGCTCCTCATCTGACATGGATTCTCTCGATCAATCGTGACCGTTTGTTTTGATCATTGCCTTTGAAAAATTCTCCATTCATCACACCATGAACATAGGCCTCTCCGATCAGCTTAAAAGCACCATCCCCCAAAGGACGCAAGATAACCGGAACGCTGCACCCTAACAGAATACAGACCTCGTCATCTTTGGATGTTCCCATGGGACAGAGACCGAACCAGGGCTTCACGAAATCCGGGCCATCCAATTTCTCGTCATCACAACGGTTTGCTGTGAAGAAGCATCGGTTCCAGGTTACTTCCTGGACTCGTTTCGCATACTCCCGCACCAAGGCCACCTCAGTCGAAAGTTTTCCGGTGGTCAGGTCACCACCGTTGAACAGTTCAGCTAGTTCAAGACTTCGAAAACAGGCGCGTTGATACCACAGTGGAGCCCTCAATCCGTCAGAGGTTCGATCTGCAACCAAAGTTCGCCATATCTGAGCCGGCACCTTTTCGCAACCATTCCCAGTTCCTTCCCAACCACCGAGCTTGAGGGATTCCTGGAATACCAAGCCTCTACTCCAGGCAGAAACTTCATTCACCGTCCCTAGACGCAGACCTTCAACGGACATAGTCATCGTTTCTTCGTCCAGCATAAAATGCTCGACTGTCTTGTCGTCGGATGCGTGATATATTGGCTCATTCACGCTTCCGACGAAACTTCGTCCATTTTTGCGACCTTTATGGAACTGCCCAGGACCGCCGAACTCTGCGTTCTCGAGTAAAGGAATCCAGCTTGGGAGAGAGCGTTGACCGAATAAACTCTCGGTGAAAGTCTTGGAATGGGAGGTCCGCCCTTGAGACTCGTCTCGTTTTGCCCAAGGGCGACAAATAATGTCCAACGAATGGGAGGTTTCGACGCAGAACTTGGTGAAGCGCATAAATAGGGTGGATGCTTTGTTCTCGTAGTCAATGTATAACAGAGGCTCAAGTTTCTCGTCCAGTTCTTTTTGAGGGCCGAAAACAATTTTGCCTTCCCGATGATCGCTTGAAACATGCACCAGAGCATAGATCAAATCATGTGGGTCAGTGGCGTCAAATGTCTGCAGGGTTGTAACCAGATACTCGAGACTCTTCAAAGGGTGGTGACCGAGGCCATTCTCCGTTGTTGCGAACAAATTGCTGATCACACCGAGAAGTATGTTCGCACTCGATGACTGAACTTCACCAAGAGTGTTACGACCGTTTCGCCATTCAAAGGGATTAAACAGCTGTCGGACGCGCTCTTCGCTAGCTACCAGAAAAACAATGGCATCAACCAAGGCATCCCAATGAACCCTGTTTTCTCCGCAATACACCACGGCTTCCTTCGCAAGTGAAATTTCCTGCACAATCCATCGTCGAGTAAACCAGGGATCCCGAATGAGATATGAAAGAGCTTCCCACTGGCGAGCATGATTTTTGTCGTTCGTATTGGTCTTAAGCATCGCCATGTCCACCACTTGCGGTATGAATTTCATTGCCTCGTCGCTTTTTCCGTCGTCATCACTCTCTCCAAGCCAGACACATACCACCTTGGCCTGGTTATAAATTTCCACCATACGCCTTAGCTGGCCAGTCTTCTCTTGTTCATTCGTCTGGTCAATACACAAGGCATCCACCCACAGAACGACATCCCGATCCTCTCTCCGCAATCGGTGCAATGCACAAAAGAGGTTCTTCCAGATCAGCTGTGAGACTGAGTCCTCGATCGAGGATTTACCTTCTGGTAGAAGGTAGATGTGGTGATCCGCCGACCACTCTCCCCAAGAGTAGGAGAGTGCAGCGTATGATATTGGGCCCTGGTCCGGGAACGGTCTTTTCTGAAGAGAGGCAATGAGAGGATGGTATTTATTGGGTGCTTGCTTCAAGACGAGGACCCGGAATTCATGGCCTCCGAGCTGCTCGTATATCTTTAGTTTCGCCTCCTTTGATAGATGCATTGGCTGAGACATGATCAAAGCACAGTGGACTTTCGTCAAATTGTCAATCTCATCATCAGACAGATCCAGATCGATACTGTGCTTGACTGGGCCCCGGAGAGTAGCAAGAGCAGCGCATAACTCGACATCAAGATATGTTTTCAGTTTCTCCAGTAATTTCGCTTCCACTTCGGTTGGGGGCCGGGTCAACTGATCGACCTGCGTCCATATTTCATCTCTAATCCTCCTTTTTTGTTCTTCCAATTTGTGTTTTTTGACCTTTGTTGTTTCTAGCATCCGGTGGAGATCTTCCTGGTACACCTTCTGCGCCCTGATAACATTATCCAATTCGTTTTTTTGGCGCGTAATCTCTGACAGTTAATCGTTTGCCTTAGCTAGTTGACCTTTGAGCTGTGTTGCTTCCAGTCTTGCTGCCTCGCTGATTTCGCTTTCTTTCTTGTGGTCATTCAAGGCGTTTTGGTGATTGGTCCACAACTTGGCGTTGGTCTGAATCTGGTTGTTAATCCCTCCTTGAAGTGTTCGTAATTCTTCCAACAGTTCCTTCCAGTCCTCCTCATCAATGTAATTTCGCAGTGCCTGAATTCCTTCTATCTCCTTATCACTCAGCACTTCGTTATCCTGGTCTTCGCTGGCGTGCTCTTCGCTGGGGCGGTGCTCCTCACCGGGCTGCTCATTGTTTTGTTGCTCCACAGTATCTTTGATTTGTCGCTTGAACCACACCATATCATCTTCTAAGGATTTCAGCTCTTGGCTTGCAAGATGAAGCAACTCTTTACTCCTCATCACCATATACCATTTCATTTTGACAGCTTCATCGGCCTTCTCCAACTCGAACTCCTCAAGGTCAGATTTCAGCTTTTTGACCAACTCATGCGACTCCTGTATATTCGAGCCAAGTGAATTGGTTATTTCGCAACATTCCCCGATAGCAGAAGTAATTTTCTCGTGATAACTCGATAAATTTTCCATGTTTTCCAATTTGCTTTCTGGGTCGTGATGTCCCTCACTGCACAGACGAGTCGCCCATCGCACTTCTTCAAAAGCTTCTTGGTGTTGTTCCGATTCGATGAAAATCTTCCATTCGCGTTGGTCTTTGCAAAAAAGATCACCGGCTGCTCTAAACGCAGGCAGGTTGCGAGACAGATCTTGCTCGTCGGGCATTATAGGAAGATCAGGCGCAAGTTCTGGGACTTGTTCCAAAACACTGGCTGCAAATGATGGTCCAGCTATTTGCTTCCCCGGAATCCAGTTCGCAGCATCTTGGATCAATTGATCAGATGACTCCAGTATTCGATTCAAGCTCTCAACATCGGACTCTGGTCCGCTTCGGCGAATGTGGAGCTGTCCCCTTCGTAGAGGCTTGTTGGAGTCGCGATAGATACGGATCAAAACGCTTGAGGGCGTTCTCTGCATAATCATGTTTCTCACAAAATTTTGAAATTGATCCCAAACTTTATAAGTTGGCAAAATCGGTAGAGGCAATGAGAAGACGAGCAAATCAAGTAATGCCCCAGGACAACGAAAAACTGTTGAAAGGCCAGCGACCAACTGCATCAATCTATTGAGATATCTTCGGGCCACTTTCTCGTACTCAAGCGCTAGCACTCACACGATTGTTCTGGGAAAAGTTTGAGAAATTATGTATTCGCACCTGTTTAATTAGTATTTTTCGTGTTTCAGCTTTGTGGAGCTACTTAAGTAGCGCTGGACTTGCATATGTACTATAGACGCGCACCTATTTTTTGAAGCCAATAGTTGCTCAGTTTATCCTCTCTTCGCGCCCTCGCTATGAGGGACCAATTATCATCGGCTTCTGTTTCCTGCCAGGCTGTACAAATCATCATCTCTGTATCTGTTTCCCGACATTCAAATTCCACTCAAACCACGAACTACTAAGTACTCCTGCACCTTTCAAATCACCAACCCGGTACTATTGTTTGCCCGGGGCCCCATCCAGGCAAGCCTGGTTCGACTATGAATGGATGGACAATGTTTGTGATCTTCATTAGAAATCCCTATGCGCCCCAACAAGTAACCTGGCCCTTCTGTATTCATTCGCCCTCGGCGGAGCTCTGGGTGCGTGAAAAGGGAGTAGTTTTGTTCGAATCTCGTGAACGACATGAAAATAGTTTCTCAAGGTTGTCGACAGCCCTGCCTCATGTGTGAGGCTTGCTTGTGAATATAGTCTTTGTTTTCTCTCATTTGTAACTCCGTACCCGGAGTGGAGTTTGCAATAGTCGCAGTTTAGCCAGATTCCCGTACGGACGAGACATAATGGCGTAGAAATCGGCGAAAGCGTGTGAAAGTAAACATTCAGAGCTGGAGACAAAAAAAAAACAGTATTTTCTGTCAATGAGATCGAGGCTGCAATATATTTCACATTTCTGGGGTAACATATTAACCGGCTTTCATTCGATCCGGGCTTTAAGGCTTTGATTTGGACAACGGAAACCGAGTTGAGTCTTGACTCCAGGGCTAGATGCTGAGGCAGGGTTGCATCACTACTTAGGAAACCATGTTCTTCCGTGACTAAATAACAGAGAGGCTTTGAGTGTAGGCATTAGTCCAAGGACTTGCCGAATGGAAGTATCTCGGAGCTCTGGATCTGACATCTCCTCCAACCCCCAACCATATTTTCCTTCTCATATACTCCGTACCAGTCCCGAGCTTTTCATTGCCATCCACTCTTGAGCTTCATACGGTAATCCACGATCATTTCCGGAGTGACACCACTTCCTCCACAAACAACGATAACGACTCGGCTTTCCGGTGTCAGGTCTGGAATGACCTCTTTCAGCCTATCCATCCCGATTTGAACACTGATTCCACAAGCTAGCTCGACCTCCAACCGCAGGTCATCGCAAAGCCGCACGACTCCCTTTGCGGCATCAGCATCGGTACCTACAACACTCGTGACTTCGATGCCAGGCGGAGGGGTTTGGGCGTTTTTCAGCGTTTGTTGTGCCACACAGAGTGCTCCCAAGGTGTTTGCTTGCGAAGTGATGGCAGAAAGAGATTGTAACGAGCCCTGGCGCAGTGAGTGCGCCAAAGAATCAGCTCCAGCTGTTTCGGTGGCAATAATTCGAACCTTTTTGGTCTCTTCGCTGGATAAGGAGGTCGGTTGCTGTAGATGTCTCTCCAGCCCGTCCACAATTCCATTCAAAAGACCACCACCACCTACACTGCAAACGATGGCATCTGCTGGGAAGCCGTTTTCTCTCGGAGGTAGCTGTTTCGCCATCTCGTCAACCAGGCTCCCCGCTCCGCGCCAGATTTCAGGATGATCGAATGGAGGTACATAAATATTCCTGGCAGAGGAATCCGACTTGCGTTGTTCATTGTTGATGAAGGTTTCCCGCAAATACGTATCAGCCTCAAACCAGCTGGCGCCTTGGATGATGACATCCGATGCCCCTGCAGCGCGGAGCTTCTCAATCATCATTGGTCGTGTGCTCAGGGGCACAACAACAGTACAAGAGCAACCCAGGTCTCTAGCAGCGACGACTGCTGCGAGACCTGCATTGCCCCCCGAGGAGCTGAAGAAGTTCAGAGTTTTGCCATGGTTGCTTGGATCAGAAAGAGATGCGAGGATCAAATTTCCAATGCCCCTGGATCATTGTCAGACGTCATGCAATACCCCGCCATGTGAAGTCTCGCACTCACCGTGACTTGAACGAGCCGGAAGGTTGGAGAGATTCTATTTTGAGGAATATTCTGCTATATTTATCCTTCAGCGCCCGCAAATTTGGTGTATCGCGATGAAGATCCAATCTCACCATCCGGCGGCCTTTGAAAACGGCGCTGACTCGATCAATGGAGTTTCAATCCATGGTTTCCTCGAAGTTTGACCTGGATCAAAATGGTCCATTTTGATGCACTTCAATTCGAAATAAAGGTTGAGTAAAATACCTGACCAGTCTGCTGACTTGTGTCCAAGTTCACCACCAATTTATATACGGTGTTGGTCGAGAAGGTGCGGGTCGCCATCGGCAACATACCGGCGCCCTTCTTTCGACATTTGGCCCACAGCAGTGGCCCTCTTATCTTCCTCGCTATGGACAACAACCATAAAGCCTTCAATCAATGTTGCCCGTCGTCCACTTTTGCCACATTTTGTGAAATTCCAGGGTCCTTTTTTTAAAAAAACAACCCCTTGGATGCAAAGTTCTTATTGCAACTGAAAAAGTGTCAAAGCAGCTCTCCTTCCGAGGGGTTTTTTGGAGAACAGATTATTCGTTTGCTGTTGATAAGTTCGGCGTTTTATTCACCCCTTCACGTCTCAAATCGTTCGAGCTTAGCTCATGTGTGAGCCCGAGGAACCATGCATTTTTCGGTTGAAGCTTTTTGGAGAGCTGGTTAATGCCCAGGTGAAGCTGACACCAAAATTTGACAAGAACTTCTGTGCTACATCTACTTTCTGAGATGCTCAGAGGGAATCAACCGCTATTTTACCGAGCAGATACGAGAATTTGTCGCATAAGCCAAAACAATCGTGGGCCAAGGCCTGTAATCAGGCCTCCAGGTGGATCACACTAGATGATGATCTCCTATCATGAAGATTGAAGTGCCTTCCCGTGTTTGTCGGAAGGGGACAACAGCCTCGTAAGAGAGACGGGTGATTATCATATTCTCGCACAGCAGTCGCCGTTGAATAGTTGGGAAGCTGGCATGATGCTCATCAATAAGGCATGGAATCACGGCTTGGGCCCAGAGGACCGTGTGGGCTTGGAAGGATGCAGCGTCGACGATCTGGACAAGGACTTGCCGGTATGACATCGGGCATAGCCGAGAAGAACAATGCGCCGTGATTGAAATACGAGCAAAGCCCAGAAGCTCTAGTTACGTGTCAAAAATATCGGTCGGACTCTGCTGTCATCTCGTCCCCAGTTCCAAGGTTTCCACGAGTACGGGACCCAATCCGGGACATCTCTCCACGTTTCACCCACGTTGTTACCAAACTTTGCTGCCATACCAATGTCCTTTTCGGGTCAGCGAGGCTGATGTTTCTTGAAATTTCTCCGAACAACACGAGATGACATCAACAGTGGTCGGTCATTGGATATGAGGCTAAAGCCTGAGCGGCTTATTTCAGCCCCCAGTAAGCCTCCAGTAAGCCCCCGGTCAGACCCCTGCCGGCCCCCTTTAAAAGAGCCCCATGTCGCAGGTGCAAACGGAATATTTCGCAGATATTGCTCATTCTTCAGCCACAGAGCCAATTAAACGTCATGTCTAGGAAAGTCGATCTACTGCCGGCGCCGGCAAAGCCTCGTCCAATGAAGGTAGTCGTCGCAAGCCCCAGCCGGTATGGAACCTTCCTTTGATGCTAGCAGGCGAATGACAACGCTGATGACGATTTGTTAGTTCTGGAACGATGGGCCTCTATCAGGCAATGCAAATTTTGGGTTTCAAAACATATCATTTTTATGAATGTATCGTTAATCATGGCTTGCCTCACATGGAAGTCTTGCAAGAAGCCGTGACCGCTCAATGCAATGATCTTTCTGGCATTAAGAAGTATACCAAGGCCGACTATGAGAAATGGCTAGGAGAATATGAGGTAACTCTGAAGTCCAAATCTCTCACTTCCAATCTTCATAGCTCACCATGCATCGCCTAGTGTCTTGTCGAGGTTCCCAGTCACGTCGGAACCGATATACTCGAGGCTTATGCCGACGATCCCAATGTGAAGTTCATCCTCACAGAGCGAGACCCGGATAAATGGGTCACCTCGGTGAACAATACAGCAGGGGCCCTGATTGATATGCCATACATGTTTCCATTCGTGATCCTCAAGTATTTCGATGCAACATTGTACCGGTTCCTGCACTTGAACGAGACTGTTTATCGTGCTATGTCCAAATGCACCAAGCCTGGCAGTGCAGATAATGCCCAGGCCCTTCGGAAGCAGTATACGGATTAGTATGTATCGAGCGTGGATTCCGAAGTGTGAAACCGTGCTAACCCCACATCAAGCATCAAAAGGGCAAAAGAGATCATCCCTGCCGACCGGCTGTGCCTTATCAAGCTCGAAGGCGGGCTTGATTGGGAGAACATCTGCCCATTCCTAGAGTTGCCCATTCCTACCCAGGCCTACCCCGATCGCAACGAGCCAGAGAGGTTCCAGAAGCTGGTTCAAGGCTTCCTTCAGCCTAAAATTAATGCCGCTATTATGAGATTGAGCGTTGTTGCTCTTCCAGTAGTCGGTGTCGCTGGATGGGCGGCTATGAAATATGGACCATCTGCAATTGCGGCGCTCACAAAAGGTCGTTAATGTCTCGAACGGCCAGGTTCGTGTTGAATGGTCGAGACTTATCGCAAACGTCGAAAGCCGATGGTCAGGAATCTAGGGGCTAGATCTCAGAATGGAGATGTCGAGCCTTTTAAGACAGACTCTGGATGGCGTGGTGAAAGCATTTGGCCTAGCAGACAAACTAGCGTGATTTTTTCTCCCGAATCTCTTTGGTTTCTGCATCACTTACGCGGCACTAAGGTGTCCGGTTGAAGTGCGGAGACCATCTCGCCAAGAAACTCCCCTCGTGGGCCCCCCGGCAGATCAATCAGAAACTATTGGCGATGGACAATCAATAATAGACATTATTATCCATACACTGGGCCTCGGCTTCTCCATTTCGCCATAAGGATGGATAAATAAACCCCGCCATCCCCTGCGCTGACTGAAGCTGCCATTTGCACTGCACAGATACTGTTTGCCAACTCCTGAAGTAACCATGGCAGAGATCCATATCCTTGACACATTAGACGATCTCAGCGAGAGAGTCGTTTACATCACTGGTACGATCTTCAATATCTAGAATCATCACCAATAACTAACAATAAAGGTGGTGCCTCGGGAATTGGAAGAGCGACCGCAGAGCTTTGTCTCAAACAAGGCGCAAATGTAGTCATCGGCGATCTGAACCCATTACCAGCCGATCTCCAAACATCAGACAAGCTCAAATACATCCATGTTGATGTATGTTCTTGGGAGAGTCAGCGCGACGCTTTCATCCAGATCGAAGCATGGTATGGACATATCGACCATGTCTTTGCCAACGCGGGTGTTGGTCCCACATCACCCTTGGTAGATGATACTCTCGACGAGAACGGTCTCTTGACACCACCGAATCTGCGAACAATCAATGTCAATTTAATTGGCGTGATTTCGACACTGCGTCTAGCTGCTTACTACATTCAGAAACACTCTGCTCACCGCGTACCCGGTGAATCGGGTAGTATTGTGGTTACGGCATCTGCGTCGTCATTCCAGACATTCACAGCTGGGGATTACACGATCGCGAAACATGGTGTTTTGGGCATGCTGCGTGGCGTTGGGTCTCGGTTGGAGGGTAAAGTCCGTCTGAACGCGGTCGCTCCATCATGGACGGATACTGGGATGGTTCCAAAGGATTTCATTGAATCACTAGGTGTTGCCGTTCAGGCGCCAGAGGTTGTGGCCAAGAGCGTGGTACGCTTATTCGGCGACCAGACATGCCATGACGAAGTCATTTACAGCTGGGATGGGAATTATTTGGAGGTTAACAAAGCGGATGGTGGCTTGTTACAGACTGCAGGGAAATTGATCCCGAACACCGCCAATGAGGATAGCGTGATGGTCAAGTTGAGCGCTGCGGCGGTAGCTGGAGAGGTCAAGATTTAACTATATTCCATGACTCTTTATCTTACCTCGGTATGCCCTCATTATGAGACCAAGAAATGATATCAGATGCTGCAAGTATGGAATGTTGCCTTCATCCCCACATGCATATTCAAGGCTATACCTGCTTCCCCGCCTTCTCCGCGTCTTGGCTAGAATGCATGATTCAGGTAGAACAATACTGCATAAAGACACCTCGGTCCTCATAAGTCCGCAGTGATGTGCACATAACCCCTCTTTTGTTTTCTTTCCCGGCAACGCAGCGAATATCGTATATCATGGCAGGATTTCAACTGCAATACCCACAAGATCGTGAACTAACTGGCGGGGACCTGCTGGCGCAATGTTTGAAGTATGCAGGCGTCGAAGTTGCCTTTGGTCTCCATGGGGGCACCTAGATGCATTCCTGATGGGATGTGAGGCTGTCGATATTCGTCTTATTGACACCAGGCACGAAACTGTCGCTGTACAAGCCGCCGAGGGATATTCACGTATCAGCAATAAACTGGGAGTTTGTTTTGTTACCGCAAACAGCGGGTAAGACGTCTCTTGCTCACTGCGTACTGGGTGTCCCGATGCTGAAGAAGCAGATTTTCCAACGGTCTTGCTGGGCTAGCCACGGCTTATGGTGATCGAAGCCCAATTATGTGCATCACATCTTCGCCGCCATTGCGAGATACAGAGAACAACTCGCTGCAAGGCTCAATCGATCAAGTCGTAGCAGCCCAACCTGTCACGAAATTCGCACATAGGGTTGTAGTGCCAGAGGAATGCCCGAGAATAGTATCGCACGCAATTCGGGTTGCGTTGTCAGGAGCTCCAGGTATCAGGCTTTCTAAATGATCATTGGTTGCGGCGCTGACACATTGCAAAAAGGCCCAGTCTTGCTCGATTTCCCCATCGATGTGTTGTTTTCCCCAATTCAACCCAAGCTGATTGCCTGGGGATCGATCGCATCCCCATTCCTGTTTCGCCCAGGTCCCAGTGAAGGCGCCCTCAAGGCAGCTGTCGAGCTTCTAGCTTCAGCCAAACGACCTGTGATCATCACGGGAACTGGGGCAAAGCACCCTCATGTGAGTTGGACTCTTGGTAGTCTGCAACGTTCACTAATGACCTGCGCAGACACGCGAGGTCATTAACAAGTTGGCCGAGACTTGCCATATCCCCATTTTCAGTAGTTCCAAGTATGCCTCCTTTGATCCCAAATCACCAATGCTGTCTCAAGGAACTGCTGGAAACCTAGCAAAGCTCCCTTTGATTAAAATTCCCCCTCCGGACTTGATCATACTCCTTGGAGCGCGTACGGGGATGTTTTTGGGTGGTCGAAGTGGAGCCATCATTCCAAATGAAGGATGCAAGTTACTTCAGGTGGACTCCGATGGAAGTGAAATTGGTCGCTCCTTGCCAGTTGACCTTGGTATCATTTCCGACGTCGATGCGTTCGTCACTGCAATGAACTCTAGAGTGACAACCGTTTTTCAAAGAAGAGTGGACAGATCCTGGGTGGAGTCTGTTCTTGGTGTTGCAAAATTGGAATCACCATTTGAGAAAGAACCGAAAGAGGCCCATTTCGGGGCTCTCCATCCTTACCATGCTATGAAACAGGTCATGTCTGCCATCGAACCTGGGAGCATCATTGTTCTGGACGGGGGAGAGGCATCTGCGTGGGCTGCTGATCTTGCTGCACTCTCTCAGCCCAGCGTTGTTATCACCTCCACAGGTTATCTCGGTTTCCTGGGCAACGGATTCGGGTACTCGCTGGGTTGTGCGATCGCCGATCCCGATCGGAAGGTTGTAAGCATCCACGGGGATGGATCAGCTGGATTCCATTTGATGGAGTTGGATACTTACAAGAGATTCAATCTCAACATCATGACGGTCATTGTCAACAATTCGAGCTGGGGCATGAGTTCCAACGGCCAGGATATTGTTTACGGATCCAAACACCCAGCCCGTCTAGTCAGTGCCCTCAATCCACAAACTCAGTACGAGCTCGTCGCCCGAGGCTTGCAAAACTCGGCTTCGAAGGTTTCGCGCTTCTCTGATATACACGATACGGTCACCAAGTTGCAAGCCGAGCAGGGGCCCAGTTGTATCAATTTGATCGTTGATCGGAAACCTGTCCATCCCATAACCACTGCAATGGTTGGACTGACTGATGACCCGAATTTCGTGGTGGTGCCGTATTACGACAATGTGCCACGGGCATATCACAAGCTGTAGTTCAAGTCAACGTCTTCCCTGGGAATTAGTTTTATTAATTGGGACGGTTTACAAACTCGAATCGTCGCATGCTCAAGTGATAATGGACAGCTTCTCAATTTAGGATGTATCCAGGGTAGAATCATTCTTTCATAAAGGAAATTGAATATATACAAAGAAAGGACCACGGACAGTAAAGACAGGATCAGATAATGATCCGAGGTTAGATAGTGAGCCCCCATTCTAAGCACCTAGAGCCGACTTGATCAAATTCAACCCGATCTCCTTCAACGCAGCACCAACATCCAACTTGACGGTTAGTTTATTTGCCGACAGAGCCTTGGTGAAGTAGGGAAGCTCCTTGCCATTGTATGAGCTGGACTTTCCAGAAATATCGAACGGCACAATCCCGTCTTTGTACGGATTGTCGCTTGAAGTGAGCAGGCCAATCACTGCGGCTTGGTCTACTTTCGCAAGCATGGGAACATTGTTGTCGCCTGGCTTGAGTACTAGGTCGTTCAAATAGGTTGTACCCATCGATTTGCCGTCCACGGCTAAGCTGAGTGATAGATTTCCCTGATTTGTTAGTATCTTAAACACATTGGTTGGAAAAAGGAGAAATACCATGGTGATTGTCATGACGGAGGGGTTGGGGATGAAGACCGTTCCATTCATGTTGTATCCGTTGACGGAGGGAATCATGATGTGGAATTCGGAGACGGCAAATCCCTCAAGTTGGTTTAGGCCTGTGGTCGATCAGTGAAGGGATCCCTAATTGGCAGGAGTATAACATACCCTTCATAGAAACAGTCTTGTTGTAGGTGACTGTGGTCTTAGGCAGACTTCCCTCCTTCAATCCAGGTCGGCCGTAAATATTCAGCGAGACCTCCTTGTTCATCATAACAGCGGTAGCAAAGTCGCCGAAGGCATCGGAATCAGATAAATCCACGTGTTGATCCACGTGAATCTCTGCACCGTCATTCGACTTGACGCCGGGAACAGTCACCATCGCAAAAGGTGCATCTGCGCCGCCCAAAGAGACCTCTGCATCGAATTCATAGATCTGTGGGTGATAGGAGCTCTTAGAGCCGAGAATCTGTGTCTGGTTGAGGTGGAAAGTTTCCGGAGTTGGATCACTGATCACCATCTGCTTGATATCAAGAGTCGAATCATTGACAGCATCTTGGGCAATCTTAGGGTATCCGACATAGACGCTGGACGTGTCAGTCTAGAGTTGACGCGCAACAGTCGGGAAGTAAGGAGCCTTACACTGGCAGGATGATAACCAAAAGCGCAATAATAAAAGCGATCAAATGCGCCCACCACCATTTCTTAAAGTGGGCTGCTACTCGTGCACCGAAGCTCTTCTTCGCCGGCATCGAAGAGACGCCGGCTTCTTCCACGACTGAGGCCTTTGTGACGGACATCTTTGTCAAGACTGGAATTGTTAATGCGGTTTGATTGTTAGGCATGGCAATACATACCGGACCACAGTGGGGGTAGAGGCAAAAGCCGGAAGCCGAAAGAGATCGAGATTGAAACTGGTACCACGCACAGCGGGTGGTTCTTTTATAATAAATCGGGCTGCATGTCCGATGCGATAGGTCTTCCAAAGCAAGCCGTAAGCTAAGGTTTTAAAAATCACATGCCAGATGTAAAGCAATTTAAATAGAAATTGCAAAAGACGGTACCAAAAAGCAAAAAAGGGGTATGCAGGGTGGCTGATAGTCCCTGGGGGGATCTTTGCGAAGATAACCGACACTTTTAGCTCAAAAGTCCGGAGTATCATCTGGGGAACTCCGGATTTACAATGCGGAGAGATCAGATCTGGGGTCTAGATGTCTTGGTTTCACTTCACCACAACCACATGAAAAACACAGAGAAAAAAAGCAAGCCCCAAGCCGAGGTGTGAGCCAGAAAGGCATCTGATGCCTAATTCCAGTGTCAAATGAAATGTACGGCGCTGTGCAACTGTCATACTCCAGGGCCCCCAAGAGTTGTGGTTACATTGTGTACACTCAATGCATGAACGGGCCGCTGATTGGGCCGTGGTGAAACTAGCAGCTTATGGCGCGGCGCCAAGATCCCTCAATGCAAGGGTAAGGCCCGTATTGAGAGCGTTGTCGAAGGGGGCACGAGCATCTATCTGTGGCGTTAATCAAAAGAACCGACGCCACGGTCATTTTGGGTTAAATGACAAGCCTGGTGAAGGGAATCTAGTCAGGTTAGGTCAATCCTCCGAGGGAACCGGAAATGAGGGGCCAAAACCCGGGGGAGAAATGGTCAGGTGCAGTCTATTCTGTATGGCTATATCAGATGTACGGGCTTCAAAATGTGCAGATCAACGTCTAGAATCTGTCATGATATTCATCGCAATGTGCGTCCGGAATGCTCGATCCAAAATTGGGGAAATATGGCCATGAAATGAAATGAAGGTGCCAGAAGAGAAGTGAAAATGAAAAAAATGGGTGGCAAAAGATGGGGAGAAATAGAGGGTATCCACGAAGAACTGAAGTATTAAGCCTGCGAGACACGGAGTGACTCGAAAACAGCTGCCCAGGCGGCTCAGAAGAATTCAAAAAAAAAAAAAAAAACAGACATGGGAAAAGGAAGCAAAGGAGTGTGAGAATGCCAAAAAAAGGGAAAGAAAAACCAAGAAAAAAAAAAAGAGGGGGAACTTCAACATAGTGCAAGATGCATAATGTGTGGTAAAGTACCAGCATGAAACGAAAAACGTGAGATAACCAAGAGAAGAAAAAGTCAAGAGAAAAAAATATAAAAAGAAAGAAAACAACGAAAGAAGACGGGGTGAAATAATCGGGGAATCTATGCCTCCGGGACGATAGATTTCTTGCGCTGGAAGATGCTGCGAGTCCGAGATTTGCTCCGGGGCTTCTTCTCTTTCTCGCCGCTAGCATTTCGGCCAGCATTTCTTCCCCGAGTGCGTGACTCTTTGGCCTCGGCCTCGGCCATGTATTTATCTTTGTAGATCCTGCAAACCCGTTAGTGAAACCCCATATGCAGCGGAACAAAGAGCCTACCAAGAATTCCCGACCATGCTCATGCCTTTCGACTCAGCCTGACGGTAGAATCTCGCCGCTTTCTTCATATCCTTCTTACAGCCAACACCCTCGGCATAGCAGAAGCCAGCCTCAGCCATTGCGTCAACATCGCCCCACTGGCCGGCAATTTCGAAACAGCGCAGCGCAAGCGATTTGTCTTGCTCAATGCCCCAGCCGTTAAGGTAACTCACGCCCAATTCGTAGATGCTGAGCGCAAATTGCGCTCTGTATGCTTTCTGGAGTTCCTTTGCCTTGGAGGCACCAGGGGCATCGGGATTGGCGAGCATTTCCAATCCGACGGAGTCCACAGCCTTGCGTAACCAACGTACGCCCTCTTTTTCATTTGACCGCATGCCCCAGCCATGTCGACAAGCCAGCGCATACAGCAACATGCCCGTTGGGTGGTCTTGTTTCGCGGCAACCCGCAGATGGTAGGTGGATTCGCTGAGTGAGCCTCGTTCGTGGGATTCGATGCCCTTGGCAACGTGGTCGTCAGCAGTCAGCCCCGATACCTTAACTGGGGTGACCGCAGTTTTCGGCCGCGCGGTACTGGCGGAGTCTGCAGATGAGACGGTTTCATCTTTCTCGGTGCTCTGTCGGGCGCTTTCGGCCGATCGCCGGGGGAGCGGCTCTGCTGAGGGGATCGGTGGGGGTTGGAGCGATTTCGTGGACTTGGTGGACTTGGGGGTTTCGGGTTGGAATTGTGGTTGGGGAGGGGTCTGAGGACAGGAGGCTGGAACCTCATGCATCGAATGAGGCTTGGGAGAGTGCTCCACCCGACGCGGAGTTGGGGATGGCGTACGTGCCGTCCGAAGCTGTTCCTCTGAGTGGCGCGGAGGAGTTTTCTCAAACAGCGGCTCAGCCCATTCGAAATGAGGCGTCTGTAGGCCTGCAAATACCACTGAATCTCTCGATGGGAAGCGTCCACGGGGAAGTGAATAGCTTGCGTAGGTATATGACGATACAGCAGATGATGGTTCGTCTCCATTGGGGGCGGTAGCAGCGGCTTGTTCGGTTCCAAGTGGTAGCAGCAGTGGTGTCGGCTTGCTGCGCCGTTGCATCTGGGCTGGTGTAGGGGTAATGGACGACTCGGTTGGGGTTGAAGTCCCAGGCGCGGATAAGCTCGTGCTTGAGCGACTCAACGGGCGGGAGAAATTGAATGAAGGCCGGGGGAGGTGATGCGCCCCGCTCGCCGACGTTTCCGAGCTCATCGATGGCGATCGGGGGAGCGGGCGCGGGTTGAAACACGATTTAGGGGAGTATGGTAGCGACACTGCGCTCGCAGAGGACAACTTCCTGGGCTTGGAGAATGTTGAGCCACCAGTCGAGCTGCTGTAGTCGTCATCAGAGCTCTCGGGGTGTGCAGGTCTTGTGGCGCTGGATGGTCGTGAGCGAGGAGAAACGGGAGGCGCAAGTGTGCGCGGGATATTCAGTCTCGAGGTCTGCGAGTCAGTGGATGAGCCGCGAGCTTCAACCATAGCCACGCCAACGGGAGGCTGCGCTCCGCTTGGAAGCGACACCGCGTCTTCTGGAGATGCGGTACGCGGCATCCCATATGCCTCTTCTGGGGTCCCAACCATCGTTGTGCGGGGGGTTGTGTTGTCGTCATCTTGGTGGAAACTAGCCTCGGTGCTAGCATTGGAAACGGAACTGAATCGAGGATGTTCGGATATAGGGCGGAACTTGGGTTCCTCGAATTCGGGGAGAGCTTTCTGCGTGGGTTGGCGGGTGAGCTCAGTGTGAGATTCGGCATCGGCGGAGGATTTGGACCGCGAGAAGCCCGGGCGGCCTTGTGAAAGGGATCGGGCAACACTCGAGGGTGGCAAACGGCTCATGCGACGGTCTGCTCGTCTCGACTCGTCAAGCTGGCGGGCCAGAAAGCGACCTTGGGCAGCGAATGCATCGAGGGGTGAGAGCGCGGGAGGAACTTCGCCGTCGAAATGCGCGACCCGCGGTGAGGGCATGCCACTCCGCAGGGTATCATGAGACGTGGAGCGACAATCGCCCAGTTTTCCTCTCATATGCATGATGTGTCCGCAGTATAGTGTTGTTTCACGGCTCGGTATCGTGTCGTATATGCAGTGTCAATAGTCATCCAGAGGTCGGACGAGTCGAATCTTGCGGCATCGGAGTGAAAGAGGTTCGAGAACAAAGGGCGGGGGGAAGCACAGCAAAGGAATGACAGCCCTACAGGGGAGATGCAAGGACAAGCAGGATGTAAAGGCCTAGAAACGGGGGAGAAAGGAGAAAAACGGAAGGCCCTGACGATCACAATGCAAAAGACATGACAACGTAGCCCCGTGCACTTAAAAAAGAAATTGATCCACTGTCGACGTTTAGAAGATCGTCTCAGGGGAACAGCTTCAGGGGGTCGCCAAGAAGACACCTTGACGCCATATGCATAGTCACGGCACTTGGACGTTATAATTGGCCTATAATCTCACAGACTTGAATATCAGTCGACTATTGCTTTGGGCTCTGGCCTGCTTCACGTATCGGAGTGTTTTGTGGTGACCCGCAATCTTCTAGAATTCAATTCTGACACTCTCCACACGGTTTCATATTTGAATCTTCTGATTCCTTGCATAGGCTGGGTTTAGAATACATTGTACATGAAACTGCTCCGTCATAGGGATCCATTTAGTTCAACTGTACAAGTAGACAGTGGGCAGCACTCAAGTAGACAGTCTAAGATCTAGGTTGTCATACATTCAGTCCTATATAGGGTCGCTTTCCCTCGCCAGTTTTGTTTTGTCTCACGCCTAGTTTTCCCCCGGGGCGACAGAGCCAATCATTGGGACTAAGCATATTGCCGGCGTAAGGCGCCCCTATAATATAACAACGTACGAGTAGACTCGTACTTCGTACTATAAGCTACTAGATGCCCTTTTGCGGACTTTTCTTCCGTTACATTTTGCAAGTGGATAACCCTTTTGAATGTTCTAGCCCCCAGGCTATTTTCTTGCTCTTAGACTATCTAAGACCAAGTTTAATCGACACTAACAGTCTTAGTTGAAAATCGAAATCGATTGTCCACTGTGACCGCCTTCGGGCGGCGTACCATGGAACGGCCAATTAGTTCCATGTGCGATGGTAGCTTGGCTCACCAATCACTTGTGTCTGAATGTAGCCAAGTGGGTCTCGACCATGGATTCTTAATTTGGAAGTTCCTTAGGTTCGTGAAGAGAAGAGTGTATACTTAGGGTGTTTCAGTCTGCCATGTCTTAATGCTCGAGACACCTTGATATATGGGCTTAGAACTGGATTTTCATCTCCAGTTGAGACTAGTCGACAAAAGGTTTCAGTTCGACCAACCGTTCGTCAAATGTACTCGTACTCTACACTCAGTGTGTAGCCACTCATACCTCAGTTTTCCTCGTATCGACTTCCATTCTCGCCGTCATCACCTTGTGACTCCTACGCTGACAGACTTTGATTCACGAAGACACCAAACTTCACGCTGACACCGTTTTCGGTGTGTAAAGCCGACACTGGTGGGGGCAAATGGAGCTAAATCCGGCCCTAGAAGTGGGCATATGCACTACGACCTCAGGTGTCGTAACCGAGCCCTACCACCATGCAAAGCTTGCGAGCTGCGTACTATATACAGTACTAGCTGGAAATTCGGACACCGTAAAGCTCCAGTCAGAATTAGTTTCCGTGGCTTCCGTAGGGCTGATGTACTCGTAGCTTCTCTTGTCATTTCTCTCTCTCCCTCTCTCTCTCTCATAGTAAGCGTCGGTTTCGGCAAGGCACGCGACATGCGTCGAATTCCACTAACCACGCTCTTCGGAGTTGACAAGACGACTGATGACGAACGCCAATTTGAGGCATCCTGGCTCCTCCCACCTGCCATTCTCGCCGGGCTACGCGGCCTGATCGCCCTGTACATTTTCACCTCCATCTTCTTCATCTGGGGCTGGTATGGCACTCACGATGACACCGCTGCTATCGGCCAAACATTCAGCTTCTTCACCTGGCTGACCTACTGGGGTATTGGCTTTTACATGCTCTTCGCCGCCATCCACACCGGATACTATGCACGAACCGGTCGATCACTACTATACCGCTGGCCACGGGCGTTGCGCATCCTACACAGCCTATTGTACTCGAGCGTCACCGTATACCCATTCCTCGTGACCATTGTTTTCTGGGTATTCATATATGAGTCACCGTGGTATAGCAAGACTCTCACCGGCTGGCAGAATGTAAGTACGAGTGTAGCAGTAAACAAACAAGTCATCCGATCTATCCGAAATCACCGACTTATCCAACCCCACTCGTGACGAAACTGATGCATGAACAATGTAGATCACTCAGCACGCCTTGAATTCGCTCTATGCACTACTCGAAATTATTCTGCCTGCCACTTCACCACACCCGTGGATCGCCATACCTTTCCTCGTCCTCGGACTTCTGCTCTATCTGTGCGTCGCCTACATCACCCACCATACTGAGGGCTTTTACCCATACACCTTCCTGGACGTTGGCGATCACGGTCAGAAGAGTGGAACCGTCACCGGCTATTGTTTTGGTGTTTTGGCCGCCATACTTGTTCTTTTCCTCGTTTCGTGGGGATTGATCTGGTTGCGCTGCTGGCTTACGAAGGGCAAGCTTAAGAGGGCTAGGCAGGATCCATTGCGCATTGCCAGCGGTGTATCGGTGGGAGCAATGGCTGGGGAGCAATCGGGTGAGATGAAAGAGGCGGTATGAAAACGAATGCCAATATGTACCTCTGCGGCATATATGTCCCTCATAATGACCAGATGTGATCTCACTAATGTTTCATGCTAATCTGACCTACGACATGATATATCGATACCATATTATGAAATCCTGAGTCCTCTCACTACCGACTCGTCCCGCACAAGATCAACTGCTAGTACTAGACTTAAATCCCACTAGAACTTGATGCTCAAGTGATAGCTTCTACGCTCCGGGGCTGACGACGCCGTTCGTGTTTCAAATATTGGATGGCTGATTTGCCTTGTCCCAGTCAGGTTGACACATTGTAACCTTGGAAGTACTTCGATGAGATTCCTGAACACAGTAGTCATCAGGCCAAGCCGATTAAATATCATTACTTAAGAGCGAAGAGTATTTGTAAAAGATAGTATATACAGAAAATGAAACAAGCGAGAGCTTTTCGTGGATTAAAGGAGTGTAAAAGGGGAGTATGTACCCAAATATAGCACAACTTTAAACTCTCTCCCAGCTAGTCTCACTGCCACTGCCACTGATCGGGGTATCAGACGCAATTCCACTCCCGCGGTACCCCATCATCAACGCCACGAGTCCACTCGGGACCCAGGCGCCAATCAAGTTGTAAGAGCGAGCTCCCCGGCCCACGTACATGACGGATTTCTTGGTAGTTTTCTGACCAAACACATTCCGCGATGTAGGCTCCAATGCATCCAAAATAGCATAGTGGAGCTTGCGTGCTGGGGATCCACGGACTGTGCCTGGGCCGGCAGAGGCGACGGGGCGCTGCTCAACACTGTTGAGGTATTGCGAGGCATACAGAGCTCGCTGCTGGGTGCTCCAGGCAAGAACTTCTGTGCCCGCAATTTGGCTCTGGCCGGCTCGGAACACGGGGCCCAGGTCGATGTTTCCGAGGCGCAGCTCGACAACGCTCACATTGCTGTTTTCGAGAAGGCGAAGTTCCTGACGAAGAGAGTCTGCGAAGCCGGAAATGGCACGTGTTGCTGCTACCTCAGGACCGGCGTAGGGCGCGGAAAGGGAAGAGGAGATGGAAGGGTAGGCGAAGAGGAGGGTGCTGCTGTTGCTACGCAGGGTTAGGAGGGGGAGGAAGGCCTGCGCGGTGAGGATAGGCGAGAGGAGGCGGGTGTTGACTGTGTCGGCCCAGGATGATGGCGGAATAGTTGCGACAGGGCCTGCGCTGTAGTTTGGTGATGGAACCACAATCACGCCACTCAGTTGACAGGTGTGCGGGGGCACTCCGGGGAGAGGGGACTGCGGTTGAGTGATGAGGGAACGGATTTCTTGCAAGGATGGATGGATATCGGAGGGCGAGGAGGCAGTCTGATGAAGTAAGTCAGTTTAGATCTCAGTGCACGAGTGGACACCACTTACGGTTGTGAGATCCAACCAAAGGGCCTTGATGTCGGCGCGATTCTCGGATTTGACGATCTGTTCTTCATCCGCAGAAGACACGGTCACATACACGATGTATCCTCGGCGCTCCAAGTCCGTAGCAATAGCTCTAGTCATTGGCTCGTGGGGTGATCCAGCAACAACTGCACGAAGGATTAATATTCATGCTGGTACGATCAGATAAGGTATCACACATACCCACGATCTCTTTTCTTCCGCCGTTGCTCGCTCTTTTGGCTTTTCTGCGCTTGCCATGAAGCTTTTTGCTTCCATAGTACAAGACTACACCAGTCCCGATGAACGCGAAGATGGCCGCAGTCCATGCGCGGTTTCTAGCCATCCAGTTCTGCGCCCGATCTGTGAAGCTCTGCGATGACCTTCCTCTCGGACCGACGCGAGCGGGTCGAATAGTCGGAGGTAGCCATGACTGCTGAGCCAGTGTGTCTTTGAGCGTTTTCGCGGCGTGGTCGACGTGACGATCGATGGAGTCTGCGACTTCAAGGGAATACCGCCTTACGTCATGAGGTATGGACGCAAGCTGGACCTGGGTGTCAGCACTAAATGTATAGTTTGGTGCGAATACTCACATAGTCGAAAAAGAACTGATCATCACTCGTCATCTTGTTTACTTCGAGGTGGATAGAAGCGCAAAGTTCAAAAGCTGATAAGAGATGACTGATAAAGCCAACGCGGTCACATGAGCGCTATGGAGAAGTGGCCAGGGCAGTCTCTGTGCGACGATTAGATTCCAATATGTTTTTTTAATGATTGAGCTAGTAGCTCTGGTAGATAACTCGTCACGTAAACGAGTTCATTAGGAGTATAAATCCCAATTTTGCTCTATGAGCCACTATATATTTGTGTCTATACACCTTTGTGCTTTTGCCGCTCGAGGCACTTTTGGTTCACATAAACATTGAACAGTAGATATGTATTATCTAAAAATCTTGCCACAACTCGAAAGGTGAAACGTTCACAGGCCATGTTATTCTTATGTTCAACCCATGCGAGGTGGGAGAATACAAGATAGATGTCGATGTATAAACATGATATCCGAGCCCTAGACTCCGGAGATCAACCTTTCAAGGTTGGAACGAAGCACCTTCAGACTTCAGCTCTAGAGGAACATTGGACATTTTCTAGGTCCCTATGAGCATGGGTACTTAAGTATACCGTTAGTCACCTCCTCATTATAACACTCCGATAGCTGCGCTACTTAAGTATTGACGATGTCTTCTGAAGCTACTTATCATACGTGGTTGGAAGGTCGCATGAACTGCCTGTCGTTCGCCAGGCCAACTTTAGAAGGTTACAGTCCAAAAACGTAATGAATCCAAAGGTTCGGTCTCCTAGTGGCCAACATAATTATCTATATAGTGGCAACCATGGCCAATGGTGCCCATGTTACTCCAGGGCTGTGGTTTTCTCTATGAGCTTGAAAGCATTCGGCTCCGATATGGTGTGATCTATGGCATGGAGAATCCCAGCTATATTTCTAAAATTAGCGGAATATCAAGGGATACAGACAAGTACAAAATTGGAATGCTTTCCTGAGAGGCGACCTCCGGGGCAAATACTTAAGTAACGAAATGTCATCAATAGTCATGATGACGATGAAGCAGCATTTGAACATAAAAGTGAGGCCACAGCCCAGAAAGGCAGATTTGAACCTGAGATTCAACCTCCAGATTGCCAGGTTGTACATTTGATATTCGTGACTGAAAAATGGAACCACTTCCCAAATCAGGCAACGGCTCTAAGAACATGTCTCGCAGGAGTCACATCTTAGATTCCAACATCGATGTCCAAGACATGCAAGATCCTATTGCGCCTGGCTCCACGGATGTTGATGAGCGAATGAGTAAGTCTTGATTGGATTTTGAATATAGAATTCTGGATTCGTTGACACCGGCTTTCAGCAAGAGACTTCAAGGACGCCATTGATCATGCAAATATTCTTGGTGGGGATCGAACTCGCCACGCAAAACCACAGTCCTCAACCGCCTATAATGAGCCGTCTGAAAGCGACATTTCCTGGAGACCTGATCCATCTGGTCATCCCCATAGGACTTTCTAGGTAGTTGGAATCTATCGGATTTGACTGCGTGCTTCTGGGCCTGTCGTAAATTTGTGCATTCATCGTTAGATTTTACCTAATTTTACTTACTATGTACAAAGCTGGGTGTGGGCGTTTCAAATCAAATCTATCCATAGCCAAAGGGTATTCAGCCAATTGAACCTCCAGCCATATCACTCCGGGGATAATGGGACCACCCAATCCATGGATGGAAAGGGTACCGGGGGGATAATGTATAACGCGGCGCCACCTGGCGGGTGAATGTTTAGCGGCCGGATTAGCAACCAGGGATTAATCTTGATCCTAGTGGCTACGGCCAAAGAGTCCGGGGTCAGGGTCTTCATGCATGCGGGTAACTAAGGTAATGTCCGTGATTCGGATGATCTACTGTGGCACAGCGTTGCGATCGAAATAGCGCGCACGTGCCAGCTACGTTCCAGGGGGGTTGAAATAAAGATATCATTCAAACGTGAGGGTACCTCGTAAGAGTCAAAAAATGCTAACTGTACATGAGTCATTGAAAAACGCCGTCCCAAATGTATTTGGCTTTTTACAGCTTGCCAGCAGCCGCCTTGGCATGACGCTCGAAGGAGGACACGGGAGGGGCGGAGTTGGGGTTGGGGTGGTGCTTCTTGAGAGCCATCTTGACGTTGTACTCCAGGTCGAGAGAGGCCTTGGGGTCATCGGTCTTGGGCTTGAAGTCCACAACGAGATCGTCCTTGACAGCGAAGACGGAGTCGATGGCAAGGTGGGGATCGTCGCTGGGGTAGATCTGGTTGATAACGGTGGCGTATTCGGGGTGGGTGATCATAAGGTGGATGTGGGCGGGACGCATGGGGGAGCGGTCCATGAGATTGAGGAGAACACCGGCGGGGCCGTCGGTGGGCAGAGAGTAAGGAGTGGGGTGGTAGCAGTACCAGTTGAACTCTCCATTCTCGTTGGAGGTGAACTTGCCGCGCAGGTTGTTATCGGTCTGGGTGGGGTCCTGGAAATCGTACTGGCCGTTGGCGGAGGCTTGCCAGATATCGAGGACGGCTCCAGCAATAGGCTTGCCAGTCTCCATGTCGCGGATGGCACCGTGCATGAAAGTGACACGGCCATTGGGCTTGGGATCCTGGATGATGCTGTCGCCGAGAGCACGGAAGGGAGCGTTGGGCGACCAGAAGGGGCCGAGAATGACGTTGGAGGTGGGGGAGACACCGTCTTCGGTGATGATCTTGTTGGCGATCTCATCGACAAGGCTGAGAAAATCAGTCAGTTTGGTTGGTCCAATCAGATGATTTTTTTCTTGTCTGCCAAGTAGGCAAGATAAAAAAAAAAGTAGAAATGGCGGTGACACTTACGACTCAAGACCAATGACATCGCAAATGCGGTGGCCCTCGTTACGGATGGGAGTGCTGATCTGTCCGATGGAGTTGATGAACTCAACACCGAGCATCCACTCGGCGGAGGTGAGCTCGACCTCACGAGCAAAGTCGTGGATGTGCTTGATCAGAGAGCCCAAGACCACACGAGCACGCTCGGGAGTCTGGGGACCCATGCCATTGATGACAGAGGGGGTGAAGTTTTGATCGAATTGACGGGGAGCCATTGTGTGTGAAGTGAGAGTTAATAGATAATTGGAAAGGAGAAATTATGGGGGGAGATCATGGAGGTCTATATACACGGTCGACGACGGCATTTGGTCGGCTGGTCATGGTTGTGGGGGAGCCGCAACGGTGCCAAACCCAAAAAAATACCGTCGCCACCTGCCGAATGGGTTGATCCCGTGAATCATAGATTGTTGCATTCTGGCATCGGTCAGCGACAACAGCCGAGTGGCGGCTGGTTCCCTATTATACGACCGCGGGGTGGCCGGGGTAGTTCTTATCCGCGGGTAAGCCCCGGGACCAGCCTCCAGTCACTTTACCCGTGCTGACCGCGGGCGGTGTATCATTGACTCAGCAATTCTTTTAATGCTTTTGATTGGCTATTCTTCATCTTGATTTTACTCTAGATTCAGGTGCCTAGATCTGTGGCACTCTGTTGCAGTCCCACAAGCCTTTTTGATACAATTACGCCTGATAAAACAAGGGTGGATCGCTGCAGTGGAACTGAGGGTACCAAGTTGACAAAAGGTTTTCTGAATAGTCTCCTAACAGGCAAGTTTGATCCTGAAATCATACGATCGATGTAGAATCGACGACAAAGGCGCTACTCAGATGTCATTACCTGGCATCGTCCATGAAATAATAGTTTGTTGATCGATTGACTATTATAAGATGTGCATTTAGGGTTTCCACTGGCGTCATCCACTAGCTGGGTCACGCCAAAAACCTGACGTCCCATCAACCGTTGATTATTGATGGCTTTCAAAACACCGAATGACTGATTCACCGGAAAAGCACCCTCCTCTGTTGGTTGCTCTTTCAGGCGGCCAAGCCAGTGCTGTATTTCCATGCTCAAAGCGAGACTATCACATCGCAGAATGGCAGCCAGAAGAAGGCCTCAAAATCCAACCGTTCAGTCATTCTTTGTGATCGAAGTTTGGAGGTCGATACCTTGCGCAATTCGAAGCAAAAGACGAACCCAAGGCTATTCCCCGGAGCAATCGTTGTCAAGGTTGCTGTCTTTCCCGCTTTGCAGACTACCCATCAGGGCGCTGGACTGCATTATTCGCCCAACGACATAATAAGCAAAGTTCAGAGCTGCATCATGCGATCGAAATACAACAGCCGTAATCGGGTCACAGAAGTGTGGTACAGGTAGCTCCAGATAACCTAGCGGTCGCTCCTAAGGCAGAGGGTGCGAAATCCATTCGTCGGACCTCTTAGCCTGCTCCTCAAATTGAGCTATTATAGAGGCTGTGTTCGGTTCGTGATCTCCAGTTGGGGTCTGTTTGTCAGTGTTTGATTTGTGACATACAACTCCAAATTTTGAAGAGCTGACCGAAATTCAGTCTGTGGGACTCACACATGATTCCCATAATTACCAAACCTTGCACATGGCAGTAGAATCCTCTTTTATTTCCCTTTGAAGATTCAATGTGGGCAAATAAAACGAGTGTTGTAAGAATGAGCTTTGCAAATGACTGGAAATTATCTCGGTTCAGCGCAGCAGATTTTCTGATGGCACCACGCGATCACACATATTCTATTTTCTTGGGCCGTGGGCGTACAGGCTTGTGCATTTTGTGCATTCATGTTGACATCCCAAATCTCGGGGGTTGACAGAGTTATCGACATGTAGCCGGCGAGAAAAAGATCCACTAGCTATATAGGGACTAGCGGTGTTCTGGAGCACTGGATTGGGTCTAGCGCCATAAGCACAGAATAGTAGCATTTGATTGGTTGGTAATTGCTGTGGGGCACTGATCCTCTTCAGGAACAAAAGTGAGGTATAGATAGACCTGCACAAACGTAAAGAATCATTGAGATGGAAATGACACAAATCGAGACTCAGTAATGAGATAAAAAGAGAGATCAGCGCAGGGATCGAACATCCAACCCCGGCCTTAAATGGAAGGAGCTCCTTCCTCATCTCATGATATTTTGAAAGACCTCACCTCTCAACTCAAAAGGGAAGTAGACTCATGAATTTCGAGTCGCCTCTACTCTTTGCAGTAGATCTCAATTGACTTCGGATTCAAATGCATGTAAGCTTTCCCACTGGAATAGACTTTCACCAGAATTGAAGCTTCTACGATGCCCACAGGGGGAGTTATCTCCATGTTTAGATGGCGAAGTAACAAGTCCCAAGAGTTGAAGGGGTCTATATCATGCCCAAAAGTTCCTTATTTTCAACCCCCCTCCCCCAGTGGTCTACCTGGTCAAGACTCCGTCATGGCATCTCCCTATATTAGGATTTAAAGCAGTTGCGTAATCGGGGAAGCCACTGCCTGTGAGGCCTTGTCACCCAAAGTTTCAACCTTTGGTAATGGCCACATTAGGTAAACCTGCGCGCGGTTCGACCCCTATTCCCGAGTCCGCGTTATTAAGCAGGGGACCGTGGTCGGTTGAGATGGAGGAATGGCAAGTGCCAACATCGGGACACGGTCTGCGGACAGCCTGCCAAGTGCGCTTGCTATGGTGTTGAACGATGCCACCGTCTGGGTCCAAACAGGTCTGGATTTATGAGGATTTTTTTGCAACTAAAACTTGCAATTGAATTTTATTGCACTTATTTTTCTTGCTTGAGACAGGTAAGTGGGGATAGGAACGAAGAACAATAATTGAAGTGATATAAATTTTGTCAAATGCGGTTTGGGTATGAAGATTATGCATTAAATTGACCTGGGGCCATACATTGTTGGCGCAGGCAAAACTGGAACAGGTAATAACACAGTCCCAATGCTTTCGGGACCTCGGAAAACCATGTCCATGGGCCACTGGAGCAACGGGCTCCATTTTGTATCGATTGTCTCTTTGATAGATTCGAGTATTGGTCGAGGCCAGCCCTTGGTCCACCAAGTCGAGCTCGTGATATAAAGAATGGCACAATAGTGGGCGAAGACCGAAAGAGCCTCTGGTATCCTGGCCTTGAGCAGATCAAAATATTCGGAAGGTACTCTGATTGGCCAAATGAATGCCAGTGCATGGTCGTTGGAATGATGCAACTCCGTGATGACATGATGGAGCGTCTCAATTGCCGTTGAACAGATTTGAATTATTCTCTCATCAGAAGAGAGGTGATGGATTCCGTCAGAAAGATGACGAAGGTTTAACAAAACGGCTTCCTTATGTGGCGATTCACTGGTCTCTGTGTTTGCCCGTGCCCGGTCCCCTGCGCTCATCAGCGGAGCGAGCGGTCCGTTGGAAAGAGCAGCACGGAATTCGCTATAGCCGACAATAGACGGTAGACCTTGAATCAGAATAACCCACTCTGATAAGTGAAATCCTAGCCATACATCGATTTGAGTAGCTCTCGATGGACCTGGGGACAGTGCGGATTCTGCCGGCCGAGCAAAGGTTGTTATGAATAGGAGAACCGAACAGCCAAAGATGCCATGGCAGTTGGCTGAAGTCACCGAGGAGAGGCTTTGTCGATAGCTCTTCAAGGCACTCTCGTGGTGTTTATAGGCTGCCTGGAGATAGACCTCTCTCGGATGATCCCCAATTGGGGGTTGAGAGGTGTCACCATGTTCTCGTTGGCTGACTATGTGGAAAGCGGAGATTGCCAAAATGCAGTGTAACAAGAACTCGTGCTGCATGGCAAGCTCAACAAAGCTAGTTGAGAAGCACAGACGGACATCAGAAGTCGATGATAGTGTCTGCGATGTTTTGGTCGTGAAATTGTGTAAAAGTTTGAGGTCGAGTAAAGCACCGGGTGAGAAGTTTGAATCAACAACAGGCTGTGGTGGAGCAAAAGAGCAGTCATGACGACTCTTGACACACTGTGCGCACGGCACTTTGCCATTTTCATCACATTTTATCTTACGCTTCTTGCACTGAATACAGCCGTTCCGGCTCTTCAAATGCTTGCGTCGACTTGGTGCAGGTGTCATTGTATTGGGTTGCAGTCATCTCTCAATTTTTTTGTGCAATTCCCCACTCTCCCCGGTTGCTAGTCTGTTTGAAGAAGAGTAACTCTTCAGAGAGCGCGCTAGGCATGGGGTGTGCGATCGACCAGGAGATGCAGTCTCAAAATTGGATGGATGAGTAAGCACGAATTTCCGTCTTCGGTCTAGTCTGTAGATCTTGCAGATCTTCGGAATCTGGTTCCGAGTCCTGTTCCTGCGTGTCTTCGATACTCTCAACTGTTTGTGTCAACATGAGCTGAATCACGATTGGTTAACATGACCGTTTGGAAGGTCTCTTTCCAGATTTTCTTTCCAGATTTGGTTGCTTTTTCACACCTCTTGGCAACTTGTTTTATTTGAGGGTGCCCTCGGGCCCCCACAGGCCGACGAGAGCACTGACGAGGGTCCAGCGTATGATCTTCTGTAGGAAGCTCAACTGAAAAGTCTGGCATGTTCTCTGCTTTGATCTGGAGCTTTAATCGTGTATAGGTTTCAGCACCTCCAAACAGTCTTGCAGGAAATATGGACTCCTGACTCCTCTGGCACCCCTCTGACAAACGTCATTAGTCCGATCAAACCCCTTGTGACACCTCAAAAATCCACAGCAGCAGAGAAGAGAACTTAATGTTACCTTGGCGCGTAACACGCCAGAAAGAGGCTCATAATGCGAGAGCCGCCTTGCCCAGCCTCAGTGCGGGGGCTGTGCTTGGCCATTCGTATTCTCTCTTCGAATTCCAGATGAATTTCTTTGCCTCTCAATCTTTTACACAATCAAGATGCAGAACGCCATACACTCTCTTGAGCAGGATGCCAGTGATATCGAGGTGACCGAGGTACCAGTTTCATCGCAAGATATGGTTATTGGAACCACCTTCGTTGATCGTCAGTTTGCAGTTTTCCATGGCAAATGACTGACTGCCTGACTGACTCGCACAGATCGCCCGCCTAGGCTACCGACGCTTCTCAATTATGTCTCCGACGCAGCTTTCGATTCTGTGCGTAGACAACGGCAGTCTTCGTGTTTCAGCGGCACGCGTTGTGACATACTTGAGAAAATTCGGTCTTGGGCCTACGGGCATGGGGCTCAGCGAATATACTGGCTTCAAGGCATGGCTGGTACCGGAAAATCGACTATTGCCTTAACTCTCGCTCGAGAGTTCCGTGATCAACGACGGCTGGGGGCAAGCTTTTTCTTTTCTAGAGGTGAAGGGTCTCTCTCAACCACTGCAAATCTCGCTGGGACAATAGCGGCTCAACTCGCAGACTTTTATCCAGGATTTCGTCAGCTTATCGAAAATGTGATATCAGATGATCTGCGACTGGGATCTCTTGGCCTATATCATCAATGGGAAAAGCTCGTCTTACAACCACTTGTTCAAGTATCCGCCGATGCATTCACAAATCCTCTCATCATAGTTATTGATGCATTAGATGAACTCGAAGATGCGGATGATGTTGTGGCTCTTATACAGTGCCTTGATGCAGTCATTTCAACCGGACATATCGAGATTCGAGTTCTGGTCACCAGCAGATCCGAAAAAGAGCTTTGGAACACATTTGATGCTACTTTATCTGGCGACACATCGCGATGTTTGATCACCCACGATATTTACCCGTCAAATGTCAACGACGATTTGACTATATTTTACAAAACCAAATTATCTGATAACACAAAGGATCACTTTCTGTCAGATTCAAACATTCGCTTGTGGGTAGAGCAGTCCCAAGGTCTTTTCATCCACGCTGCAACCGTTTGTCGATTTGTCGAAGATGACAGTGGAGTTTCCGGACAACGAGTTGCTTTGTTGCTGGAGCCACCAGCCAAGTCGCTCAAAGCGGAGCTTCAGCTGGACAAGGTCTACGCGACTGTGTTACAACACTCATTTCTCACCTCAAATGAAACCAAAGAAGCTTTCCAGATGAGCGAACTGTTCAAATGCATTGTTGGGTCTATCATGGTTCTTTCTGACTCCTTCTCAGTTTGCGAATTATCTAAACTGATCGATCAACCCACTGGAAAGATTTTGGGCTTGCTGGGATGTCTTCATTCTGTAATAGAGGTTTCGAAGAATGATGGTGACAATCTCATTCGGCTGCTCCATCCATCGTTTCGTGACTTTTTGCTTGACCCCATGAGGTGCTTGGATAGATCATTCTTCATCAACGCCTCAAAAGCGCACGAAGAGCTCCTTGGTTCTTGTCTTCGGGTCATGTCTACACAATTGCATCGCAATATGTGCAACCTCGTATCACCAGGTGACAGAGCCTGCGATGTGCCAAGATCGGTGATTGACCAGGGGATTCCCCATCATGTCAAATACGCGTGTCGCTACTGGATTCATCATCTGTACCGAAGTTCTCTCGACCCCCGTGACTATCTTGAGATCACCACGTTTTTCAAAACCTGGTTTCTGTTCTGGGTTGAAACCATCGCCTTACTTGGCCAACTTGCGCATGGCATCGCCATGATTTCAAAACTTGAGAAATTACTCGATGTTCGTCGCCGTTCCTCGCCGAACCCGTTCTGGTTACTAACAAACCATAGAGCACAAATGCAGGTCAAAGTCCCACTGCCTCTCTGTCCGGGCGCTTAGCGAGACTCATCTCGATAGGTAAAGGCGCTGGCGAAAGTGCAACATCTCTTGATGCCATTGTATACGATGCAAGGCGGTTCATGCTGAGCCACAGCTCGGCAATTGAGGAAGCACCGCTGCAGACCTATTACTCGGCGATTCTGTTCACGCCTCAAAAAAGCCTTATCAAACAATTCCACGCTGATGAAATTCCTCAATGGATCTCACAACAACCGTCTTTTCTCAAAGGTTGGCCTCAAAACATACAAACATTGGCCCACCCACGACGAGTAGAGAAATTGAAATTCTCCCCAGATGGCAAATTCCTAGCTACAGCAAACGGTGACACAGTTTGGTTGTGGGATACTAAAACTGGGACAGAGCGACGCGTTTTCGAACCTCACAAATGGAGTGCGCTGGTAAGATTGGAATTTTCACCCAATAGCAAGTTACTACTTGTCTTGGTCTTGGGATTCCAAAATCGCGATGATACCGATGTTATACGGGTGTGGAACACCACTACCGGTAAATTGCTCTACTCACGGGATGAGCTTACCCTCCAGAGATCCCCAGGAGCTTACGGTCCCGGACAAGTGGTATTTTCACCTGACAGCATGCTTCTCGCCTCACGGTCAGCTGGTAATATCATTCGCATATGGAACTCGATAACCGGAAACGATATTCTTGCGCTCAGTGGTCATAGTGGATCTGCCCTCGGGTTGGCGTTCTCTCCAGATGGCAAAGTATTGGCGTCTGGATCTGACGACAAAACTGTCCGAATTTGGAATGTGTCCAGTGGTTTGTGTCTACATGTTCTGAGGGGTCATTCGGCCCTGGTCCGAATGGTTTCATTCTCTCCAGATGGCATGCTGTTAGCTTCGGGATCCGATGATAACAAAGTCCGCATATGGGACACATCAACGGGCAAAGAAAAGCACATTTTGGCAGGTCACGCCTTTCGCATCACCAGCATTGCATTTTCCAATGATGCTAAGTATTTGGTCTCGACTGGTTTCGACGACACAACACGGCTTTGGGATGTCATAACAGGGAGAATATTTCGCGTTCTCTCATGTTCCGCGGAACACCCTGTGTCTGTCTCATCGGCTGCGATGTTACTGGCCTCCAAGAATGGTTCAAATACACAAATACGGAGCATCATTAGTGGAAAGACGCAGCACATTCTGGGGAGCAACATTAATGGGCACACAGCTCACGATTTCTCACCTGACGGCAAGGTTTTTGCCTCTGCATGTGAAGATCACACTGTCCGGTTATGGGAACTTGCAAGTGGGAATAAAGACCAAGATATATCGCAACCCACCTGCAAGGAGATCACAAAATCTGTGATAGTTTCTCTGGATGGGCAGGTGGTAGCCCTAGCCTCTGAGACGCCATTCCTCAATAGTGGTGCTGTGGTTAGGCTTTGGGATACAAATGCAGGCACTTTCCAGATCATTTCACGCGAAAATCTCCGCAGCAACCCACTCACGTTCTCCCCAGATGGGAGACTGCTCGCTCTAAACACATTCAGCAAAGGCATTTGCTTGTGGAATGTCAAAAAGGGCAGAGATGATATCAGACTTCGGTTAAAACCAGAAGGCTCACGTTCAATTGTCTTCTCTCCAGATAGCCGCAGTCTTGCTGTTGCTATTGATGAGGCTCTCATCTGGATATGGGATATCAAAACCAACAAGCGGCGCAAAATCACCATCAGTGACCCCGCCGTCCGGAGACCCGTTGTCAAGAAGGTACCGCTTGCTTTCTCGCCTTGTGGGGATTCCCTCGCTTGTGGCATCGGTCAAGAGATCCGGCTGTATGATATTATATCAGGAAAGGAAGGATTGATCCTTAAAGGTCATTCGGATGAAGTCTCTGCGCTTGTCTTCTCGGCCGATGGAAACATCTTAGCATCTGCCGCTTGGGATGGAGATGTCAATATCTGGGACATGAGCACCCACAGTTACCGCGTGTTGAAAAGCTCTTCAAACCAACCAGGAAAGGTATGCTTCTCACCCAATGGGAGGCTTCTGGCTTGTTCCTCGCTGGTGGGACATTCGTTCTGGGATGTCGCATCGGGGGCTCTGTTGGGCAAGGGGTACTTCGACGTTTGGTCTAACTACTTTTCATTTTCTCCATGTGGTACACATTTCTTAACAGACAGAGGTGCGATTGGATTATCTGATGGACGGCTTCCTGCTCCTATCTCTGCATCACAGGCTTGGTTCTGGAAAGGCAGTACACCTTTCTTATATTTACATCCAGGCTGGCGCAATTCTTTACAGTTTGTCTGTGGGGACATTGCAGTGTTTCTGTCTGATTCTGGCGAGCCGCTGGTTCTACGACTTGGTGGCCATATGGGATGGGAAGCATCAAAATGAACATTCTCATATAGTCTGCCTAGAATTGTGGGCTAAGACCAGTTTCAATCCATGAATTCAAGTCCTTGATTCCAAACAGTCCTGGAAATACGTGCATTAGGATATTTTACAAGTATTTTCAGATGTTTCGAGATTCACGGTTAAAGACTACTTAAGTAAAAGAGGGTATAGATTCAAGGTATCGTGCCAAAAAGAAAAAGCAAAGCCCGAACTCCAGTGCTCCAAGGCAGAAGCCTGCCTGCATAAACAAAAAGACTTGACCGTCCCAGTTTTTTAATGGGAAGACCTCCCAAAAATGACAACCGAAACCAATAAGCGTAGAACACAAATTAAAGGGACAGGACCCAAAAGCGACAGAAGATGAGCTGCCCCGTGGGAACGGAAATAGCTCAAGTGCCATCATGCCGTAGCATCGTCAATCATTTAAATCATTTTTACCATCCACAAGGCATTAGAATTATGCAAGGCTGGCTGTTCCTGCGGCCGCCGAACCCCAACGCAATTTTCGAAGTCCGCCTCTGACGGCTTCCTGTCCACAACTAGTTGAGGGGCGAGGGACTGGAGTACCATCGCTCATCATGCCGACTTCCGTTCGTCCCACCTCACGACCGAGCATGTATCCGGCTGAGAAGCTGATAGCCGAAAACAGTACGACCACACCGGCACTGATGACCCAGGTCATTATAGTGGGACTGACCGGGGTTGCTGAGTCGGCCATGCTTGCGCGCCGGCTTTTCTTTGAAACTACACTGCGGTCTTTAGGCGAACTTGACCGTCGTTTTGCTTTTGCTGCGGCCGGCCCAGATGCCACTGTTGGTGCCCGAAGATGTCTTGGGGCACCTGCGGAAGGGACCGGTTCTGGGTACTGTGGTGCAGAGGTCTCCTCGTTGTCGCTCTCTTCTCCCATGGCGACTGACTCCCCAACAAGTCGGAAAGAAGCAGGTCGAGCGCCTCTTGTTGGTGCAGCTTGTGGGGGTTGGCTATCGTGCTTTGGTAATCCTCGGGCAGCGGCAGCACATGAAAGCAGAGTTGACAGACTAGCGCGGAGAGCGGCATCATGGTCAGCATGGTGAGAGGGTGAAATCATATTGTACGGGCTGTGCTGGTATTGAGACCGCCGGGGAGATCTTGGATTGGGGTAAGATTCTCTTCGAGGAGCTGAACGGCGGTTCGAAGCAGCTGGAACATCGGAATGGGCACGTCGAGGGTTGGGTGCATGATTGGATGATGGATTTGATGTGGGGGGAGGATGCGTGAATATGCTGGGTTGAGGGACAAAGGGTGATGGGCTTATGCCCATCCCTAGGGCAGTAGAGGTGTCATCTTCATCGTCGCTAGATGTAGCATCTGAACTCGACGAAGGTAGTGGAGATCGAAGTGCAATAGCAGCTGGGATTGTTGGATGGTTCATATCTTCATTTGAGCTGCTGAGTACTCGATCGGACTCGCTTTCGCTTTCTTCATATTCTTCTTGGCTGCTGCTGGCATGGCTAGCGTCTCGCGATGAATAGTCAACCTGTGCTGTGGTGATTGCAGCTAGATGTTGGAGCCGGCGTCGGCGATTACGGTGTCGATAAGCTGCCGAGCCTCCTTGCTCGACTCGTAGTCCAGTTGTTATAATATCATCCGTGGTTGCGGCCGAGGAGAAGGAGGAAGTGGATGGCTGTGAGGATACATCGATCCAAGAATCTATATAGTGGCGTAGTGAGTACATGGTTTCAACGTGAAAGGAATTTAAAGATATATATGCATATTGTACCTCGATTGGCAGGGGAGGTACCAGTTGGGTTTTAAATGGGAATCACATACCCTCTGATCTCATGGGCGCCGCACCGGATGGCTGAGGCTGACCACTGTGATCTCGCAGCGGCTGGCCATCGCGCGTCATCCGACTTGCGGCTCTAGGCTCGCGCACCTGACCCAAAAAGTCGTAGTGATTTGGTTGCATGGCTGAGATGATGAAGAGGAGAGAATAGAGGAGAATAGGGAAATACAGATAGGAGGGGGAAATCAGGCCACCAAATGTCCCAAGGGGAGCGGTCAACGCAGGTCAACGTGGGGGGGGAGAGATTATCTTATCAATGTGGAGAGTGATCTTCGGTGCCCAAGAGACTATGCCGACCTCAGCAGTATTTCGTCTCTGCCCTGGGGATAGGTGGGCTAAAGAATCAAATATTAAAATTCAATCTGAAAAAGAGAACTATGTATGCAGAAAGAAAAAGTAGAAGTAGCTTGGGAGAAGAACCTTCAAAAGTTGAAGGCTGAAATCGAATGATGAGGTGATCAGCAGACCAGGTGATTTGCAGACCCGTGACAATGAAACGCCCCGCGAGGGATATGAGGGATATGAGGGAATATTATTTGAAGAAATTCAGGAATGTTTGGATATGCGGAGAGATACTTGACTTGGACATCAAAGAATCATAGAAAAAAAAGGATTCAAGATCAAAGAAACCCAGAGTCAAAAGACTCAAATCTCACAAAAACAAAGGGAAATTGCGGGGAAAGCGGTCATCCCCGGCAATATTCCAATTTCTGCCAGCATTCACCGTGTACCTGCCTCAAGAATCAAGAATTCAACGTTCCTTCTTTCCTGAAGTCCCTGTTCAAGGTCGGTTTATGTGAGACAACTATAGGCCCAGAACTATGACCTTTAGCGATGTACCTCGGGGCTTTTGAAGGCGAACCTTGGAAAAGGGTAGAGGTATGGATCATTCTCAATAGTATATTAAACACAACACTTCCTAGATCATCAAAATACCCAAAGTATATTGATTGGGACAAGTGCACAAGATTGCGGTACCAATATTCCTAAAGTCCTTTGCTCCTGAATTCATGCATCATCTCATCTCGAAATCGGTAAAATGTGGTTGGAAATATGTGCCTGCTCAGTGGTTGCTTGACAGCGAATTCAAGCAAGACAGTAACATCTCCGCTTCATTCATCCATGTAGTCGGCTGGAGATAGAGCCCGTATAATCAGTGGCTCCGAAGTTCTTCTGGCTATCCTCACCCACTGCAAGTCCTCAACATTCTCGCCACCTGAGACTTGAGCGTGAAGATCAAAGACGAGATTGAAGTACTGCCGTGCTGTGGATGTGCCAACTTCTCGTGTTCCCCTCCGAAACTGTATATACTCGAACATGTGAGAGAATGATATATTTCTACCCCCATCATTCTTCGAGAAAATGTTCTCGGAAACAGCATCTTCATGTTGGCCATCTTTGTCTTCGTCTGTCGCATTGGGTCTGGGTGGAAACCAAGTGATCCTGTCCGGCCCTATCTCGTCCAAATTGTCTCTTTTCGGCCTGAGCTTTGACAATTCAACTGTTTCGTCATTCGTTCCGTGAACTTTCGCCGAAAGTGTGACGGAAAATCCCTGGATTTGCTGTAAATGGGCTCCATCATAGCTTATACAAAGCTCACCCTCCGCGGCCGCTGCAAAGGAGACGACAAAGGAGGCAGAGAAGTAGTTGCGACGGTAGGCAATCCATTTGCCATTCCCTAGAAAGAATCCCCGGCCAATTCCAGCGTCGAACTTTAGTGGAACCACCTCAAAGTTCTTCGTTGAAACTATGTTATAGAACTCTGGGTCGTTGAATAGAGGAGATTCTGTTGAGCGCGTGTGCAAGTCTAGAGAATCCATTGTAAGAAGGTTTCTTCACGTAGAGGAATTTTCGGCCGGTGCAGGATCGTATGTGCTTCTTGTCGAGAAGGCTATAGAATGAGGACTTCTGCTAGAGGTGCGACTGTCAGATATGAATATACGCGTCTGATTGCGAGGACTGTTCTCAGAAGTACTTACTAGGCTATAGGGGATAGTCTCACGACTGTGAGTAGTGATGACTTTCCGTCACAGGAACAGATAATGATTGGAGATATTATCCACTGAGCGATGCGTGCTATAAAATGAAAATGAATAGAAGATGAAAGGAGGACAACTTCCTTTTAATATCTCCAAAACCAATGCAGACTCTACCCAGTTTATAATAGAGTTTCATAATCAGACTCACTGAAGAAGGCAAACAATAAATCCAATGGTATTTCACTCACTACACAGCAACCTTGGAAGGACACAATCCGGTTTAGGGTAAAGCAGAGAGCTCACGCCATTTACATTTCATACACGGCTGCGCTCCAAATTGAGCCCGAATGCACGAATCAGAATCCCAAATCAGACGGATCCATCTGAAGGGCACAAGGCTAGGGTAATCTATTGCCCCGTGGCAATCAGCCGATGAATGGAATTGTTGCAGACGGTAAAGATGGGATCATCGATCTACTCAATGTTCTTTGAAGATTGATGGCTCTGGATGGAGAGTGCATTACGGAGTACCTAGATAAAATATATGCATCCCAGAGTAAGGACTGATAGAAAAAGATGCATCTGGCACGTGGATTTGTTACTCTCGATACGCCCGGCTCATGCATATTCATGCAAATACCGTCCCATCTAAAGGCTTTAGTTACACAGAGCAGGCCGTTCTGCAATTCGACCGCCAGAGGTCTCGAAAATGAGTCATTTGAGGCATTTACTTCTCTTTTAAGGGAGAATTTAAGATGGCGTAGCCCTGGAGAGAGGAGACATAGTAAATTTAGAGCCGGGTCTCATTTAAGTAGTGTACATAGTCAATAGACGATTGAACAACTATCAGTTTGACAACCACCCGGGCATGATTGATACAGCCTGGAGGTGAATTGCCCAGATGTACGCTAAGAGTGACCTTCTCAAAGCTCGACAATCAATCAGGACCCTACAAGTACCGACTCTTCGCAGGACTAAATGAGAAGCGAGTGCGAATAGACTGTGGAAGTGGGGCGGTTGTTGTCACGGTAACTCAATAGCGTGCAAATTCGTCGAAGTCTCGTCTCGTCGAACACTGCTAGAGATAGATAAGTTTAATAATATACGGACTGGAGGACATTCTATACTGGTCGAGGCAATCATGCACAAGAGAAAAATTGAAATAAATGGAAATGTATCATTTTCAAGATACTTGAGAGCTAAGATCATATTACACATAATTAAACACGAACTTTTTTGGCAAAGCAAACCTGAGACCCATGACACCGATATGTTGCAGAAATCAAACGTATGCTGGAAAGATTGTCAAGCTTAGAAAGTGACCTTGGAGCCCTTGAACTCGGGGATGGAGCCCTTGCCCTTGTTGAGGGCACCACCACGGGGAGCACCGAAGCCACCACGGCCACCACCGCGGCCACCACCACCACGGCCACCGAAGCCACCGCCGCCGCCGCGACCGCCGAAGCCACCACGACCACCGCCGCGGCCACCACCACGGCCACCGAAGCCACCACGGTCACCACCAGCGGGACGGGGGGTAGAGAAGTCGAGGCGGATAGCACGGCCCTCGAGCTCCTCACCGTTGAGGGCAGCGTGGGCAGCCTTGGCCTCATCGATGGAGGAGAACTGGACGTAACCGAAGCCCTTGGGGCGGCCGGTCTCCTGCTCAGTGGGGAGACGGATTCCGAGAATGGAACCCTGGGCACCGAAGACCTCGTGGAGAGCATCCTCAGTGGCGCTGAAGGGAAGGTTACCAACGAAGAGAGTGTCGCTCTCGGGGCTGGTGGAGTCGCCGAAGGAGCGAGCACGGTTCTGGGTGCGGTCAGCACCGCCCTGGGGAGCCTGGCGGGCAGTGGCGTAGTCGAGGTTGATGGTGCGGCCATCGAGGTCGGTACCCTTCTTGGCGTCCATAGCCTTAGCGGCATCGGCAGCGCTGGTGAACTCGACGTAACCGAATCCGCGGGAGCGGCCGGACTCGCGGTCGGTGACAATGCGGCAGCCGGAGAGCTCACCGAACTCGGCGAACTCACGCTGGAGCCACTCCTCATCGACGTTCCAGGACAGGTTGCCGATGAAGAGGTTGGCGGAGGCACCCTCGGGGACTTCCTCAGTCTTGAACTTCTTGGCAGCGGCCTCGGGCTCGGCATCAGCCTTGCGCTTCTTGGAAGGCTCGCTGTCCTCGGAGTCGGAGTCAGAGCTGTCAGAGTCAGAGTCAGAGTCGGAAGACTCGGCCTTCTTCTCCTCAGACTCAGACTCGGAGGAGTCAGAGTCGGAAGAGTCAGAGGACTCAGCCTTGGCAGCGGCCTTCTTCTCGGTCTTCTTGGGGGCGGGCTTCTCATCCTCAGATTCGGAGGAGTCAGAGTCAGAGTCGGAAGAGTCGGAAGACTCAGCCTTGGCGGCGGCCTTCTTGTCAGCCTTCTTGTCAGCCTTCTTGGGAGCGGGCTTCTCCACCTCAGACTCAGACTCAGACTCGGAGGAGTCGGAAGAGTCGGAAGAGTCAGAGGACTCAGCCTTGGCGGCAGCCTTCTTCTCAGTCTTCTTGTCGGCCTTCTTAGGGGCAGGCTTCTCATCCTCGGACTCGGACTCGGACTCGCTGCTGGAGGAGGCATCCTTCATGTCCTCGTCGGACTCGGACTCAGACTCGGAGGAGCTGCTGGGGGTAGGCTCCTTCTTGCTCTTCTTGGAGGACTTCTCCTTGGCGGCGACCTTGGCAGCGATGCTCTTGCTCTTGGCGGCGGGGGAGGCGGAAGCCTTGGTGACACCGGCATCCTTGACCTTGTTAAGGGCCTTGGAGCCCTTGGAGGCCTTGTCGGCAACCTTGGTGGAAGTCTTGGACATTGTGAACTAAGGGAGAAAATATGTTAGTTCTGGGTTCCTGGAATATGGCTATACTCTTGGAGGGGAGCTTGGGTGCTGGGTTGTAGCTTGGGTAGGGTTGCACATACTGTGTTTTCAAATGAAATTCTTGTAGTATGTGCGGCAAAGCCCACGATCCCTCAATGCACCCGAATGGATGAAATGGAACAGCCCTCGGAAAGAACTGCCAGAAGTGAACTAATCACAGCTGGACGTTAACCCACAAGCAACCCACGGAAAGGAAGAGATTTTCTTTCAAGCCCACAAGCGACCGACAGCCAACTACTGTCTAGAATATGTAACCCACGAGGAAGATGTCCCACAGAGCCCACAGAATAGATGTATGACAAGCCCACAGCCCTCAGAGATGCAAAAAGCCCACAGTGTATCTGTTGAAGGAACTTACAGATAAAACCCACGCGACTGCGTTAGTTAGTGAATTAAGAGTTCTCTTGAAGACAAGAGAAGTTTTTTTGATAAAAGAAAAAGTAACCTGAGATAGATTACTTCTTGGGGAAAGGGAATAATAGAAGAGAGGATGGGAAGAAGAAGAAAAAAAAGGTCTGAGCCGGGGACCTTCACCTCTTCTTATCAGAAAAATTTCTGGAAAAAAAAAAAAAATTACAGGCAGAATCATGCCGCCTGCCGCATGGGGCTAGACCAGGCACTTAGCGTGAGAAGGAAGTGGGTACCTACCAGGTACCTTGTGGCGACTCACAGTCCGCCCTGCTCACTTAATATTTGAATGTCACTCGGGAGTACCTGTCCAAGGTTCCATCGCATCTCCCCTACTGTCGTATGTACTGGATTGCTCTTGGCCTATTCTAGCATCCATATAAACCCAACTACCTGTCCTTTCTTGGACACACTCTGAGTCCCTCGGTTCATGGCACTCTAGCCTGCTATCTGGCCTGTACTGCGATATGGCCAATCCGACACCCTCCCACCGTCCCCGTCCCCGCAAGGGCAGACCGGCGACCTCCCCCGGCTCCAACAACAATTTGATATTGGATATTGGGGATGGGAAACAAACCCCAGCATTCCCACTAGTATCGTTCCTCTGGGCAGCAAGAGCCGGCGTTTCGCAATGGCTCATTCTCCCGCTCGTCCTTATGGCTGTTGGCCTTTTTCGATGGGCTGTGAGCTTATGGGGTTACTCTGGTGCGCATGCGGATCCGCTCCTCATACTGGAAGATAATATCGCTGACAATTTCCAGGTTTTCAGGTTCCTCCCATGCATGGTGACTTCGAAGCGCAGCGCCATTGGATGGAAATCACCACGCATCTACCGATGGCTCAATGGTACACCTATGACCTGCAGTATTGGGGTCTTGACTATCCGCCATTGACGGCTTACCATAGCTGGCTTCTAGGAAAGATGTATGTCACTATCTGCTATACGGTCGTTCGAGATGTCTGGACTTCCACTGACTTGCGCACCCGTCTAGTGGCTCCGCCTTTGATCCTGAGTGGTTCGCTCTGGATGCTTCCCGAGGTTTCGAAGATCCTAACTTGAAAGTATACATGCGTGCCACCGTGGTTGTTTCCGAGTACTTTGTGTTCATTCCGGCCGTCGTCACTTTCCTCCGTCGCTATACTCGTATGCAGGGCGTCCACGCCTGGTCTGCCTCCATCGCACTTGCGGCTATTCTTCTGCAGCCGGGCAACATCCTTGTGGACCACGGCCATTTCCAATATAATACTGTCATGCTCGGACTGGTGGTAGCGAGTCTGGACGCTATAATGGCGGGACGTATGCTCTGGGCCTGCATTTTCTTCGTCGGCGCATTGGGATTCAAGCAGATGGCGTTATACTATGCACCGGTCATGTTCGCCTATCTTCTCGGCGTCTGCACTTTCCCTCGGATTAACATCCCACGCCTCTTCAATATAGCGCTCATCACGTTGGCCAGCTTTGCATTGCTCTTGGCCCCGCTCCTGGTTGGTGCCTCCAATGTCAAAGCCCGGGAAGTCTTTGTATCTTCCCCGCCACCACCCTTACTGCAATCACTTCCTATTCAAGTGGATAAGAGCTCCATCTTATATGCACTACTATTCCAGTTGACGCAGGTCATCCACCGTGTGTTCCCTTTCGCGCGTGGACTATTTGAAGACAAGGTTGCCAATGCTTGGTGTGCTATTCACACTTTTTATAAGCTTACGCGCTTCGATGCCACACTTTTACAGCGTGCATCCCTCGCTGCCACCCTGACATCCATCATCGTTCCGTGCGCCATCATCTTCCGTCATCCCCGAGCGTCCCTTCTCCTCCCCGCTCTGTCTGCAGTCTCTTGGGGATTCTTCTTGTTTTCTTTCCAGGTGCACGAGAAGAGTGTATTGCTCCCTTTGCTACCCATGACTCTGCTCCTTGCTGGAGACGGTGGGCTGAGCAAAGAGATGCGTGCCTGGGTAGGCTGGGCCAACATCCTTGGCTCATGGACCATGTACCCCCTGCTCAAGCGCGACGAGCTAAGAATTCCTTACTTTGTTCTCACCATGCTTTGGGCATACCTTCTCGGTCTTCCCCCCACTTCGTTCAAGACTTACCGAAGCCGGGTACCACGGGATACCTCAAGTGGTCAATTCGAGCCCAGCACTCTGACCACCCTCCTTCACTTTAGCTTTTATATAGTCATGATTGCCTGGCATGTTCTTGAGGCATTTGTGGCTCCACCCTCGGGAAAACCCGACTTGTGGGTGGTCTTGAATGCCCTGATCGGGGCTGGTGGCTTCGGCATTGCTTATCTGTGGTGTATGTGGAAATTGTTCACCCAGTGTCGCCAGATTGATCGGCAGACGGCTGGGGAGGAAAGCCAAAAAAAGAAGCAGTGATTATTTCCTTGGGTAGATGGTTGTGCGCTATTCAATGATACCCCGCGTTGTGTGTTTCGAGAATAGGGTGGTTCATATGCTCTTAGAACAATTAAAGGTAATATCTCTTAAACCAAGAGGTGAGATGTTTCATTGGGGAAACTTGATCCCTATCATCCATAGCGTGAATATTCTATCTTCCAATACTTCACAAGCTAGCCAATGTTCTCCAGGAGAGAATGTGAGAGAAAGCAAGAAACTCCGGCCCATAAATGCTATATTACAATGTCGTGTGGTGGTACAGACCGGCGAATTCGATCAGAGATCATCCATAGTTTAGACCTTGAAGCCAAATCCAGCCATGCAAGACTTGTACTTCTCAATTGTGGATTTGCACTCCTCCTCGGGATTGTCAGACTTGGAGAACAGCATACAGTCATCGCGGGTGGACTTTTCGGGTTTGCAGACGCAGCAAGGCTATTGAAGTCGGAATTAGTTGTTTGCGCAGGTTGATCGGGCTGCATCGGGACCAACCTTAGGCTTCTCAGTCTGAGCCGGTTGGGCAGGTGCTTGCTCGGGAGCAGCAGCGCTCTTCTCTGTAAGCAGGCATGGTAAGTCTGTGGGTTTCATGATCTCATGGGCAGATTGTAAAACTGGCGCATTGCGCAAAGGAACAGCCTTGGAGGGGGTGAGGGAAGACGTTGAGGCGTACCGTTTGAGGAACCAAATAACCAAGACATATTGATGCAGATAGAGATATGTTCAATCGATATGACAAACAATACAGAGGTGAATGCACGGAGTACTCAGGAACACCCGGAGCCGCTAGTCGGACATTATTAATGCGGCCGACGGCGCCACTGGCCTCTGTGCGGCGCCGTAGTTATTTTTTTTGTTAGCATCAATTGTTGCCTCTCCGGAATCGATTTCTTTTCTGCTACACTGACTATCTCGGTTTTTTTCTTTTGTCTCAGGCCTCTTGGGTGTCCTTGCGATTGGGATCAGATCCGCGACTGACCTTACACTTTCCTTTTTCATTCATTATAACTTCACTCACAACAAAACAATTACCCCGCCATGGCCCCTCCTAAGGTCTTCTCCCTCGAGGGCAAAGTCCTCAAGCTCGACACGGCTGAGGATATCAATGCGCACATCCAGCCTCTAGTGGAAAGCACTGATTTCACTGAATTGCGTCTCGGTGGAAACACCCTGGGAATTGGCGCTTGCCAACGTCTGGCTGTGGTTCTGAAGAACCAGGAGCACCTCGAAGCCGCCTACCTCGACGACATCTTTACCGGTCGTCTCCTGTCGGAAATCCCCACTGCTCTGACTGCTCTCCTTAACGCCATTCTTGAGCTTGATACCGTCCACACTGTGAACTTGAATGACAACGCTTTTGGTCTCAACACTTCTGCGCCCCTCGTCGAGTTCCTCTCCCGCCACGTGCCCCTTCGCCACCTTATTCTGAACAACAACGGACTGGGCCCCGCGGCCGGAACTCATGTCGCCGATGCGCTCTTCCAGCTGGCCCAGCGCAAGGAGGAGGCTCGCAGGGATCAGAAGAAGGTCAACCTGCTGGAGAGCGTTGTGTGCGGACGCAACCGTCTGGAAAATGGAAGTATGGAGGCTTGGGCTCGGGCTTACAAGGCTCACTCTGTCGGTCTTAAGTCAGTCAAGATGACCCAGAACGGAATTCGTCAGGAGGGTATCTCCCACCTGTTGACTCAGGGTCTCTACCACGCCCCTGGCCTCGAGGTGCTGGACTTGCAGGATAACACTTTCACCGTCATGGGATCTACCGCTCTGGCTAACAGCTTGCCCGCCTGGCCCTCGCTGCGCGAGCTCGGCGTCGGTGACTGTCTCCTCTCTGCGCGCGGTGGTGTCAAGGTTGCCCAAGCTTTGGCTGCGGGCAAGAACCAGAACATCCGGACCCTGCGCCTGCAGTACAACGAAATGAAGGCGGAGGCTGTCAAGAGCTTCACTCATGCCGCCAAGACCGCCCTTCCTAACCTCCGCCGTGTGGAGCTCAACGGCAACATCTTCTCTGAGGACGACTCCAACATCGTGGATCTGCGTGAACTTCTGGAGGGTCGTCAGGAAGAGCACGGCACTGATGAAGACCCCGAAGATTCTTGGGGTGTTGACGAGCTCGACGAGCTTGAGGAGGAGGATTCCGAGGAGGAAGACGACGAAGAGGAAGAAGAGGAGGAAGAAGAGGCTAAGGCTGAGAAGGACCTTAAAGATGCTGATCGGGCTGAGGAAGAAAAGGTCGCCCAGAAGAACGACAAGGATGTTGATGCCTTGGCCGACGTACTGGGTAAGACCGGCATCTAATCAAGCACTTTTGGGACAATTGTCTCTCCCATCAGTCGCCTTCATCAGCTGCAAGCGCGTCTCAGAGTCAGCCTGTCTCTGATATCGCCCACGCCTGAGAGTCGTGTATCTACGGATGCTCTGGGGTCTACTCTCCCGTTTTTCATGATCTTCACCTTGAGTCTGCCAATCCATATAGGCTCTGTGTATACAAGATCTGACTGACGACGCTTACACATTTTCTTCAAAGAAACCCCCACTTGTTATACCCCTCACATACGATGATGAATCAACGTTGCACATAATCACTTTTGTTTCAATCCATATCCCATTTGCATAGCCAAGGGCCCATCATGTTTTTGTCATAGGATATAAAACCACATATATGGAATACATGTTTGGGCAAGCCAGTTATTAGATCAATACCTAAGTTTCTAGGAATAGCGATAGTCGTGGAGGAAATAGACAACCCAGAACAGAGTCGGGGTGGAAAATAAAGAGAATTTCCGAAAAGGGAAGCAAAGTCTTGGCGCAAACCTCGGTCATCGCAACGCATGGGATTTTGCTTTTGAGCTCTGCGCGTTCACCATTCCACCCTATCACTGCTATATCCCTTGGCGCTTTCCTTTGTGTCGCATTTTGGTTCTTTATAATCGCCCGCCAACACGATATTGTCTCTGCGCCACTGATAGGACCATAGGTCTTCAAAAAGTGAGTGTCTCTGCCCAACGCCCCTCGTCATTCGTGATACTCGACAACATGATGCCGGTGCAATGAGGATCATAGCATGCGCGCATCAGCACTGGGCTTCTGGAGACAGTTTGATTGAGCTCCTTGGATATACCGAGAGAGAAGGTGGACACGTGCAAATCAACAACATGCGACCCTTGCCCGCAGCAGTCTCGACGGCGGGGTACCTTGTGGACCATGCTTCGTGTGACACTCATGGATCGCATTTGTGCCCTATGATCCTCCATCACAATCAACCAGATGCTTCTACTATGGTTCTGTGGAATGCGCCGGCATCCGGCCCTAAATGCGGACCCTGCGTTTTTTTTGTACTCAAAGGCATTCGCTGACCATTGAAGTTATTAGATCTCTCGGCGCTTTCAACCCGCTCCTCCGTCTAGACCCAACCTGGTTACATCTGTGACAATCGTCCACCCCGCATACCATGGCAATGGACGCCAAAGAGATCGAGGCCAAGGCCAAGGCCCTGAGCAAGGCCGCGACATCTAACGAGTCCTCAAGTGTGATTCTAGGTCTTCTCAAGGATATTCAAACGGGCGTCCGGGCCACAGAAGATCTTCTGCGCCAAACGCGCATCGGTATCATCGTGAACAAATTCAAGCAGAGCAAGACCCCCGAAGTCGCACGCCTTTCCAGCGAGATTGTGTCAAAGTGGCGAACAGAGGTCAACAAACAAAAGCAAGGCGGTAGCACAGCGGCTGCTCGGGGATCGAGCTCCCCGCGGCCTGCGCAAAATGGCACAGGGGCATCAACCCCAGCAGCTGCCGTTCCCTCAGACAAGGCCTCCAAGCTGTCTGTGCCTCCTGATAAGCGTACCTGGAAGGCGGACGGAGCGGAGGTGAACCATACCGGAAACAGAGTGCGCGATAGCTGCACAGGACTCATGTACGATGGACTGTGTCTCGGATCAACCGAGTCCCCCAAAATCATCGTTACTCGTGCTATTGCTGTTGAGATCGCAGCCTACAAGCACCTAGGACCCGAGTCCAAGGAAGAGTACCGCACGAAGATTCGCAGTCTCTTCCAGAACCTTAAGAACAAGTCCAACCCGAAGCTGCGCGTGCGCGTTCTCGAGGGAGAAATCTCCCCCGAGGAATTTGTGCGTATGACACACGATGAGCTTCGTTCTGTCGAGCAACGGGAAGCGGATGCCAAGATTCAAAAAGAGAACATGGACAAGGCCATGGTTGCCAAGGCTGAGCGCAGTATCAGTAAGACCTTACAGTGCGGCAAGTGTGGCAAGCGCGAGGTCACCTACACAGAAGCGCAGACCCGTGCAGCTGATGAACCGATGACTCTTTTCTGTACTTGCACCAACTGCGGCAAGTCCTGGCGGCAGTGAGTCTGGGGGACGGGAAGCTAGCTTTAAGAGGGGGCGTGTATTATTTCTGGGCTTCGGTGTTTCTTCCATTTCCCTCCCTTTTTATTTCTCTACCCCTGTTTCCTTGATCATATGTGCCATTGAACTCACGAGAGCTGGCACTGGAGTTATTTGATGGTTACGAAGTGTGCTCTTTCTTGCGCTTCTCCTTGAGTGCAAAGCTCGGGAATTAAACCAGATGAGTCTTTTACCAAAATTTGATATGCAAGTTGGGAGATGTCTGCCAATTCACCAAATTTATGGGTCATTTTAGGTGCAATGTTACTTGAGGAGCAAATGTATGGCTCGGGTCATCTCGCAGTGTGAGACTGGATAAGTGAAGGTGGAAAAAGAAAAACACTCTTCTCTCTTTGCGTACAATCCTATCCATAAAGAGCCTGAGCACTGTGTCAATTGCTTCAATGTTGTTGCCGATGCGAAGGTCACAGTGGGTGATCGGGGCACCGTCAACTTAGACTGTACTCTGGTTGACAAAAAAATGAATAAGAGCAAGAAAAAGGGGCCATCAGCTTGAAACTCTAGCAACAATAACCAAGCGGTGCAGAGCCTTAGAGTACATTATTGGACGTTGTGAGATCGGGCTTTGTGACCTCAAGAGGACTAGGCCAACGCTCCGATATGAGAACCAACTTTGCAATGAGCCCGATCGTAATTAACACCCTAAGCACCCCGTCGGCTTGTAACAAAAGTGATCAAAACTAGCTACTCGTTGTTTTATACACGGCTGAATGATCGGAGAATACGTCATAAAGGTCCGCGGGTAGAATCAAGGAGGTTCATGCAATGTGAGCTGTTCTGACCTTTCATAGCCAACCTCACCTCCATCTGTACTCTGTATCCAGCTACGTGTTACCGCATATTCAAGCATGACACGCCAGCTTCTGCAAGAACCAGTTCAAGATCTGCTTCAATCCCTCACAAACCCCGACGGTCCCGACCTTCTCTCAACATTCACAACAAATCCTCAGCCATTGGCCCACGAGCATGGTCTCCCCCAGCTAGCCCCCTTTCTGGGCCGCCCATTCTACGGCCAAGAGGGTGTGTCAACCTATTTTGACCTACTATCTTCCCAACTGCTGATTGAGAACATGACATTCGAGTCCGAGGAGACGTGGGTCATAGACGAGAGCTGTATGGCTATCGCATTGCGTGGGACAGGGACCTTCACTTGGAAAGAGACCCAGCAGTCATGGGATGAAACTTTCTTCTACCGAATCAAAGTCGCAGAGGATGTGAGCGATGACTCGGAGAAAAATGGGTCTTTGAAAGTCAGCGAATATCATGTTTGGGCGGATACTGGGGCTGCGTATCTCGCTAGCTTGGGCAAGTTGAATGGCACGTTGGAATAGGCTGGCTGGGGGTTCCGGCGTTTTTGATGCAAAAATCAAGCAGTGCATGGGAGGCATATATACCCGGTTTGAGCTATTATGGGGGTTGCAACTGTCAACCAGGATTGAGCAGGAATATGGAACATCTTTGTTTCGTATATCATAAGCGATCATTTCCAGGGATAGGACTATTGATCCAGGCATCTGATGCCGTATTGCATTGCTAGACATATGAATTCACTGGACATTCCATGGATACTCCAGCACCTTCATGAATCAGTACTAAATACCAGTCTCAATTACCAGCCTTGACAGTATCCCAATCAATCCACTTCGTGTTACCGAAGACACCCTCCTGGTTCTGGAAGACCTTCTGCGGCGTACTATACGGCTCATACTCCTTCTTATCAAGAACGGTAGTCACACCCCCAGCGACACGGCCCGATTCATTAAATCCAGGTCCATAAGTCTGATACTCAGCCATGAGAGTAACACCCTTCTCGAACCTCGCGACCCCCGAGACCACCCAATCAATGTACCCACTCGAATCAACTGTCCCATCCTCATAGGAATGCGCGAAAACAGACCGGTGCTGGCTATTCCACGGCCGACCAAGTGCACACTTCCCCTTGATATCCGGTGCGATGGATGAGTTTGCAGCACGCAGGTTGGAGTCCACGATGTACACTCCGTACTTGTTGGTGAATGTCGTGTTACTTCCCTTCCAAGCTGTGATGCCTCCGCCGCAACCGCGGAGCTGTAACTCGCTTGATTGAATCCAGGCCGTGCCAAACCCGTACAGGAAGTCAGTCTGCCCAGCGATGATACTTTTGTAGAAGTAGGCATTGCCCAATTTGCCTACGTAGACCTGTCGACGGAAGTCAGTGGGGTGGAATCTGGTAACTTGGGCTTGAGACGTACCGTGTCTTGGTATGAATAGAATCCACAGTAGTAGAAGCCACCGTTGGCACGCGAGAAGCTCAACGCATGCGCTGGTCCATCCGAATATTCAGACCAAGTGTTATCAAAGTCAATATTGTAAGCGCGGAAGTCGGTATTGCCGAATGGTGTATCGGCAGGGACGGCGTAACCTGTTGTCCCCGAGCCAGTGAGACTAGATTCGAGAGTTGGTGCTACGACTAGAACGCTGGAGAAGACATTGTCGACACTTTGGCCTGTATTGTCTTTATTGGCAGCCGCCCAGATAATGCGCACACGGTTCCGAGTAGCATCCTTGGAGGCAGATGTTTGACCGAGGAGTGTCACTGGTCCTGAGCGGGTGACATTGAGCTGCTCTGTATAGTTTCCTGCTAGGATGAGGATGGTCTGGGAGCTTGTGTCGGCTGGTAGGGAGTCCAGGGCACCTTGGATGGTCGCGTAGTGGGCGCGGTTGTCGGAGGCGCTGACGACGATTGTTCCGGATGGACAATGGGTGCCTGTGGACTGACATTGCTGGCGCGAAACATGTTGTAAAGCGGCACTGTGGACTGCTACGGTGTGGAACAGGAGGCCCAAGAGGGACAAAAGGTATACCCTAAACATGGCGCTGCAGTCTTCCACTTGCATAGGTGACTGGCGATCATATTGCACGAGATGGACCTTTATAGATACAGCCGATGAGGAGCATTATGACCGATGAGCGCTGTGCAGTGCGGCACACGGAAAATTATTAAATTCATCTGGCGCAAGAGCAGGCTAGTCCAGAGATAGATTGGATGTCCGGGGGGAATAGTTGGCTAAATCCTACCTTTTCGGTATGGAGAGAATGTCCACCAGGCGAAGCTTGTCTCCCCGCATGGCAGGAAATCATCCGGGGAAGAAGATTGGGGACTGAGACGGAGAATTCACTTCCACCTGTCAGGGGCCAGGACAGGGGTACGGAGTAAGTACATACCCATGCATGCAAGGTACTCGTACACACAAGGCAGGTGTTGTCCAGGAGGCCATGCTGAGGGAGTCGATCAGGAATGCAAGGGAAGGCATTGGAATGCGGCGAAATACTAATACAAAGGTTTACAAGGAGAGAGGTTTATTAGAATCCCTTAGATTGACTAAGTGCCACTATTAACGACATACATACACGTAGAGAAAGAAAACTCGACTCTATCAGCTCGAAAGCAAATCACAGCCGGGGGGTAAATGGAAACACACAAAGTCTATAATACGGGGAAGAGAAAGCAAAAAGAACGGGACAGGTCCTTTTTTAATTCCCACGTCATGCATGTCCATGGAGGTGGCACGGCAAAATTGCGCAGTGTGGTAATCGCGGGAAAGATAGAAGAAAATTAGAGCTCGGATCAGTAACGAGTCAGAAAAAAGCTAAGAGGCGAGCATTTACTCGTCCTCAACCTCCTCGGTGCGGGCACCAATGACGTAGCGAGAGTTACCCTCGGAGTCCTTCTCGTGCTCAATGGCGAGCTTGGAGAGGTGAGCGATCATGTTCTCGATCTGGGTGTCAGCCTTGGAGCGGGTCTTGCGGCCAAGGTTGTCCAGAGCGGGGACGATGGTCAGAAGGTAGTAGACAACGGCAATGATGACAGTGACACCAATGGAGTAGGCCCAGATGACAACGACGGTAACAATGTCAACATCGTTGTTCTTGGAGAAGCCAGGACCAGCGGGGTCGCTGGGGGAGGTGTCCTGCCAGTCAGGAGCCAACCATCCGAAGACACAGAACAAGGTAGCGAGCACATCGACAATGAAGATGGCGATGACCAGCTGCCAAGAGGGCCAGGTCTTTCCACCACGGGTGACGAAGATGAGCCAGTTCTCAGTAAGGGCAATCTCGAGGAACAGAATCTCCTGGGGAGAACCGAAGTTCTGGATGATACCGCCGTTCTCGAGGAAGAGGGTACCACGGATGATCCAGGTAGCGGCGGCAAGCAATATTCCGAGAACGACAGAGATGACCCAAATCTTAGGCAATTGCCACTCGACGGGGCGGGCTTCGAAGTGAGCGTTATCGTAGGCAACAGCGATGGTAGCAAGATCAGCGAACAGGGCGATGAAGACAATGAGAGAGGAGTCGACAGTCTCGTTGATGATGATCATGGAGGTAACCAGATAGATCTCGAGGTGAAGACACAGGGCAATACGGTACTGAATGTAAGCCTTCATGCGCTGGAAAATCTGGCGGGCAAGCTTGATAGCATCGACGATGGTGGAGAGACCGGGGGCGAGGAAGACAATATCGGCGGCAGCCTGGGCAGCCTCAGTGGAACCCTCGACGGCAATACCACAGTCAGCCTTCTTGAGGGAGGGAGCATCGTTGACACCGTCACCAGTCATGGCAGTCAAGTGACCACGCTGCTGGAGCATCTCGACGACCTGGTACTTGTGCTCGGGGAACACCTCAGCGAAACCATCAGCCTTCTCAACGAGATCGTGCTGGGCGGAACCAGCGAGACCACCGTGGATCAGACGCTCAGAGTCGTAAACCTTGGTACCGAGAGCAAGCATCTTGCAAGTCTCCTTAGCGATAGCGATAGCGTCACCAGTAAGCATCTTGACGGAGAGACCGAGAACCTGGGCTTCAGCGATGGTGTGGGCGGTATCCTCACGGGGGGGATCGAACATGGGGTACATGCCCAGAAGCTGCCAGGGCTCGCCCTCCTTCTGGACGGCAACACCGAGAGAACGGAAACCACGACGAGCGAACTCGGAAGCCTTCTCACGGTAGAGCTTGGCCTCCTCCTCGGAGCACTGGGACATGTTAAGAATGGCCTTGGGGGCACCCTTGGAACAGATATAGCGGACACCGTCGCAAGTGCAAACAGTCTGGATACGCTTGGAGACGGGGTCGAAAGGAGTGTACTTCTCGGTAACCCAGTTGCGGGCGAGGATCTCACGGGCCTTGGGGTAACGACGGAGGGTAAGGACAGTGACCTTGTCAATGGGGTCGAGGTTCTTGATGTTGTGGGAAGAGGCAATAGCGGCGACAGCCATCATCCAGTTGACATCAACACCCTCGGAGACGAAGGGCTCACGGATGGAGAGCTGGTTGGCAGTGAGAGTACCGGTCTTGTCAGAGCAAAGAACATCAACACCAGCGAGGGACTCGATGGCAGTGAGCTTCTGCACGATAGCCTTCTGCTCGGCGAGGTAGGCGGCACCGACAGCGAGGGTGGTGGTGGTGACAACGGGGAGACCGACGGGAACACCGATAATCAGGAGAATCAGAGTGTAGTGGAGCAGGTTGTTGTCGGTGTCCTCGGGGGTAGCGATCTTCAAGTGACGGAAGAATCCACCAATCCAGGCAGCGAGAATCCAGAACATGACGAGAACGAGCAGGGAGGTACCAATGTTGTCCATGACAGCCTTGAAGTGACCGGAGTCAGAGGCTCCCTGGACGAGGGCAGCGGTACGTCCGACGAAAGAGTGACGAGCAGTGGCGGTGACAATACCGTAGGCCTTGCCGCGCTTGCAACCGGTGGTGTAGTAACAGGTATCGGCCATGTACTTGTCGACAGCGAGAGACTCACCAGTGATGGCAGACTGATCACAGGCAATGAGAGAAACACCCTGGTGGACTTCACCCTCATCCTCATCGTCGTCATCACCGTGTTTCTCCTTGAGGTCGTCGGAGTTGGCGTTGGCGAGGTACTCCTTGTAGGCGTCGAACATCTCGGGCTTGGTGTAGTCGCAGATCAGGCGAACATCGGCGGGGATGACGGTACCCTCCTCGACGATGACAATGTCACCAGCAACGAGCTCACGGGCGAGGATCTCCTCCTCCTGACCGTTGCGGACAACAATAGCACGCATAGCAATATCACCCTTGAGAGAAGCAACGACATCGGCAGCCTGCTTCTCCTGGTACCAACCAACGAGAGCGTTAAGCAAGAGAATACCACAGATAACACCAAGATCGATCCAGTCACGCAGACCGGCAGCGAGGAGGACAGCAAGTTCCATAACTGTGGAGATTGTTAGACGCCATTTGAGCTTAAAATTGGGGATTCAGAAGCACTCACCATAGAGAATAGGACCACGGAAGTAACCAATGAACTGAACGAAGATGTTGGTCTTCTCAGTAACGAGCTCGTTCCAGCCGGTCTTCTTGCGGCGGGGCTCGATGTCGCTGGAGGAAAGACCAGCGCGCAGGTCGGTCTCGAGCCACTCATCGGGAGTGACGAAGCCGTCCTGAACACCGTCGGTCTTGCCGCCGAACTTCCACCAGGGCTTCTTCTTCTCCTCGCCGGAGCTCAGGGCACCAGCGCTGGAGGTAGAGCCACGACGGTTGTCGCGAGCAGTCGAGATGTACCGGTTCAAGGCAGAGTACTCGTCGAGGTTACTCTCCTCACCGGCTTCACGGTTGTGACGTTCGCCATTTTCGACGTCGACAGCATAGGAAATTCTCCGCTCCGCCATTGTTGTTGCTTTGGCTCACGTAGCCTTGGACCCCAGCGGAATGAGTAAACAACGAGATAGCAGGAATGACAGAGTCGGAATCGATCCTATGTAAGACAGAAGGAAGGAAAAAAAATTGGAGGGTGCGAAGGACGTGTTTTATAATGGATGTCGGGGGGGTCTGAAAGAGAGAACCGGAGTGGGTGTAGCGTAGTGGGTAACGAAAAAGAGTGAGGGAAATAAGAAAAGAAAAAAAAGGAAAAGAAAACGGAAGGAAAAAGAAAAGTGGGAATTGAGACAGAATTGGGAATTAAAAATCTGAAATAGACTGATTGAAATAGGGAAGGAGTGGTATTTTGCACCAGAAAATCCCGTGTTTGTCGATTTTGGGGGGAGATACTTGTGAGTCTGGTTGCTGGGGGAGGTATAAACTAGGTATCGCGTTGACCCGCTCAAGGTTTTTTTTTTCTTTTTTTTTCGCCCTTTTTTCGCCGTGATTCAATTTTTCAAGGTTTTTTAAATCCCTATTTTCGGCTGAAAGAGGTTAGAGTATCTGTGTTTTCTTGGTTTTTACCAAACTTTGCCCCTTGCCCTACCAAGAAAGCTCCAACCGGGTACCTGGCTTCGACCACTCACACGCCTTAAATACGCATAGCATCTAGTGGATCCCTCACGTTTTCGGCATAGTCCGCAATAAACAAATAAGAATTGAAAACAAAAGGAAAAAGACCGTATGGTACCAATACCGGTTCTTTCGACTCAAGGAGGTTAACGTTGACTGCGACCGGCACTGGTCTGCCGGATGGGCCTCCACAGACATCACCGTCGTATGGATCGGTACGAAACAGTCTCTGGTCCATAGCCGAGTTCCCCCAGCTCTAATCTAACTATGCGCGATTTTTGGTTTCTGGGGAGTAATGGTCCTTACGCCCCAAGACAATGACAAGAAAAAGCTAATGAAATTGGCACTGCAAGTTAAACTATTGCGATTTGCAATTAGCAGATGCAGGAGCATCGGCATCCTGTCAGACGGAGAATTCGCGGCAGCGCAATGTACTAGATTCAAATCCCTTGTCGCAAAATGTCCCTCTAGTTAGTTCCAATGTACCACGACCTGGTCCGAGGAGATCTTGATGTCCCTTGTGCGGGTACGAGTACGCTTTCACATTACAAAATATGGAGTACGGAGAACTCATAGTCCATACATTATACACCTC